TGGTAAGGTAGCTTTCTCCCAAGTCCACCGACTCTCGTAGGTACTTGGCGAAGAGCCTGATGGGACGTCTGATAAATCAATACTTGGAATCAGGCGAGACATATTCGGGGTAATTTGAGGAGCCATCTATTAATTATCTTAGAAACGATATACTAACGGTATAGTAACAGTATAATAACAGTAGATATATACTTACTGTTGTCGAGGGAGTAAATTGTAGACAAGTACAAGATAGATTCGGTAAATATAGAGTAAATAGTAGTAAACTATTATCGTAAGAGTAGGTAGATAGTTTGCAGATGGTTCGATAGAAGTAGATGTAGAGGAAGAAGAAAAACATGACCTGCACTCGTAATTTAAACTATGCACTCGTTCTATCTTGGCATGCGTTTTGAATGCTTAGTCAGGAGTGCGTGGAACCTCAGAACGAGTGCGCGTCAGCGCCGCGCGCGGGCGAGGACACATGATTTTCGCACGTGTAGCCTCTGACCGCTGCCTCGACTGCTGCAGTGGTCTTTGATATAATCTACTCCACTTGCCAACTATCGCCAACACTGCTGGCTGCACTTCTCGCCTATTCACTCACCGACCGCCATTCTCCCCTCGCCTCCTCCCATATGGAAGCTATTCTCCGACTCGTCCTCGAAGACCACTCGCACCCACCTATACGATAATTCCCTGCTTGACACCCACCACAACCCACAACGACAACGTTACCTACGAACACTGCGAATTGCACAGGCTACCTGTGTATCATCTAGCCAAGATGCGGGAACGAAACATGCTGAAGCAGGCGCTCGAGAGCGGCAAGACAGTGTCCAAATCTGCGCGCTCCAAAGAGAGCACGCCTCCTCTCAGCCGCACCGCCTCCGCGACGGCGTCTCCACGGGGAGGCTCGCGCATCGCCAGCAGAGAAGGCAGTGATGATGAGGCTGAGTTCTCCGATGATACCGAGTGGAGCTCGCGCAGCATCGATGCGCTCGTTGCGCAAGTCGACGGGGACGACGGATCGGATCAGTGGATTGCCGTGCTGGAGGAGCGCATCGGCGCCATCACTGATCGCAAGCGGAGCTCAACCGAAGGACGCGAGAGCGATATGAGTGTCTTCAACCTGCTCCTGACCCGCCACTTTGCACAAGAGCAACTTCGAAGGCGATCTGACGAAGTGGTTGCGGCGCTTCTGAAGAGCGTCAGAGCGGGCCAGAGCGAGCGCGAGGTCATTTTGGCCACCAAGGGTCTGGCACTCATGATCATCACCGAACCCTCAGAGGACATTTACGATGCAGTTGCCGATGTCTTCAAGCGAACTATCAACGATTCACCTCATCCGCATGCCAAGACTGCAGCCATCCACGCACTCAGTGTCGCCACTTTCTATGGCGGCGCGACTCTGGAAGAGACCGAGGAGATTATGGAGTTCTTCCTCGACATCGCCTCGACAGATGGCGCCGTGATCGAGGAAGCAGACAACGGCGAAGTCGTCGCAGCGGCGCTCGAAGAGTGGGGTTTCCTATGCACGCAGATGGACGACGTGGAAGAAATGACAGAGCCAGCCATGGACACTTTTGTCGACCAGCTTGAAAGCAGCGATGCCAGTGTGCAAATCGCCGCGGGCAGCAACATTGCACTACTCTACGAGAAGAGCCATACCGAAGCCGAGTCGGACGACGAGCCTGAACCTGATGACGAGAATGCGAATGTCGACAGTCACGGCCCACGTATGGTCAAGCGCTATACCGTCTACCGACAACAACACAACCTTGAACAGATCCTCGAAAGAATCGCCAAAGGCTCGTCAAAGCGAGTCTCGAAGAAGGACCGCAAGCAATTACATTTGGAATTCAACGACATTCTGACTACGGTCGAAAACCCCTCTAGAGGACCTCGATACAGCACAGCGCTGGACATTGACGGCCGCGAGTACGGATCCAGACTCAAGATTACTATACCTGGACATGGCGGTGGTAAGATGACGATCGACAAGTGGTGGAAGCTTCATCGTCTGAATGCCCTCAAACGGCTGCTTCAGAGTGGATTCATGGTGCACTATGAGTTCAACCAAGTCGTATTTGACAGTCTGCCTGTGATTGTGGAGGACGACTAAGTTCGCGACAAGGCATTGATGGGGGGACATTTGTCGGCGACAAGAAGTAATTGTTTCACTGAACTTGATGATACCTATGCTCATGAGTAGCAGCAGCAGCAGCCGCGCGCGAAAGGGAAAGACACCTGCACAATCCATAGCGTTGTGCAATCTATCGACTTTTCGGTTTTAAATCAACCTCACTCGTTGCATCTTCTGCATATGCCTGCCTCATCGTCTCTCTCTCTCTCTCTCTCTCTCTCTCTCTCTCTCCCATCATCACACATGAAAATTTTTTGAAAAAAAAAAAGAAATAAAAAAAAAGAAATAAAAAAAAAGAAATAAAAAAAAGAAATAAAAAAAAGAAATAAAAAAAGAAATAAAAAAAGAAATAAAAAAAGAATAAAAAAATCACAAAAATCACTTTTTTTTCGCCAACACTTTAGCAGATTTGCCAATATGCACCTCTCATCACAAATCACAAATCATACATATGTACATGCATGCCGAGAGACCCTCAAGTCTGCTGTCTAGAGGAGAAAACTCCCGAGGATGAAACGAACTAGAAGGGCCGACGGGCCGAATAAGGACGAAATCAGGAAAAAGGGAAGGGAAGAGAGGAAGAGAGGAAGGGAAGGTATGTGTGTTTGGACTGACACTGATTGAATGCGGAGAATCATGTATAAGGTATGTGGGAAAAGGTACAGTAAGGCAGGACATGAAGCCAGCCAGCCAGTCACTTTTTTTCATTCATTCATTCTTTTCTTTCTTCATTGTGGGAGGGGGAAAAAGATCATCATACGTAGAAACATACTAAAAAGTGAAAAAAAGGTACCCTGTGAGAATAAAATTTCTCTTTTTTTGTTGTCATAAATGCAATATACTGCCTAGCTACCTTAGCTAGCTTTCTCTAATGTGTTCTAGTTTCGTCATTTCATCTCTGTCTCTCTGTCTCCCTATCTTTCTTTCTAATAGCTGGGAGCGTTGAGGAGGACACCCATGGTGAGACCACCGATGAGACCTGCAATAGGGATAGTCCTGTGGAAAGTTTCGTGGTTAGCGGAAAGATTCTTCATGGGTTCGTGTTTTGTTTTGTTTTCTTTTTCTTCTTCTTTGTTGAATTGCTGGTGCGAGAAGATCATGATGAGTGAGAACTTACATGACCCAGGAGAAGAACAAGAGTCCCACACGTTGCCAGTTGACGGCTTTGAAAGTTCCGTTGCAGAGACCGACACCGACTGTGGCACCGGTGATGCACATGGATGTGGAGACGGGAAGTTTGTATTGCGAGAAGATGAGGATGGTGATGGCAGCGCCTGTGAGTAAAGAAGAACTCGCATTAGTAATTGTCCTTGCTCAAATGGTCTGGCAAGGGAATTGTTCAGTGACATACCCATCTCCATGGAAGAGCCACGCGAAGGTGAGTGGTAGGTGAGCCTGCGCGGTACTCTCGTTAGCCACAGTCGAGAATCATGCAATGGACGTTCTTCCAGCCCATGACTTACTTGTTACCCATGACACGCATGATGTTGTAACCATACGTGATGAAGCCGAAACAGATGGTGAGAGCAATGACAGCGATCTGCCACAGTGGCACAGGGGCTTTCGATCCGACAGTCTCACTAGTAGACCAGGCAGAGTACATGGCAGCCCAGACACCAACAGCGTTACCGACATCGTTGGCTCCGTGAGCAAAGGATGCGGTGCAGGCGGTGATGATTTGAACGAACGAGTAGAGATACTCGACCTCGTTTTCGTACTTGGGTGCGTGTTCGTACACACGTTCCATGCGGCGACCTTCTGGAGTGCCTAAAACACCGAGTTGCGCCTTGTGGATATCGTAGTTCACACCGTAGAGAGCAGCGACGACAACCATTGCAGGGAGGCGCTTCACGAGGGCTTTCATGTTGTGTATCTCGTAGATGGAACCTGCACCTGGTGGGTTGCTGTGTAGTCTCCGCATAGCCCTAGATTTCAGAAACGTCAGTATCAAGGGTGTATGGTTATGCGGATGGTAGGGCTTCTTGCTTACCATCCAAGCGGTCCTTTCTTCTGTCGCAGTTCAGCGTGGTGTTGAGCACGTGCGGCGGCCAGTTGCAACTTGTAATCGGCTTGAGCTTGTTGGGGGGTAGGCGCGGACCGCTCAACAGAGTCCTGGTTAATAGGAGGGCTGACGGAAGGACGGCGGGAGGGCTCGATGCTGTCAGCAGTGGAGATACCACTGGTGATGCCGCCCTTGGTCTCAGTGGTGTATTCATCACTGCCACTCTCACTCTCACTCTTCTTGGCTTCATCAGGGCGTGTTACCTCACCGCTGTGCTGGAGCACTGCATAGTTGGGCACCATGGCCTTGTATGCGTCGGGAGGAGCCGGTCGCCAGAAAAGGCGAGGGCCTTGGAAGATATGGTACAGCTTGAGGGTGTAGTCCTTCTTCACGACCTTGCAATAAGTGTAAGGGACAAAGAAGATCGCGGCAAGGAGGGCCAACGCAAACCCTGCTCCCAGAGTAACACCGGCGATCCAACTGGAGGAGTATTAGCACGGCGACGCATACGAGATTGCGAGATTCACTCACTAGCCAGGCTTCTCATCAAGACCAAGTCTGGGGGAACCCTTGTAGACAATGGACAGCGTGCAGACAGTACCTGCAATCAGGAAGAAGAAAGGGGACGACCAGACCGCCCAAGGCACTGGGTTCTTACGGACGTGCACCACGTATTTGATCAAGCTGAAAATGATGGCCGCGAAAATGCCCGATCCGACGGGAGCCATCAAAAGTCCTGCAAAGATGGCGCCCAGACCAGAACCACCGCTCCAGCCCCACTGGTATACCTATTAGCAATACGGAAGGGAGGAAGGGAGTATTCAATGAAGACGTACCTGCACTTTGTCTGCTCCGACCGCTGCAACACCAACACCGGCAATGGACGACACGAGCGAGTAAGTAGACGATACGTGAGCCGAGTGTCTTGTGCACCACATGACCCAGATAGAAGCACCAGCAGCGGCACAAGTGAATGCAAGGAGCTGCACGCCGGCATTGTCGTTAAAGGCTGCAATAGGGATGATTCCATTACGGATGGTGGAGGCTGTTCTCGCACCGACAGCGAGGGCACCAGTCATCTCAAAGATCAGACAGAGAATCATAGCCTGCTGATATGTCACCGAACGGGACGACACGGACGTAGCCCATGCGTTGGCAACATCGTTGGCACCATTGTTGTCTGTAGGACGATTGGCGGAGTCAGCAGACGCCCCGACGATCTGCCCGTGCTCTGCTTCGGACGTGTCGCAAAGGCAGCACCCGGGGGCGTGATGGCAGAAATCCTCTTCTACCGAGTCGACTTACATGCCTCGAGCAGCGCAAAGAACGTGCCTATGGCAAAGACGTAGGTATACTCCTGATAGCATTCATCAGTACATATCGCATCTCAACATATCTTCCAGTAAGACCACTCACCGTCATCACCGCCATCTTGACTGTTATGCTGCAGCAAGGAGTCAGAAATTTGAGAGGTGTACTGTCCGTGAGGGATCAAAGCAGTGCACGAAGCGGCTGCTCAGTTATATGCTGACTGCGGCCAAGAGTGTACTGAGCCAAGCAGCTGCAGCCTACAACGGTGGCGGGTTATTCGCAGCCACTCCATCGGTCCTCCCTCTAGTGTGCTTGGTCCCTTGGCTGTCGTGTAGAAAAGGTGTACTGAGGATGTTCGGCCAAGTTTTCCAGAGCAGTTCTACTAGCCTCATACCGGAGGGTCTGCGGAGGGTGTGTCGCCATCAGTCACGCACGTGTAAGTTTCCGGCTCCACTATGGGTTTACATCTAACGCTAAGATCTAGGCATGTATGAGCATAGCGTGTTGCTCCTTCTTCGTTTGGTGCTAGCAGTTTCTGCATACCGTAATGAAAATTGCTGTTTTTTCGGCGTTTTCAAGGCTTCTTAACGAAGAAGATTTGGGTCGCCATTGTCCTGCGAGAGGCCAGCACAGAAAAGCATCACGAGCTGAGTTCAGAATTTCCGTCGTCATTGGCCAGAGTGAAGAGTCTTCGACGGGCGCAACTGCGGGTGAGATACCATGAGGAGTTAGTAGTTAAGGCGTGGGCTATGGTCCGCCAAGGGAGTCAAGCTTTGGGCCAGATCAGCAGCAGGCTTCATAGCCAGTATATGTCCCACGTGGTCTTGGTATTTGCCATCGGCACCTACAATTGGAGCTATGTGCGCGGTATTGCAGAACGCCAGAGCACGAGGCTGCTTGGATGTGCTCGTGTGGACAGATTCTCATTGCGAACTTGTGGTCAACGAACGCCTCGGTTCGTTGATCCTCAGCGGTTCGCTACCTCCTATGGAATTGCCAAGGCTGTTCAAGAGCAACGTGCTCTTCTGGCATGGGAAGCCTGCTGTGGCGCCATCAAACGGCAAACTTCTCCTTCGCTCTGTCTTGTGAATACTGAGACACACGGTCTTACTCACTGACTGCGCGAGAATTCTCAATGACGACTTGCTCCTGCGAGTTGTTGCCGATTGAAAGCGAAGCAGTTACATTATCGGCGTTTCCTTGGACGAATGAAGGCAGTAGAGCTAGTCCATTGTCCGGGTGGCAGAGTGCCCATCATCTCGATGACATGGAGTAGTAGAAGAGTGGCCTGACATACACTCTCTCTAGGCACATGCAGTCAGCTCGTGTCATCAGTCATCTTGATGAGAATGAGATCCTTCGATCCTTCGAATCTTCGACGTCTTCTTTCACCCCAGCACAGCAACGCCCGTGAGCTTATCGGACGAGGCTGAGATTTGCTGGGGCACTGGGCCCTGGGGCACTGGGGCAGGCTGCAGCCTGTAATCTCAGGGTCGCGCTGCCAGATCCAGGATATGCACTTGAAAGAATACTTGGTAGGTAAGGGTAATAGGACACTCGTTCGTCCGACGGCCTTCCCTGCTTGGCGCTCGATTTCGGTAAGCGGACAGACCTCTTGACCAACGAGTCAACGACAATCGATAATGCCGTCAATAAGCACCTGTTAAGTGGTATGGCCAGTTTTGTGGATGTGCCGATGTGAAAGGTTACAACATGTGATGGGCCATAGCGAGGGAGATGTGCGACGTGGCCACTCACATGGAGAGCATGAGCCAAGAAACTCGGGGGGAGGGGGGGGACCTTTACCCAATACGGACCGGGTACCTGCTCAGTGCTAGGCATAATAAAGTTATGCAGGTGCTGCCCAGCGCGAGAACCCGGCAAGATCCGCTTCAAATCTCATGGCACTTTGATGGCACTTTGACGAGGAAGCTAAAAAGTGTAGGCTCATCTTGGCTTCTCGCCTCATCCCTAGGCTGGTTTGATGGTTATTGTCGACAGTATTATAGAGACCAGCCTGACCAGGTAATGAAGTTTCGGCATACTAGTACTTCCTGACACTAGGTACCTATATATACCTACTTTTGTCTCTTTGAGAATCCACGTTGCTTCGATTATCGTTCGGAACGATAGATGATGTACAAAGCAGTCGCCACTGTAGTCCGGTGGGAAGATACCTGGTACCACTCGACTTCCAAGAGGAGTGGTGTGTTTCAACACATGGGAATAGTGGCTTGACATATGCAGAAGCACCCATCAGTACCCGATTTATACCTTGGGCTGTCCCGATACTTTCTGGGCTCCATTGTGGAGACTCCATAGAGGCCGGACATGAAGACTCGGTAGATTGAGTAGTACCTACTTAAGGTAAGGGCATGCTCGAGAGAAAGAAAGCGTGGTCAGATCCGCTTCATCGCCCGTCTACGTTAGGTACTCAGGACTCTCGACCAATCGTCGCCTTTTTCGGCTATGAGATCAGCGCGTTCGTCATCCAAGATCCGGCATATTCTCAAGCTCAAGCAGATTCCCTATACCTGACCTGTGTCGCAGTGCCAACGATGATGTCGCGCCCCGTCTTGCGGGTCTGACGATGGGTGATGCGGGTGACTCCCGAGCCAACGGACATGGCGCCAGTATTCAACGCGTACCAGGCATAGAGGTATCCTCGTGTACATGCGTGGTATCACAGAGGATGCAGCGATACTTTGATGATGAGCTACCTTCGACCGAAGTGGACAAGAGACAAGACATCGAGAACGTGCGGGACCAGATGAAAGCAGCGCCAGCTCTAGGCAAGAGATTCTTACTGCTCCGAACTCCGAGATCTACTCGGACTAGGTAGTCTGAGAGAGGGCGCGCTCATATCTGTGGCGCCACATAATCCAAGGAGAAGGGATTAAGGTAAGTCATTCCTCCAAAGTGTGCTCTGCGGATCCTATGCTGACTGCACGAAAGTCCTACAATCGGTACGTTAGTCGTCACCTTGTCACCAGAAGACGTGGTTATCAAACCCAAGGCACTCGAGAAGAGAGCTGGAGAGGCCAACTGATAACACTATAGAAGGTACTGCGAATGGATGCGAAGAGCCTGCAGTGGCCCGTATTCAGAATCTCAATGTAACGCTGATAATGCTGACCACAACAGAGTCAGTAATATAGTCCGAACTCTGAAGTCGCGTGAAAGATACCTTAACTTCCTTAAGATAAGTAGACTGTTGGAGGTATGAGATTTTGTTATCTCATTACAGAGTTCAATAAAACGCGGCTTTCCCGAAACAGAAGTGTGTTGGAAGCAAGCGAAATCCCGTATGCCAGGCTCCCATCCGTTCTATCAAGTTCTATGGACACCCTTGTCGAAGCTTCCAACTCAACCTTTCACAACTTGGACGACTACCTACATGTAGCTTACATGTACATGCTATCTTCTTTCTCTCCTAAATTCTAGTACATTCAAGTTGCGACTATAGAACTTCGTCGGGCAAGATACCAATGGCTTCAATAGCGCTGACTTTGCTTGTCAGCTTGGCTGCAGCTCAGTTCCCACCCAAGCCGGAAGGCGTCAAGGTCTTGCGCTCCAAACATCACGACGGTGTAACGCTATCATACAAAGAACCAGGACTATGCGAGACAACTCCCGGAGTCAAGTCATATGCAGGCTAGTACTCTCGATATGTAGAGCATAATGCTGTGTATTCGTCGTTCTCTTCTAATGGTTTTTTCATTTCACCAGGCTATGTACATTTACCTGTGGAAGCACTCAATGAGACGTTCGAGCATAATGGTTATCCCATCAATACCTTTTATTGGTTTTTCGAGTCTCGCATGGATCCTCACAACGCGCCATTGGCGATTTGGTTGAATGGTGATTATGGACAGACTGACGAGCTGGAACGCTGCTTACTCTGAGATTGAATAGGCGGGCCGGGAGGCAGTAGTCTGCTCGGCGCCCTCTCAGAGAACGGACCGTGCTTCGTGAGTGAGTTTATTCCACGCCAATAACTCGAGCGGTCTTTATCCAACCATGTGTACTCTTGTGGGCTGATATTACTCCAGGCAACGATTCGAAGAGCACATATCTCAATCCATGGTCGTGGAATAACGAGGCAAATCTCCTTTTCATCGACCAGCCGAACCAAGTAGGATACTCTTACGACGTCCTCACCAACGTGACCGTGAACCTCATCCCTTCGGATTCGTGGCTTCCAGGAGGTGACGTACAACCTACAGATTTCTCCGATGGAGTCCCCGAGCAGAACAACACTTTCTTGGTATGTCAGGTGTTGAGTGTGTAGCTGCAGAGACTCCTGCTGATCTATACACGCTGTACTACTACTGTAGGTTGGCACTTCGAGTAGTCAAAAGGTTAGCTCGACTGCCAACAGTACTCAACATGCTGCTACAGCAATCTGGCACTTTGCACAGACCTGGGTGAGTCGACATCGCAGACTGTACTTTGGCACAGCACAATATGCATACTGATCTGTCCCTACAGTTCGAAGAGTTCCCTCAATACAAGCCTGACGATGAACGCATCAGTCTCTTCACCGAAAGCTTCGGTGGACATTACGGACCAGGCTTCATGGACTACTTCATCCGACAAAACGACAAAATCACACGAGGAGAAATCCCCCGCGACGGCGCTCATTACATGCATCTCAGCACGCTAGGTATCGTCAACGGCTGCATCGACGCCCCGGACATGTTCGAATCGGAAATTATCTTCGCGTACAACAACACCTACGGCATCCAAGCCATCTCCCAAGACGATTACGAATGGAGCATGAACGAATTCCACAAGCCCGGCGGCGTCCTCGACGACCTCCACAAATGCCGCGAAGCAGAACTCCAAACCGATCCACACAACCACGGCACCGTAGCCGCAACCAACAAAATCTGCTCCGAGGCAGGCGAACGAGCCGAGAATATCAGCGATGGCATGTATGAGGAAGGCGGGAGCCGTGCACCATTCGACATCACTCACGACGCGCAAGATTCTTTCCCTCCTTCTTTTGTGCTTGGCTGGCTCAATCAGGTGGAAGTGCAACAGGCTTTGGGAGTACCTGTCAATCATTCGTGGTTTTCGCAGGCTGTGTCGAAGGCGTTTTCGAGTACGGGAGATATTGCCAAGGGAGGTCAGTTGGAGCAGTTGAGGAATGTGTTGGAGCATGGAATTACTGTTGCGCTGCTTTATGGAGATCGTGATTTTGCTTGTAATGTAAGTCTTTTTCTTTTTCTTTTTCTTTTTCTTTTTCTACTCGCCCCCCGTTTCCCCCTTTTGCTTCCCGACCTACCTACCTACCACTGGTATGGATGTCGTGTCTGTACACATGTACATGAAGCTCAAGCTAATCTCTCTCTCTCTCTCTCCCTCTTCTACTACAGTGGATCGGCGGAGAAAGATATAGTCTCAACGTGCCCTGGTCCGGTCAAGCCAAATTCCGCGCAGCAGGATATACACCACTTGTGCTCTCCGAACCATATACGCAATCCGGCGGTCTCGTTCGTCAATATGGAAATTTGTCATTTACACGAGTACGTACTTGTTCTCTATCTTGCTTTCCCTCCAATTACCAATATACCATTCTTCCCCCCCCCCCCGCAAAAAGAAATCCTCCCCCTAACTCTCTAACTACCTACCTACCTATACCTGACTTTCCCTACTTCCAGGTCTACCAAGCAGGCCACATGGTCCCCTCCTACCAACCCGAAGCCGCCTATAGAATTTTCATGCGCGCCCTCAACCACCGCGACATTGCAACAGGAACCATCAACACTCATGACACTTTTCCCACCACCACTACCACCACCAATACTACTACTTCCTCCTCCTCCTCCTCCGACGACGACGACGACGACGACGACGACGACGACGACGAAGAACAATACGAATATTATTCCACAACAGGACCCAGTGATACGTGGTGGAAAAAGAATGATGTCTTACCCGGCATGCCACATGTGTGCTATACACTGGATCCGTTGAGGCAATGTACGGAAGAGGAAGTTGAGTGGATTCGAGATGGGACGGCGGTGGTGAAGGATTGGATTTTGGTGGGGAGGAAGAATGTTAGTGATAGTGATAGTAATAGTGATAGTGGTAGTCAGGTAGAAAGGATGATAAGTAATAGGGAGGGTCAGGTGCCGTTCAAGGTGGATTTGTAGGGAAGGTGGGAGGTGGGAGGTGTGTTTGATGATGATATTGATGACAATGAAGGAGAGGCCGATTGGGAAAAGCTCGCAGACTTCTGTTGGAGCTGCCTTTATAGGCTGGTGCTTCAAGTCTGGAAATGGCTCATTAGGTATTGTTCAATATTATAGAGCCCTCTCCGCACCACATCCAGATAAAGAACAGGTCGGTATACTCTAATAAAGCTCGTAAGGGAGACATATCCAATATTCAGCGCGCAATCTACAATCTCGAAAAGGGCAACTACCTGACTATGTACCTTCCTGTATGCTGTGAAACTTTCTCGTGCGAAGAGAATCTGCATCGAGACAAGAAAGAAATGTTGACGCGTTAAGACTTCTTTTACAGTATAGGTAGTGATGAAAAAAGTCAATGAATCAGTTACGGAGGAAGCAGCTCGGAGCGAGATGACTACGGATAGCCTATCGATATGGAAACGACTGAGGAAAGACTCGATTCCATCAATTCTTACCTTAAGTAGGTATTTATATCTTACATATTGAAAATGGGATTCCATGGTAATTATTATGACAAAGCTAAATTCATTCAAAAAGTCTTCAAGCGATCCGAACCAAACAACTTCTTTGGAATAGTTACTCGCCTAGGGCGCAAAATATCCAGACGTAGCTTCGATACCTACTTAATGAGACTGCCCTATCTATCAATTGCAGTGCGAGAGGGAACTATAAAGGTTATCAAAAAACGTTAATAGCCGCTGGGGTAGATGTTTTTCGGGGTGATTTGCTTCATAGCGCTGTACAGAGGGAACCTTCAGGCGATACTGAGGAGCTTATTGATATACTGATTCGAGAGGGAACGTCAGTGGATACGTATGAATTTGACAATGAGGTTGCGCGCGTCCTTCGTTGCGGCTTCAAGCTGGGCACTGCGTTGTATACTGCATGTGACGAACAACATCTCCCGGCAGCCGACACTCAAACATGGCGCAGATCCGTATCGTCTGATGAAGCAATGCGGGAATCTCGTGCCACCAACTCCTTTATAGCTCGCTTCTAGTACAGCTCCGATGCGATATCTTATAGAGAGACATATAGCTGCAAGAAAATCAGTTTGAACAAACGGACGCATGGTTCAATCCCCTTCGACTAGCGCGCCCAGTTCCAAAGCCGCTCTGCTATACCGATCACCCGAGCTCGGCCGACGTCCAGTTTGTCACTACCTCCTACCGTATATAGAAGCCACCGCTCTACTCGGTCCACGTCTTCCCAATAATTGTCAATCCTGCACCGCTCAGATTCGTCCACTGCCCTTGCACGCCCGCGGCGGTTCTCGATAGATGTTGTCGTGGCCCATGCATACACGTCCGCAGGGTATCCGAACGAAAGGGCGTGATGGCCAAGATGAGGCGAGAGGTTGACCGCACCGAGGTGGTCTAGAGCAAATCTTTTCGTCTGTGAACCGATGTCTTCCGGACCGGACGGACATGGAGATTGATGGAACTAAAAAAGTTGGAGAGAGAGGAGGAAGTTCCCCTAGCGCGCGGACAAGGCCAGGCCAGGTCACCACCCTGGGCGCGCGTCGGCGCGATGAATCCGACGATGCTCCCGGAGCTGCTGGGCCGCGGCACTACGATTAGATAGTAGGCATTCTCTCACTCACCTTGATGGATGGCGCCAGCAAAGGGCGTTAGTTGTAGAAGAGAGGGCTCTCCCGGGCGTGCGCAAGGACACAGCAAGACGTGACAGAATTGGCGGGCGTGTCTTCGGAGTCTTCGCAGCCACCACTTGCCACCACGTTCTGGGGGAGGGGAAGCCCTGTTTTCTGCTCGCAGCAAGGCTGAGGCTCAGAGGCTGTGTGTGTGTCGGCGAGGCTATGGGCAGCCCTAGGATTCGTCTAAACGCAGCCCTGGATATAATACACCCAAACAGTACGTAATATACCTACCTCCGCAGCTCCGCTAAGTCCACTTCTCGTTATCGACGTAAAATACTTCGAAGTTCGCCGCCTCTATGTCGCGGCGACGCTACGTCGCTACCGCTATTACGACTCTCCCCTACGGATCTGCCTCGCTACTCGTAGAAGCCGATTATCTTATATATAGGATAATAGGTAGGTAGGTATACGTATCGTACGCTCGCGATTAATAATCGTATTTTAAAGGGGTAAAGGCAGATTCGTAAAGGAGACGGGAGTCGCGACGGCGAGACTTGCGACAGGCTATAGCAGCAGCGGCAGCGGTAGCAGTAGCGATATAGAGGCGGGCCTTAGGCAGCGGAGTATATTACGTCGATAACGAGATGTCGAGGTGTGTTACGTCTAGGGCTGCGGTTAGACGAATCCAAGGGCTGCCCATAGCCCCGCCGTGTGTGTGTGAGAGAGAGCCTGAGACGCGGTAAAGCGGCGGTATGTGCTCGCACTAGACTCGCAGCTCGACGGAGACTACCGTACTGTAGCTCTGCAGACTGCGTTTACTAGTCTGGATCGGGATTGATGGGACTGGGGCATGCCAGATGGTCCATGGGAAGGTTGAGAGCAGGCGCAGACGAGGGCTGTGAGAGGATGGAACAGGATGGAACAGAGAATGGGACAGAATGGGACAGAATGGGACAGTGGCTGAAAGAGCAGTGGGAGACGAGGGTGTGCAGGTCCACCAACCAGCAGTGTACAGATGTTCCGTCTGTACGGTGTGGCACACTAGCACACCGACCCAAGTAGGCAAGTAGGTACACAGTCTGAGGCTACTGTAGGCTGGGCGCGCTTGCAGTTGCAGCCTCCGCGGGGTTTGGCCTGTCTGCATCAGTGATGTCCAAACCTTAGTAAAATAGTAAAAGTAATTACTAATAAGTAATTACTTTTTACTAATCCCTTGGTTACTTTTACTTTTACTTTTACTTTTACTTATGACCTTCGAGGATTAGTAATTAGTAAAAGTAAAAGTAAAATAGTAACGATGATTTTACTAATTTCGGCTATACGTACCTATATATTTATAAGAAATAAGTAGTTTAGGAGGGATATATAGTAAGTAGAGGATATATTATATATATATATAAGCTATCTATATAGCTCTAATAGCCTATATTACGCTATGTCTATTACGCTATATATCTATTGCGCTATATATCTATCGCGCTATATATCTATCGCGCTATATATCTATCGCGCTATATGTCTATTGCGCTATATGTCTATTGCGCTATATATCTATCGTACTATATATCTATTATACCGTATATCTATTATACTATATATCTATTATACTATATATCTATTACGCTATATATCTATTACGCCGTATATCTATCGCGCCGTATCTATCGCGTCGTATCCGTTACGCTATATCCGTCGCCGTTTCTATAATTCTATTTCTTAATTGCCTAACTAGTTAGTAGGTATCTCTGTCTCTATCTCTATCTCTATCTCTATCTCTATTTCTATTCCTATCTCTATCTCTATCTCTATCTCTTAATTACCTAGGTATTTCTATCTCTAAGCCTATTTCTTAATTACTTAGGTAGATATCTCTATCTCTATCTCTTAATTACCTAGGTATTTCTATCTCTAAGCCTATTTCTTAATTACTTAGGTAGATATCTCTATCTCTATCTCTTAATTGCCTAGAGACCTTATCTTGTCTTAGTTCTTCGAAAAGTAGGTAGGTATAGTACGTATAATGTGCCTTAGGCAAATTTAGCCTCCTAAGTCCTACTATTTAGAATTTTTACTCCCGCTATATATAATTCCCTCTAAAGCCTTTACCTCTTTAAATACCTAGTAGTATAAGTATAAATATAAATAATATAAAGAAGTATAGAAACTATACTATACTATACTATACTATACTATACTACTTACGTTACTAATTAGTAAATGTATTTACTAATTAGTATTACTTTTTACTTTTACTTTTACTTTTACTTACGACCTTCCGTTAGTAATTAGTATTAGTAACGTATTTTACTTATGACCTATATTAGTAAAAGTAAAAGTAAAAGTAATTACTAATTACTTATTTTAGAGTTTGGACATCACTGGTCTGCATCGGCATCGCATTTCCCACTCGCCCGACTGTGGGACACAGGTATCCAAGATGCCAACAATGACAAACATTCCATGCCCACATGCCCACATGCCACCAGGGGGAGGTGGGAGGTAGACTCTAGTTCTCTGTCAACCGTGGTCGGCTACGGTGCGGTGCGGTGCGGTGCGGTGCTTCCTGGTGCTTGCAGCTGAGAGAGCCTGGCACTCGGGCACTCGGGCTCTCTGTGAGGCTCTGATCTGATGAGAGAGAAAAGCAACGCAAATGGTCCAAAGGTACTCCCACACGCCTGCATGTGAGATGCTGCTCGGCCTCTGCCTCTGCTTCTGCGCAAAAAAGAGATGAGAGACGACGCCTCACCGTGTCACTCCTCTCCCGTAGAACTACCTACCTGTATGTTCCACTGTCTGTCAGCAACTGCCTGTCTGCCCTGTTGACACGTCCGTTTCTTCGTCTTCGTCTTCATCTTCTTTTTCTTGTTCCACATCTTCATCTTCATCTTCATCAGCTTCTGCTTCTGCTTCTACGGCTCCCTCCTCCTCCTCCTCCTCCTCATCCTCCTACTACGCTTACCAGCCTTCCTGCGTGCACCTGCCAGCCAGACGGCCGCCACAGAGGGGAGCTGTGAAGCTGCCGCATTTGGGACCGCAACTCTCCATCTCTCGACTGCAGCACCCTACCTACGCACACACGCTCGCTCACTCATTCCCTCGCTCCCTACTGAAGCCTCTACGATCCACTGAAGCCTCCACGATCCACTGAAGCCTAGTCAAACCAGACGACACGACCTTTCCTGCGAGCGAGCCTACCTTCGCTTTCCCTAGAGCCCCACAAGCAAGGCCGAGAACAATCGGGAGAAGAGGAGAGGAGAGCAGAACAGAGCAGAGCCCAGTAGTGTAGACTAGAGAGCACAGAGCTGGGAAAGACACAGGCAAGGTAGAGAGGGTCCTCGGCAAGGATCGACAGTACAGCACTCCATGCGGACACGAAGACGGCGAGCCCACCACCAGCGAGGGTCATAGAGGTATCAGAGCGTGTGCGCATGGGACGCAGTCTGCGATGCGCATCCCCATCCGTATCCAGCTGGGAAGTCTATTGTTGCTTTCGTCCCTGATCGGTCTTGCTGTCATTTCCATTGCAGTATGGATCACTGTTCATGGCTTTGTGCTCGAAATCAGGGCCTCGCGCCTGGCCTTGACTGCCTCGCTCAAGGCCGGTCAACTGTCCAGCAACTTGGACGTCATGCATACCTCGGCCAGCTTTGTGACGACGCGAGTCTTGATCCAGAATGCTTTGCAGCGATACAATGACTATCGAAACAACACCCCGGCCAACTGGGCGAACGCTGCTGCAGACATGGCCGCCGCAATTGGCGGAGAGGCATCGCTAGGTCAGCAGCTGCTGATGCAATCGAGAGTCTGGTCCAAGGACGGCGCCGGTCCCGCTGGAGCACTTCCGCTGTTGGACACGACCCCAGACTCTGTCGACAATACCATCGCCCTGCCCTACACCTATGCCAACGGTTCTCCCGTCTACCTGGGCGCCAACGACAGTGATTACGGTTATCCACCCTTGTTGTACCCCAACCTGACCTACTCCGTGGGTGGCCCAGCCCGATATGGCGACTATGCCTTGCATCTGAATAGCTCCCTCTTCTTGGGGCCGTGGTTCGTGAATAGCACCTACGCCCTGGTCTCGCTCACTCTGCCCATCGCTAACAACACCGACCGGAATTCATTGCTGGGTTATACCACGATCTTGATGAACGCCGAACTCATTTCTCAGGTTATCAACTCTGCAGAAGGCCTAGGTCGAACCGGAGAAACGTTGCTGATCGGCCCAGCCAACCCGACAAATAGACTTCCAAATGGAATGGCCATGAAAAACACCGAGGACATGCCGGAACTCGATATTCGTTATGTCGTTCCCGTCAATAACAGTGGAAGCAAGCGGCATCCCACGCGCACGCAAGAGGGTACGAACTCCCCATTCAGTATCAGCGACTTTCCTGCTGTCTACAAGGCTTTTGCTGCGACAGATCCTTCGGGATCTCGACTCAAGGCGACCAATGAGGCCGGGAAGAAAGTGAGTGTCGGTTATGCAATGACCACGAGTGCTATGGTCAATTGGGCAGTTCTGGTGGAGATGTCCCGCAGCGAAGTCTGGCAACCGATCGCCACTTTACGCAAGGTCATTGTGGCCTGCCTGTTCGCCACCGCATGCCTGATGGCTCTCATCGCCTTCCCGTTGGCCCACTTCGCAGCGCAGCCCATTATCATGTTGCGAGCTGCAACACTACGGTCCGTCGACCCGCCCAGCATGGACGGACAATCCGAAGTGGACTTTCTCAGTGACACGAGAGATGGACCCGCCGACGATCCAGTAGATGCGGGCTCAGAGGTCGACGCGACGATGGCACGCAAAGAAGGCTTTCGGGCTCACATTTCCAATTGGAAGCGGAAACGCGAAGCTGACACTCAGGTTAAGCGCGAGGAGCAGCGGAAGCGCGCTTTCCGCATACCTGGTCGGGTCAAGCAGAGGAGAGGCTGTATCAAAGACGAGCTGTCTGATCTCACGTCCACGTTCAACGACATGTCGGATGAGCTGATGGTGCAGTATTCGAGATTGGACGAGCGGGTCCGAGAACGAACCGCCGAATTGGAACTCAGCAAGAAGGCCGCTGAAGCTGCGAATGAGAGCAAGACACTGTTCATCGCCAATATCAGGTAAGTCTCTGCGGGTGACCCCAGCCCATCTTCATCATCATCATCATCAGAAGAATAAGAAGACTTATGTGGTCATGCCTGGTGTGTGCGTACTAACGTATTCAGCCACGAGTTACGCACGCCTTTGAACGGGATCCTCGGGATGTGTGCCGTCTGCATGCAGGAAGACGATCCCCTGCGGCTCAAGCGCTCTCTTGGCATCATATACAAGAGTGGTGATCTCCTGCTCAATCTATTGACCGATCTTCTCACGTTCAGCAAGAACCAAGTCGGACAGCACCTCACTTTGGACGAGAAGGAGTTCCGCTTGCGCGACATCAGCTCCCAGATTCTAGCCATCTTCGACAAACAAGCCAAGGACGGCCGCATCGACCTCAAGGTCCAGTATGAGGGCATTGCCGACCCGGGCACCGACGATGCATCGCCCGACATGTCGATTTACGGCCCCGACACCAGTGGGCGCGTGAGCGATATGATTTTGTGGGGCGATATACACCGTATCTTGCAAGTTGTCATCAATCTGGTGAGCAACAGTCTCAAGTTCACTCCACCGGGAGGTTCGGTGAGACTCACAATACGCGCGTTGTCGGAACGGCCTGATATTGGCAGTCGCGGAACTTCGATGACCTCTCGGCAGTCCAATTCGGTGCGGATAGGGAGGCCATGGCGGCAACAGCATGCGGAGACATCGGACTGGAGGCGTAGCACTCAACGGAGCTCGGACTCCGCTGTGCTCAATTCAGGACCGCAGAAGCATGCCGAGATGTCCGAGACTCCTATTTCACGACAGGGCATGCATAGGACTTCAGATCTGTCCGGTCCAAGAATTGCTACAGCCAATGCCATCAATGCCAGAGACAAACCGCATGCTTCGCTCCATGTCTCGGAGCGAACACGATCACCTTCGTCGGGAAAGTATATATACTTTGAATTCGAAGTATCCGACACGGGACCCGGCATACCCGAAGATATACAGGACAAGATCTTCGAGCCTTTCGTGCAGGGAGACTTGGGCCTCAGCAAGAAGTTTGGTGGAACTGGACTGGGCCTTTCCATCTGCTCACAGCTGGCTAGCTTGATGAAAGGAGAGATGAAAGTCCGCAGCACGGTCGGTTTAGGCAGCACTTTCACATTGAAGATGCCCATACGACATGTCCAGACTCGTGCTGATAGTGCGGCCAGCTCTGTGGCGGGGGTGGGGAATGACGTGAGCAGGGAAGGCTCATTGTTTGACTCGCGCACGGCCTCGCCACAGCGTTCACATGGCCCAGTGGAGTACGAAGGTAGCATACCCAGTCCTTCCGAGCCCGTGAAGCCAAGGGTGAAAGAAGCGCCAACCACGCAATCTCGGCTGGTCGGCCTCAGTCAGCCGTATCTGACGACTTCCAAACCGCCCGAGTCTCCCGACGCCAAGGAAGAGGCGATCAAGCGCATATCTGCCACAACCAGCGGGAGCGGCAAGATCAGAGTGCTCGTCGCAGAAGACAACAAGATCAACCAAGAGGTGGTACTCCGCATGCTCAAACTGGAGGATATCTACGATGTCGTGATTGCTAAGGACGGTCAAGAGGCGTTGGATCTCGTTAAGACCTCGATGCGTCCCGGTGCCCGTCCTTTCAACCTCATATTCATGTGAGTCGGACTGAACGTGTGCATACGGATATATGGAAACCTTGCTGACCTTGGTGCTTTTTCTAGGGACGTTCAAATGTGAGCTCAGGCAACAGTACTTGTACAATGTGTGCGCATTCGCTGACCCGTGTGATTTCTGCTAGGCCTAATGTCGATGGCTTGACCAGTACGAAGATGATCCGAGCCATCGGCTACCAAGCACCCATTGTGGCACTCACCGCGTTTGCGGAAGAGAGCAATATCAAGGACTGCTACGATTCTGGCATGAACTACTTTCTGTAGGTCTTGCTATATTTCCATCTGGAAAGAGAAGCCGTCCGCTAATCTGCCGTCAGCTCGAAACCCATCCGCAGACCACAGCTCAAGAAAGTGCTCAAGGAATACATTGCCCCTATCCTGGAAGAGCCGGAGGAAGAAGAAGAAGCGGCTTCGCCTCCACTGCTCGGGCAAGGAAATCATAATACCACGATTGTCATGGTAAATAATGAAAGAAGATCGCAGGATTCGAAAGGAGCGGCAGACATTACGACAGACAAAAGTGCTAATGCGGCGCTTGACAACACAGATCAATCATTCTTCGCAGCGACAGTCGGCAACCTGGCCCAGGCCGACGAAGGATTCACTTCCCCTCGCACCGCCGTCGACAGATAGCGGAAAGAGCGCCGTTGCCAGGAAGGACCGGCTGCAGCTGCACGATTCGGGAGCGTCGACAGACCCCAATCTGGAAGCCATCAAGCAACAACAGCAGCAGCAGCCACACAGTCCTGGCGGTGGATATTTCAGTAAAGAGATGGGAAGTCTAGGGACAAAGGGAAAAGAAGTGCGTTTCAGTGATTTGTAATATGAGCGAGGCGCTTTGGGGTCTTTTTGTTTTCATCTCAATTTTTACTTTTTTGGTGCTCGGGCTACAAAAATTGGGTTCTGTATGCGAGAACGGGAGGTCTCTGAGACAGTGTGTCGATGATGGGCATGGAACCGCATAGGGAGATCAAAATCCAACAGGACAGGACAACATCCATCCTATTCCAGCTGCTCGAGCTTATTGTTATGCGGCATGAAATGAAGGGAATCTACGACAACTCATCATCACCGTTTCGAATCCGCTGCTGCTTCCTGTCATTCTTCGCCACCAGTCATTATCCTTGAATTCTCGTCCGGCCGGCGAGAGCTCCGCGCTGCGCCGGGATCTGTAGCCACACTTGAGCGTCAAGTTCTGCTTCGCCTCGCCTCGCCTCAGCCTGCGGCCACTCAAATTTATATGATTGTACGGTGAACGCCCAGACATATCTGCTGTCATCAAATCAGCAGGATGAGTAGGCAGTACTGATCTGATTCTGACCGGGACTGGCTATTGCGCGTCTGCAGATAGGCCGGGAATCATACCAAGAGCGATGTAGGACGACATCATACATGGCTAGTTCGTGTTGGCCGCTGTTATGGCTTGGCATCGACCTAGCATGGCCTATCGTGATAGGTTCGCCTCCACTGCCACCCACCCTCACCCTACGAACTAGCTGCCTTGCATCGACAGGTACTCTGCCCGACCGAGGTGCGATAGCGATAGCAGAGGCGCGTCTGGTATGCGACTCGCCAGAGATGACTCCATCTATAGTAAGTAGTGTTCTCCTGCTCTCCCATCTCTCCCAGGCTATTATCGTACAGTACTTATCATGACTTCAAAAACAGACTCGTATCGCCTCGGTGTCGATGTGGGCGGCACTTTCACCGATGCATGCGCCTTCTCGCCCAATGGGACCGTCTTTCGAGCCAAAGTCCCTTCCACACCACACGATCAATCCATCGGCGTCAAGAACAGCATCGACAAGGTCCGATCCGTGATTCAAGCCGCAGAGAAAGACTTTACTGGCAAGTTTGGTGCGCTCCACCATGGATCAACTGTTGCGACAAACGCTCTCTTGGAGGGCAAAGGGGTGCCTGCGGCACTGATCGTCACCCAAGGCCACAAGGATGTTCTCGTGGCACGACGGTCACAGATCCCAGGAGGACTCGCTGCGTGGATTAATTGGGAGCCTCCTGCGCCTCTCATCCCACTGGAGAGAACGCTACAAGTGTCGGAGAGAACCAGTGTAGATGGCAGCGAAATTAGACCGGTAGATAAGGAGGTGAGCGACCGTTGCCCAAACTTGTTCGTTAGAAAGAAAGTCCATGACTGACCTGCGCTATCTTCATCGTCCTCTCTGTCCAGGCCCTACGGAAGGAATTGCTCACTGTCAAAGGCAAAGTCCAAGCAGTCACGATTAGCTTGCTAAATTCATGGGTCTCGGGGGCTCACGAGCTAGAGGTGGCAGAGGTTGTCAAGGAAGTACTCGGTGACGACGTCGAGCTATCACTATCCCACGAAGTGCTTCCCGAGCTTGGCGAATATGAGCGCACTGTAACAGCAGCCGCCAATTCCGTGGTCAAGCCCGAGGTCAAGAGGTATATGAACGGTCTCTCACAAAAACTGACGGCCGACACGCCCACAGTGCGCATTCTCAAGTCTGACGGACGTCTCACCAACCTCGAACTCGCAGGCAATCTGCCCGTGAACATTCTCATGAGCGGTCCCGCGGGAGGAGTACGAGGCATCACGAGCATCATCGCTGATGCTACGCCGCACAAAAATCTCATCACGCTGGACATGGGAGGCACCAGCACGGATGTGGCGCTCATTGCAAATGCCCAACCCTCGCTGCGGAGAGAGACAATGGTGGGCGATCTTGCGGTCCGATCGCCATCGGTCGATGTCCGCACTATTGGTGCCGGGGGTGGTAGTCTGGCTTTCTACTCCAAGCTGACGAATACACTGCGCGTGGGTCCCGAGTCCAGTGGTGCGATGCCTGGACCAGCTTGTTATGGCAGAGGCGGCACACAGGCGACTGTCACAGATGCTCATCTTGTCCTGGGCTACCTGCCTGACACTCTGCTGGGTGGACAGTTCAAACTGGATGTTGCAGCTGCTCGTGCTGCGGTAGGGACATTGGCGGATGAGATGGGCAAAAGTATCTTTGAGACTGCTGAAGCCATTGTGGATCTTGCGAACGAGGCCATTTATGGAGCGCTGCGACTTGTCTCTGTGGAACGTGGTTACAACCCTGCGGACTTTGCCCTTGTGGCCATTGGTGGCGCTGGTCCTATGTGAGTACTATTCCCTGCCGCCTCTCTCAAATTCGTCAAGAGTAGCGAATCAAGATATCGATTCATTTGGGATGGGAGTACTCGTCCCCAAACTTCTAGGAACTAACGAAGAACTAGGTGCGCAAACGCTGTGGGAAAGCTTCTAGGAGCATGGCCAGTGATCATTCCCGCAGCTCCAGGCATCCTATGCGCTCAAGGCGACGCAACTACGAAGATGAGCCACGAACTGTCGGCCTCCTTCATCCACGTCCTGACCACGATCACGATGGATAAGATACGAGAAGAGTACAAGTCCCTGCGTGATCGGTGCGAGAGCACTATGAAAGAGGCACTCGACGAAGATGACCCTCCACTGGCAGTTGCGTACAGTGCTGCGCTCCGTTACAAAGGACAGGCGCTCGAACTTGGCATTGAGCTGTCTGAGGAGGATCTGGCACAACCCATGGAAATCTTTGAGCAAATCGCAAAGACCAAGTTCGACGCCATTCATCAACAGCAGTTCAGTTATACACTGGAGAACTTCGCACTGGAATTGACCCGCCTCACCGTATCCGCCGTTGATGCCTGTCCTGACCTCGAAATCCCGCTTGTGCCCACGGCCGACAGCGAGACTCCGCCAGAATCTGCCATTCTCGAGCACAAGAGCATAGTCGTTGGCGGCAACGAGCACCAAGCCACGTTCTGGGACCGGGCAGCTATCACCAAAAAAGGCCACAAAGTGCAGGGGCCAGCAGTCATTGTCGAGATGGACAGCAACACTCTCGTCGCTCCCGGATTCGAGGCTACCGTCGATGCCGTGGGGAATCTGTGCATCTCTCCCATGCCCGGGAACACACTACTCCCATCATTCAAATCCAAGTTTGAGAGCACCGTGTCCGACAAAACACCCGAGCAAAGAGTGGCAGAAGCCAAGAAGACTGTCGAGGATATTCCCGTCATCCCTACTCTGATCTCCTCATCCCTGGCTTCCATTCGCGCGGAGATGGATACGTTGATGCTGCGATGTTCCATGTCGCCTGCGATTCGTGAGCAGCAAGATGAGTTTAATGTCATCACCAACGCAGAGGGCAAGATGCTCGTGGGCCAGTTTGGAAGTTTTATCGGGCAGTTTATGAAAATCTGGACGCACAAGATGAACAAGAAGGAAGTGGACGAGATCGAGGAAGGAGATGTGTTCATCACCAACGATGTATACGAGGTCGAAGGCGCTGTTTCGCATCTGAACGATGTGATTGTGCTTCTTCCCATCTACTACGAACACCAGCTCGTGGGATGGGCTGCCAATTTTGGCCACATGACGGATGTGCAAGGTCAAGTTCCTGGCTCCATGAGTATCAACGCCCAGACCATCTTCGACGATGGCTTGCAGATCCCGACAATGAAACTGTTTGAGCGAGGCAAGATGAATAAGTCCATCGTGGAGCTCATGTGCAGAAACAGTCGACAGCCAGAGTGGCTGCGTTCGGATCTTTTGGCTTTGATTTCTGCTTGCAGGACTGCAGCGACACGAGTCTGTGAGCTCTGTACCCGATTCGGGCCGGAAGTGTATGCTGCAGCGACGGATGTCTTGCTGCAGAGGACCAGGACTGCCGTGTCGCAGATCATTGAGGAGCATATGACTGACGAGCTATCGACGTTTACTGACTTTGTCGACGACGATGGTCATGGCAAAGGTCCGTTTGCGCTCAAATGCACCCTCAGCAAGCCTGCAAAGAATAGACTCAAGTTCGACTGGCATGGAACGAGTCCGCAGGCGAGTAGTAGTATCAATTACTACCTCAGCGAGACGGTAAGTTGCGTGGAAGTATTGAACAAAAAGCAACATTGTAGTTCTTCTTGCTAACTTGTTCACCCAGATGTTCAAAATGTTCGTAGGTTACTACCTCCTCGCCGTCTACTCGCCCTTTACGATCCCCAACGACGGATTCCACGACTTGGTCGATGTGGAAATTCCCCTGGGTTCACTCCTCAAACCAGTACGACCCGCAGCTCTGTCATGCAGGACGCATTTCCTCGGTCGAACCATGGACATCATGCAAGCGCTCTTCGGCCAAAAGAACGCCGCCTTCATGACCGCCGCCGGCTTCAGCGATTCCCCTCACTTCTTCTACTCGGGCTTCAAGCCCACAGGCGAATGGTACCAACTCTACCAAATCGCCTTTGGCGGCGTCCCCGCACGCCCCAAAGGCGACGGACCCGACTGCCACTGTCTCTTCCCCGCCATCAAAAGCGTCCCCACGGAATCCATCGAACTCAATTTCCCCGTCCGCCTCGAAGTCAACGAAGCCGTCGCCGACTCCGGCGGAGCAGGTTTCCACCGTGGAGGAAACGCTCAACTCACCAAATATCACTTCCTCTCCGCCGGAGAATTCAGCCTGCATGATGATCGTTGGTTCACTTCCCCCTGGGGCGTCCGAGGCGGTAAACCAGGAAGTCGTAGCCGAAAAGCTCTGCATCGCATCAACCACAATAACAAAAACAACAAAAACAACGGCGGCTATGATCCCCCGATCCTTCTCCCATCCAAATGCGACCACGTCAAAGTCCAACCCGGCGATATCCTCGAATGGCAAACTTGGGGCGGAGGAGGTCTGGGAGATCCATGGACGCGACCCGCAGAAACTGTGGCATTGGAAGTCCGACGTAAATTAGTTTCTGTGCAAGGCGCCAAGGAGAATTATGCTGTGTGCATTCATCCTATTACTTTGGAATTGGATGTTGCTCAGACGGAAATTTTGCGCGCGGATATGGAGACTTCTTGTTCTTCTTCTTCTGCGAATGATGCGAATGATGCGAATGATACTGCGGATGCGTCTTCTGCCCGTCTGTATAATCGCGGAGGCACTCTAGCGGAAATTGCGGCAAAATGTCTCGAGGAAACGGGCTTTGAAGCTCCGGTTCCGCAGTGGGAAGAAGAGGTGTATGGACCTCATGTGGCTTTGCCGTATGTGAGGGAGTGGTATCGGAGGGGGAAGGAGGTGGGGTATGAGATGTGGGGGGTTTGATACATAATTCTGTATTTGAGAAATTTTTAAAATTTTGGGGAAGAGATGGGATGGATGATATGGATATGTATCTTACTGGTGTTTGTTAGGCTGTTGGCTATTTCGTTACGACTTTGCTGTGGTGGTTGGTGGTTTGATGGTGGTGGTGGTGGTGGTGGTAGTGCTAGTGGTATGATAGAAAGAGAATACCAAATCATTATCATCATCATCATCATCACATTATATCCTTTTCCCCCTCATCACGATGTAGGTAAGGTAGGTAGGTAAGGTATGTACACATCCACATATTGCGCCAAGAGTAAGATAGGTATATGTATATATACCTTATACCTCATACCTACCTACCTCTTTGTCTGACTCCGACAAGTATATATCGATATCAAAATTACTAAAACACATTATTGTACATAGTTGTTGTTGTAGTTGTAGTAGTACCTATAATTGATTGGCTGTACTAAAAAGAAAAAAGAGAAAAAAGAACACGAAACAAAGGAAACCCTCCGAAAGGCCCTACTGTAAGATTCAAAAACACCTACATCCGAATTATCCGAAAAGTTCGTCCGTTTGTTCGTTCGTTCGTTCGTTCGTTTGTTCGTTTTATCAAGGTAGCTCCTACCTCTAGTCTAGAAAAGCCTACTATACTACAAATAGCGGTTGTTTAACTAGAACCGTAGAAACTATAGAATGTATCTAACTAGAGTAGCGTTACGTTCCGGAGAAGCCTATTCTTTTTAGTGTACGCAATACGGTAGGTAAGTAGGGTAGGTGAACTTTCCTTTTTTCGAATCTGTAGGGGGTACATACAGTGGTTTCTAGGTAAAGCTAAGAAGAAGTATCCGCTTTTTGCGGGTACCCCATCCTCCCTACTACAGACGATATGTAAGCGAACCTAAGTTGCTGATTTGCTTGCGTGAATGAGATCTGCAGAAAAGAAAAAAAAAACTTCAGCCTTGTAAGGCTACCTTCATGTACCTAATAAGCGAGTTTTTTATTTAGTAGAAGAGTGTAACAGTAGGAAGCTACTGATTTGTCAACGTTTTCTCTTTTGGGAAGGTCATGTTGCTGCTGTCTGTCTGTCTGTCGACGGTTCTCGCCTGATGTTTGAGCCGATACTACTAAGACTTGCAGAGAGAGAGAGAGGGTGTGTGTGTGTGTGTGAGAGAGAGAGAGAGAGAGAGTAAGCTCTGAGGTTATCTGTTGGGGGCTGCTGCTGCTGTAGCATCGATATCTGCCGGGAGAACAAACTTGGGCTAGGTGCAGTTGCAAATAGGAGTTTCGCGATAACAAAATTTCTTGATGCAAACAATTCTCTCCGGCCTCCAGAAGATGTCCTCGGGTCATTTCTTGACGAATTGAGTGGATATCGTGGGCCTGACGATGTGGGACGGAGCAATGTCAAGCTTCTCGTCAAGCCTTTTTGGCGTAATAGTCCGGCCAGAAAAAAGAAAACCAGTGTGATGCTCGCTTACTTGCTGCCTTTTTTCTCCCTTCCCGGCGAGAATATGATGTTCTTGGGACCTTAGGGAGTGGTGCAAGTGGGCTTGGAGCCATGGCGCGCCCTATAGTCAGCAATGCGCTCTCTACATTAACCTGTCTCGGAACATGTATAACACCCGTATCGGGAAGTCGTATCTCTCGCGATTTCGGGCTCGTTGGCCGAGGAGAAAGGAAGTATGCTCGCGCCTTTGAACCCGGTGGTGCTTCGCGTGGTCGAGAATCGTGCGTACGTCACCTCCTTAGCCCGAGACTAGGTAGTTTAGGATGGTTCTGTAGACTTCACATAATCTTCGAGATACTGATGTGATCGAACTGTGCAAGTACGACCTCCGACAGCGTTGAGAGAAGAAGTACATTGTACGAATGCTCCTTCCTTTCACTGACATCCTATAGGACCTCTAAAGTCGTGGTCATCTACGTCGTAGGGCTCCAGGTGTTCATCTTGAAAGTTTGAACTTCGTTACACCCGTGAACTCGTCCCAGGCCTACCTGCGGTGACGTTCCAGATCCGATATTTCTGCAGCTTTCTCATTGGATTTGGCGTCATTCCAGCGTACATGTAGTAGGCAATGCCTCTGGAAAGATGTCGGCAGGAATGTCCATCGTGCTATCCTCGGCAGGCGATGCGCTGCATCGCGGTCGATACGAGAGAGTGTTGGATGTTGTTCGGCTGTGATGATGGATGGCTAGCTGCTGCTTGCGGCATCTTCGGCATCTTAATCTCTGTGCTGAGGTGTCGCTCGGCAGAGCTACCCATGTCGTTGATCCCGTCGTTACCACTGGACTGTGGTGTCGTCGCTGGTCGTCACGATCTTATCAGCAGGATCTGACCAGCAGTGACGTTGTTGTCGTCTGATGGCGTATGCCGAGTCCAGTCGTTACTCCAGCTGGTTGAGGTTGGATGTGCTCTCACCACTGATCCACTGATCCACTGATCACATCCTCCACAAGCAGTGCAGTAGGAGGTGCGTAGCCGAAACCGCTTACAGGTGAGATTCAAGGTAGCCGCCGACCTGCTGGTGAAGATGTGGTTCCCATCCCCATCCCCATTGCCCCTCTACTCCCTGCCCTCACCCAAATAGACACGTGCGCTCCTATTCGAGAGCGTCGACGCCCTGGGCAGTGGGGGGATCGAAGCAGGAAATCGGTGTTCCGAGGCACGATATAGTTAGGTAGTTGTAGGTCTATCGGAGCACTGAGCAAGGCACAGAATGAAAGATTCTTGGCGCCATTTCACTCTGTCGGAATGCGAAGGAGGCGAGCGGATCGATGATAGGCATTCGATACCCGACTGCTGGGAGGGTGTCGGACTACAGGTAGTGTACACTGTGCACTGTACCTTTTTGCTAAGGGCAGTAGATTTCCGTGACACCGTCGTCGTGAGTTTAGTGAGCGTAGCTCCTAGGGCGTATGCGAGAGAGCGCCTTGCAAATCCCCGGCCTTCGAGGAGTTCCCACTTCCCACTTCCCGCTTCCCACTTCCAGCTCGGTTCGGATCATTCGCTCTCACCAAGCTGCCAGTGCCAGGTGGTATTGCTGCCACATGCCCCCCCTCCCCTGGGCTGGAACCTGGGAGTTCGCGCTTCCAGTCTTGACCTTGTTCGGTAGTAGTGGTGAACTGGTGACTAGGACTACTGCGCCCGTCCGTCCGTACCGTACCGTACCGAACATTCTTCGGGCGATCTTGTTGGCGTTTCCTTCGGGACATCTGCGACATTGACAGCCGTAAAGTTAGACAGCGCAAGTGCACCAAGGCCGCGGATGTTACGCTGTATGATGGCCAACGCCTGACGAGGATCCTGCGCGGAGGCTAGAAATAGTCTATCAGCCGAGCAGGCGTGGCATCGTTCGCAAGGGAAGGGGAGATTTCAGATATATTTATTTCATGGGACGCACTCTAGCCTAGTCCCGTCATGGTGACTCAGAGTCTCACAGCAAACGGCAGCCTCGTAGGCACCACTATAACTTTGTTCCGTGGCCTAGACTACCCAGACCCTTCTTCTTCACCTTCACCTTCACCCTCCTCACCTCAGCCGTCCCGGACACTGCTCTACTACATATATCAGTCAGCGCTGCGACATACCCGACCGATCTTTCACCTCAAACTCAGCACACTCCCATCACGCATTCGGAGTTCCTCCATCGGCCACCGAATTTGACGTCCATCCACTACCTACCTAGTCAGCTGAGCCTACAGTCACGGTCAGCAGACCTTACCCACCCGGGAACCAAACGACTCCCATATATTCGTCAGCATCACACTGCAGCGCAACGATGCCTCCATCCACGACTGCAGTCGGCAAAGCCTGGGAGGAAGCTTTTCTCGACAAGTTTATCGCTGCCTCCTCCGGAGCCAACACGCCACGTTCCAGTCTCGACCGCAGAGATGCATCTCCCTCAAACGCAGCAGCTGGAGGGAGACGAGGCATTAGCTCAGCGCCCACCAGTGCGCCCACAGCACCCAAAACAGTCCGCTGAAGCTCCGACTAAGAACGCTACTTCTACGACTACTACTACTACTGCAACCACCACTGCCGAACCAATGGAAGAAGAATGCTGCGATTACTACTACGATGCCAAAGACACCGATGACCTGATCAGCTCCTCCTGCTCCCCAGAAGACGGGAAAACAGACCCCCCACGGGAAACGTTTTACATTTCATCGTATCAACGATCTTTTTCCTGGGCCTCGAATCTCTCCTTTGCGACTCTGGACTCTGCATCTCTCACCACCACTACCACTTTATCCACAGACGATAATGCTTCTTCCATCACGAGAAGATCTTCCTCTGCGAGCCTCACTTCTGCTCGCTTACTCAAACTGATGAGGCCTTTTTCGCGCTCGCAGGAGCGTTCTAGCAGCATATAAAAAGTGTCTCTCTCTCTCTCTCTATCTCGACGACGAAGAGAAGATTGCCATGTGTGTGGGTAAGAGAGAGAGAGAGAGAGGTCTTCTCAGTGGAGGTTCCTCCCGAGGGGGTCTGTCTCAACCTACCCACCTAACCTACCAACCTTACCCATCGACCTAGAACTGCCCAGGCCTGCAATATTGAAAATCTGAGCATGTCGTCTTCAACACTGCCATGGTGGCTTGAGGATGATGATGGTGACTTGAGGTGCTGCATTCTTCTCATGACACATGAATGACCAGCTGGATGGATGGATAGAGGCAGGCACGCTTCGTTTGAGCAGAACACCTCCTCATCCATGCTCGTGCTCAAAGAAAGAGGGAGATCTTTTTCCTTGCCAAGGAACCCGAAGAGAGGACGGGACCTACCTACCTACCTACCTACACAGGAGATGGTCACGTGCATGTCATTGGTAGGCGGTTTGAATTCAACGTAGATTACGTCTACTGGAGGTAGACATAAATAGAAATGTCAAAGAATACCTTAATTATTTTATGCTTTGGTGATGCTTCAGTACAAGTAGACTCGCTGTTGCAATGCAAAGCACCTCGGCGGGGGGAGTCTTTTCTCTTTTCTACCCAGGTTATGACCAACACTCACCGTGAATCCGTGGCAGGTGCACCAACAACATACATGTACATGAAGCGCGAAATACTGAGATGATTTCATTGTCTATGCGTTTGCTACTCATAACCAAACATAGGTAGCCCTTTCTCGGACCCCGTGCTGGACAAATGCAACAAAACCAATACCCTAGCACCCTCTTTCCGGTGCCGCCGCTCGCCAGACGCCAGCCCTATCTCGCAGTCGCGTGCCTTTGGCATTTGCATGTCAGCTTGCGTCACACCGTGCCCTCTTCTCGTCTCTTGTCTCCCATGTCAAGCACTCCGAAAGTCCGAATTGCATGCTGCTCTCCTATTCCGTTTCTGTTTCCGTTTCCGATTCCGATCTCATGCAATGCGGGATGCATTGATGCAATACTCCTGGATTGCAGGATGACAGTAGTAATGCCAGAAACTGGGGGGGGGGACTTGTTTTTTTATCTCCTCAGCCCAACATCTTCCTGATTGCGCGGATCATCGCGGCGCATGATTGCCTCCACCGGTCCGAGCAGTCTCTGGAAGCCGTCCTTGTCCAGTGCTGCGACCTTCACTTCCGTGGTACTGATCACACTTGCCGCGCGCGGCTTATCCTCTAGCAAAGCCAGTTCTCCAAAATAGTCTCCCGGCTCGTAGCTCTTCAGAGGCTGTTGCTCACGCCCACGCTTCACCGCAATTGCCTCGCCTGATTCGAGAATATAGAACTTGTCACCTGCGTCTCCTTCTTGAATGATGGTGCTCCCTGCGGGGTGCTTCACCGTGTCGAGCGCATCGGCGATTTTGCTTCGCTCATATGTCGTGAGTGACGAGAGGAGAGGCACACCCTCCAAAAACGACTCGTACATGCGGCGGCGCTGGAAAGCCGAGTCCATGAGAATCTTGCGGAAAGTGAGGCGGTCGAGTTGCCAGAGAACGCTGGGCTCGTGGCTCACGACTGTAGCAGCGCGCGGTGCATTGTACATGAGAGCAAGCTCACCAAAAGATGTACCGGGGCCACTGCTGGCCACCTTTGTGCCCAATCCCTGTTGACCTTGCTCTGCTTTGCCGGTGTCTGAGATGTAGATATCAAACGATCCAGACTCCACGACGTAGAAGTAATCACCAGACTCGCCTTGCGTGATGACTCTGATATCCTTCGCTGGCACGCGCTTCTCCTGGAGGGCGCTGAGCACTTGCGAGGCCTGGTCCTCGTCGAGATTCTTGAAGAGGAAGTTGTGTGACACTGCCTCACGAAGGCGAGCCAGTTGATCCGGGGTCTTTGGATAGCTCGGTGCCTTCCAATCGCTGTCTTCTGCCGCACCTGGTGCGAGAGACTCTGCCGACACCGAAGTGCGACGGTTCATGTTATAGTTGTTGGGGAATGTCGACTGCGACATGCTGTCATTGGCACCGGGTGGTGGCTGATTGGGATCGCGAGCAGCACCAAAGCCAAAAGAACCAAAGGAGCCTCCTGCACCGCTGTTTGCAGATGGTGGAACGGCGTCACTACTGGTGCTGGGGGAGACTTCGCGGACGTTGGGCGGAAAGGAGGATGCGGTGGGCGAGGCGAAGTCGGGCTCCTCTTCTTCGGCGAGAGAATGCATGCCGCCGCCGGAGCCTGCAAGCTGGTTTGGGGCGGTTGATGTGAAGGGATTGGAGCCAGGAAAGGTGCTCTCCGCCATTCCCGGCTGCTTGGAATGTCGGTGCGACAGTAGGAATTCGGCGCGCTGCGACTCCAGGCGACGCTGGAAGAAGTTGGCGCAGAACTGCAAGGTGTCCTGCGGCTGATGCTTGAGGATTTCGCGATTGAGCGCGCTGATCTCGTTGGTGTAGTCGCTGGGCAGCGACATTCCTCCTGGCACGCGATGATGCAGGCGGACACAGGCGAGAGGTATTCGAGTGAGCTACTGAGTCAAGCTACGTCTAGGCACTAGGCGCTGCTTGCTCGGCCTGACTAGGGGTTGCTGGTCGGCGAGGGGATGCCTCTGACGGGGCGTGAAGGGTGGAGGCGGGGCGTGGGAGCGTAGTGCTGTCTGTGTGGAAGGGCTGCGCTGCTAAGAATTGAAGAAGCTCACAGGCGCGCCCGCTTGTGACGTAGGACTAAGGTAGGTTGTTCTAAAAGGTAGAACTAGTGGGAGGTTCAGGTAGGTAAAGTTGGTTTCAGGGCGGGTGGAGGGTGGGCTGTCGCTAGAAGCTCCCAAAGGCTGTGGCTGGCTGCGTGGCTGTCCTCACAGTGGTACCATGGAGGTAGTACGGAAGGGGCGGCAGTGGGTAGTAGGTGGTAGGAGGTAGGAATACCGAATACCTCTACCAGCACAATGAATGGAAATGGATGCGGCAATGTTCGAGAAGGCGATATGGAAAAAGTCTAATGGCAGTGTGATGATGGGTCGCGTGATGAAGATCAGAAGATGGAAGCCGAAGCACTCAGTGACGATGCCTGCACTGCTGAGTGCTCTCTCCACCGCCCGTCTCTCTGTCTTTCTCTCTCTCTCTCTCTCTCACTCTATCCCTCCTCCCTGTAGCTCCCCCTCCCCCTCCCCCCTCTCCCCCTTCCTCTCCCCTCCCCCCTCTCCCCCTTCCTCTCCCCTCCCCCCTCTCCCTCTTCCTCTCCCGTCGCCTAGAACTTCTACACGTACCTCTTCCTACATGTATCTGTTCTGTTCTGCTGTATTGTGTTTTGGATCACTCCCGACATCATGGCAAGGCCGGCCCTGCGCATACGTCTCGAGCAAGAACGAGAAACTGTTGTAATCACTCCATGTCCGAACCACAGCAACAATATCATCATCACCATGATCATCATCGAGATCGTGACCAGGCCAGCCGACCCCGAATAATAGGCCCACGAATGCACCGAACGAAGCCTGGCCTGTCAGTCACGCTACACGAAGGTAACGTGTGATATATAGGTACTGCCATGATATATAGGTACCACTAGTACAGGTGCAATGAGAAGACAAGTCTTAGCTCTGCTTGTATCTCATTTCGCTCTTATTCTGCTGTCCACTGCAGCCTTATCAGGGTACTCTGATTGACCATACCTCCTCTGCCTTGCGCTTGTGTCTTGCAACCATTGCATGTCAACCTCTTTCTCTCTCTTTCTCTCTCTCTCTCCCTCTCGCTCGTTGCCCTCCCTCGTCGTAGTTCCATCACGTCCCCGGCCTGCGCAGTCGCTCGTATTGCAGTTGTATCGCAATCTCGCCATGTCACACATGAGTTATGCCACGCGGGCAAAATCCAGAAGCCGCATCCTGGACAATAGTAGACGGTGGACGGTAAAGCTCCACTTTGTACGGAAATTCAGCCACCAACAGCTTAGTTCTATGCAGTGCCGAAGCTCTCAACGATCTCGACCTTCGTGCTGCCAACCTTTTCTTCCTACTGCCCACCCTCGCGCTGCGCACAAACACCGCTCTTGTTCGACACTTGCTCAGACGGCGCGGCAGGCATTACAGACGTTGCAACCCTTGTGAGCCCCTCTTCCTCGGCTTGCGGCTGGGACACGAGTCGCCGACCTCTCGCAATCTAGGTACCCATACCTTGACCTAGTCGCCAGTCCTGACTACTAGTACTCCACCAGCTGTCGTCATTCAGACAGACTGCTGCCATCTTACTCCTGTACACCCACAGGTCCTTCGTCCCAGATATACACGTGTTTCAGCAGCGACGATGGGATCTCACAACTTTACTTGGTACGTCCAGAGGGCGCTCGCGAGTTCGTACCGCGTCGCGAGAATAGGTAGCTACCAAGCTCCAGGCAACGAGCAAAAGAGCTGCGCGCATTGTCGCAATTGGTTGCGGTCGACTTCGGAAATCCTGCGCATCAAGCTGACGCTACTCGATTATTCTACAGGGCGCATCCAGCCACAGAAGTGTACGTGACCGGCACCTTTGATGCATGGGGCAAAACCGAGAAGCTTGAAAAGAAGGGCGACATCCACGAGAAGGTTGTGACATTTGACACCTTGCCGACGGAGAAGATTCTATACAAGGTGAGCGAGCATTCCAGCAGGCGCAGGATCGTGCACATGGCAGCTACATCTGAACAACACGTGCGACTGACACGTGGGTAACGCGCGCAGTTTGTAGCCGACGGGACGTGGTCTCACGATCACACCGCAAAGACAGAGACCGACCACGAAGGCAACGTTAACAACGTTCTCTATCCCGAAGATATCAAGCGCGCCGACCCAATGATTTCCTCTGCCGCGCCCGGTGCCACAACGGCCAGTTTAGCTGGCCAACAGCCGCTCGAGAAAGAGGTTCGAGGGAAGGACACATCTCAGACCCCTGGCACCTTCCCTGGGACACCTGCGCTGACTTCAAGTGACGAGAAGAAGGACGGACTCGCGGCTGCTGGTCTTGCCGCTGGTCTTGTTGGCGCAGGTGGCGCGGGTGCGCTGGCGAGCAAGGCAGGCTCCAAGGAGCCAGAGCAGACTTTCTCCGTCAACCCCATTCCAGCTTCCTCTGGCGTCGGAAATCCAATCAGCCTTGCAGCTGGCGAGAAGGTGCCTGAGCCATCAACTATCACCAGCAACACTATTGCGTCGACAGTACGCGACGACCCATCGCTAAAGAGCAGTGCGGAGGACGCTGGTCAGACATTCGGCGTCGCGCCGCTTCCAGCGACTGGTGGTATCGGAAATCCAATCAGCCTCGCACCAGGAGAGAAGGTTCCGGACAGCAGCTCGTACACAGCCAGCAACATCAACAGCCACGTAAAGCTAGACAAAGATTCATACGAGAACAGCGGATCTTCCGTCCCAGTCTTGCCACCAAAAACTGGAGAGATTGAAAGCGACACTGCTGCAGGCGGCGCTCTACTCGGTGGTCTTGGCCCACAGACAACTAACATGATTCCCGAGTCTTCTATGGGGATGGGTGCAGACGCCCCGGCTCCTCTCGAAGGTCAGGCTATCAGCTCCGTTGGCGCCAACAGCACCACGAACGAGCTCGCCGGTCAGGTTCCCCTTGAGCCACGCGGCGTTCCCGTAGTAGTCAAGGAGTCGCAGAAGGATGCAGGTGTCGCCCCAGAGGCATCTGCCAACCCGGAGGCCGTGCAAGAGAAGAAAGATGTTGAGAGCGAGCTCAAGGACAAGATTGGAAAGCCCGAAGATCAGACAAGCGGTGCCATTGGTGGTGCCTTTGGCGGTCTTGGTGGCGGTGCGCTGGCCGGTGGTATCCTCGCGGGCGCTGGTGCTACCGCCCTCGGCGTTGCTGCAGCTGCGCGCCAAAAGGCACACGAGACCACTGGTACTGACCCAGTATCATTGCTACCAACCTCTGTTCAGAAGACTGTTGATGAGAACACCCGTCCAAACGGCTCGGCCACGGAGCGGGCTGCGACGGCCGATACAGTGCCAGCCGCTGTCACTGAATCGCAGAAGGAAGCCCACGCCGCACCAGAGGCGTCCGCCAACGCGGAGGCTGTTCACGAGAAGAGCGACGTGGAGAAGGAACTCTTGAACAAGGTGCCAGAGTCACAGGCCACTGGCGATTCAGCACCAGGTATTGTCAATTCTAGCACCAAATCGACGGGAGAGCCAGCGCCTACTGCTGCGGCCGATGCAGTGCCAGTTGCTGTTGCAGAATCGCAGAAGGAAGCGCACGCCGCGCCAGAGGCGTCCGCCAATGCGGAGGCAGTTCACGAGAAGAGCGATGTCGAGAAAGAGCTTTTGAACAAGGTGCCAGAATCACAGGCCACTGGCGATTCAGCACCAGGTATTGTCAATTCTAGCACCAAATCGGCGGGCGAGCCAGCGCCTACTGCTGCGGCCGACGCAGTGCCAGTCGCTGTTGCAGAATCGCAGAAGGAAGCGCACGCCGCGCCAGAGGCGTCCGCCAATGCGGAGGCAGTTCACGAGAAGAGCGATGTCGAGAAAGAGCTTTTGAACAAGGTGCCAGAGTCGCAGGCCACTGGCGATTCAGCACCAGCTGTCGCCAGCTCTGGCACAATGGCGCCAGCCTCTGGCGGTGCTCCTGGTTACGACATCCAAACTGGACCCGATTATGTAGAAGGCGGCGTTGCCTCTGGCGTCACTGGGGCGAGCGCGACACGCACGGCTGGCGTGAGCGAGCCAATCGCAACCAGCACGACTTCTGAGACTGGCGCAACTACTTCAAATGGAGCGCCACAGCTTGCCGACCCCACCGAGGGTGTTGCAGCTCTGAGCATGAATGATAAGTCAAAGGACATCGATGCTCCAGCAAGCTCGCAGGCAGAGGTTAGCAAGCCCACTGTGCTCGCAGCAGACCCATCGAAGCCTATGGACAGCCGAGATGTTAGTCCCATGTCAAAGCCGAAGGCTGCTTCTAGCGAACAAGCTGCCCCTGTTGTAACGACTGGTGTTAGCTCTGGCACTGCTCCTGCAACTTCAGAGGCCTCGAAGCCGGTCGGAACTCCGCGTACTAGCGCAGGACCATCAACACCAGCCAAGCGCAATTCAATGATTGATCGATTCGAGCGTTTCAAGGGCGGCAAAGAGGGCACTCCTGACTCTTCAAAGACGGATGGCTCGTCGACGAAGAAGAAGGGCCGCCTCAGCAGATTCTTCGACAAGCTCAAAAACTAGTTTCGAAAGAGCTTCTTCGGGACTGTCGCTACATCTAACCAATCGAGTGAGCCTCATGGCGGTGTGGAAATCGCACTCACCATGCAGCACCCATACACGGAGGTCGGGAAGCGTCCACCCGACTGGGTCTCTGATCTAGGCGTTCCGGTTAGCAGGAGCCAGGATGGTACTCGCAGCGCTGAGCTAGTCCGGATTGCTGGACCTCAGTATGTGCCCTCGAACACTTCCGCGCAAGGCTATCCGAGCCGGAGTGGCAGTCCAAGCATCAGATCTTCCTCCTCTAACGTAGATGCCAATGTTGGGACCACATCCTCGACGGCGTCATCCTTTCACCTACCTCGACTTTCTGGAGGCTTCGAGTCTCGACTTGCATTGGACTTTGAGCCTCTGGAAGACTCTGTTGTTGTGCGGCACTAGACTTTGGAGTACGACCGTGAGAGATCGACCTCTTGCTATTGTTTTGAGTGCAAACACTTGTGCATCAAGTACAACGAGGATTTGCTGCGTTCACGTGTTTTCATGGGCATGAGATACATACTATGCATGAATGGCGAGGAATTGTTTTTTGGCTGCTTTTGGATGCTTCTACTATACCACTTTCGCGTGTATTGTTGTGTGTAGTTAGGCACTATGAGTATAGGAATAATGTTTCTTTCTTATCTACTGATCCCATGCAGCCCAACCAACGCAGTCCCGTCGTTAGCCATGCTGACCGCCTTTTCCAGATGCTGAACCTGCACAAGACGCAACGAACCGAGGCACTATGACAGCGCAAGTACATGTATCCAACACAACCTCAAACGAAGGGTTCAACAGCGAGAACGACGACGTTACATGTCCCAGGCAGCGAAGGTGGGGACGATCTCTTCTTGGCAAACCCGACGTCCGACGTCTCACTAAGGTTATATCAGGGACTGACTATAAGGGACTACATGTAGCATCACACTCGTGCTTGCGTCATGAGCGAACCATTACAGGAGGAGCCTACATTACCTGTACACATGTACATAGGTATGTACCGCAACGCCTACAGGTACTGTCTATTCTTCAGACGCAGGGACTACAGGTACTTTTCCCGACATCTGTGACAACGTTGGAGTGCCCGGTGGCAATGGAAGTGCGCACACCTCGGTGACCTCATCTGCCACCCTGCAATTACATACTTGTACTTGTGAGTCCCTCCATGAGTACTGAGTTGGGTGGAAGGGTTACCCAGACGTGCTCAAGTGTGGCATCAGACTCTTGGCTCTGCTACTACAAAATAGAGAGATTCAGGACCTCAAGAGCACTGCTTGCGACAGCTATGGAACAGACAAGAAGAACTTTGAGGCATGATTGGTGAACGTATGGTGCCTTGCAAACCGGAAGATCTGCGTTTCTGAAGACTGGTCACATACCTATCATCATTTCGCCAAATTTTTGGGAGGCCCTTGCCAGCAAACATGAAACCGCCACTACAGTACCAGATTCGGCAATACTGTGACTCCCACGGTGGAGGTTAGGTCGATCCCATCTCGCGGGATACAACCACTCTTCGCGCACAGACTCGACACGGCCTTGATACTGCTCGATCTTCGCAACCACATTGGCCAGTGCTTGCTCTCGAATGGATCACACCAATGCGAGTAGGTATCGCACGCTATATGAGTGTCTAAATGGCCAGCTGCTCTCACTTCGAAGCAATAGCCAGATATAACAGCTACATGAGTAGGGTAGACATTCGCAATCTCCCAAGTGAGATTATGGAACAGCTTGCGCCAAGAGCATATTGTATTTACATACCCACGCTCTCGTGGGGACAGGATTTCCAAGCTTAGGTATTCACACACACACACCACAGACCCCTCGCGCCGATTCCAGGACTCATAGCAGCACATCATCATAAGATGGGCACTGGTCGTGGCACATGCTTCAAGCGTATTACTGCTTCTGTGCTTGCCGCTGCAATCATTGCCATCATCGTCGCTGTGTGCGTGGTCTACATACCTAGGGACCACAGTATCAACGATGGACCGAAAGTCACGAACAAAGAGGCGTTCAAGAACGGCGGTGCAAGGAAACATCCTAGCAAGAACGACGGCAAAGATCATGCCGATGATCAATACACCTACTACCCGGGCAATGTATCGAATTATCCCAAGAAGGATGAATGGGTTAGCTTTAATCACATGTGGAAATCGAATCTACTCAAGATGCAGACCGCATGCACAAAGCTTGGCTTTGGGGAAAACAACTCGTTCGTACCAAGCTCCTCTCAGACCGCGGATGTGGAACTAACAATCGACGGACAGGGACGAAGAAAACGACTACATCAAAGATGGAATTCAACACGTTGGCAAAGCTTCTCTCGTCGACCAGCGATTCATCCTTGCCATCATCATGCAAGAATCCACTGGCTGCCTCCGGGTGAACTCTACCGACAGCGTGCACGGCGTCCACAACCCTGGCATCATGCAATCCCACAACGGAGCCTCATTTGACGAGAAAGACGCCAAGGGCTCCATTCGACAGATGATCAAAGACGGAACGCAAGGTACCAAAGCAGGCGATGGCCTCGTGCAGCTGCTGAACAAGTTCCCCGATGCGTACTCTGCTGCACGAGGATACAACAGTGGCGCTCTTGCGAAGAGTGGTGATCTCTCTGATGCGATTGGTGCAACTCCTTGCTATGCAAGTGACATTGCGAACAGGCTGATGGGGTGGGTGAACGCCGCAAGCGATTGCAAGAAGAAGGTGGCTTCGGTACCTCAGAGTGATCCTAAGGATGTACAGAATCTTAACAGTGGGACGGATAGTCAACAGCAGCAGCCATCGACTACTACGGAGCAGAATCAGCCCTCGCAGGCGGCATCATCATCAACAGCATCATCGACAGACGGGAGCAGTTCATCTACGTTCAGCGACGGGAGTACAGACGGAGTTTTTAGTGGCGGCCATTGGGATGATAATGGTAACTATGTGAAGAACGAGAAGAGGAGGAGGAGGATGAAGTTATTAAAGGTTTGAGTGAGACCAGGGGTGATTATAATGTCTATATCAATGTCTTTCTTATTTCTCTGGATGAACAACAGGACAGCAGTTACAAAAGTTACTACTACATCGTTCCAGAACCAGTCTTGTCTCACTTCTTCTGTTACCTCCTACGATGCTGCCGTGGCCGCCTAGGAGTGAGTGCAATGGATGCTACTGTGTAGAGCATTCTTCTCTGTATAGATAGATGTTGGGTCAGCGGTATGAGGTACATCTTCGACCATTGACGCCGTGTTTGGCTTACGAAGACCGACCTTATTAGGCCCAGTCTTCTTCCGTGACGGTGTGAAGGTTTTCGAAGATCTACGTCCGCGTACCTAGTAGGTAGTAAATACTGTCGCTGTCTTCTGAGTATTCGTCGCCAACTTAACGGTTTTCCTCCGTACCTCGATGCTCGCTACGCTTTACCAGAAACGAGCTCGCTGTCGCTCCTCCGCTACTCTCCTAGGTTAGTAAACGTACAGACAGGGCCTACACTCGCAAAAGCACCTCGCGAGACGCTTTCTTCGCCGTTTTAAGCTTTCGCTTCCTCGCCGGGGCCTCGCTTCTTTACTGAGGCCGTCTTTTTAACCTTTTGGAAGTCTGGGTAATGCATATTTTAATACATTTATGCATTGTTCTGCATAAAACTGCTCGCAGTAATTATCGCTAACCTCAGAACCTGTCCTCTTAGAAACGACAGAACCGTCACTAGTGCGACGACGGCTATTCCGACGATAATACCGTCGCTTGAAACCGTCAAACCGACCAAAGAAGACGGGGCCTTACCTGACTAAAAGGAGCGTATTCGTGTTGCTTATTACCTCAGGTACATGTACTACAGAGGTACTGTATACACAGTATTACACACACACCTCACCCACCCATTCGAATCCTACCTACAGTGTACCACGCTGGAGGCTAGAACCTCAGTCGCCACCCCGGTTGGGAGACGGGGACATGGAAATAATTGCAGCCGATGGAAGCCACGGCCTTCGTATTACTCTGCCGATCGACCTAACGTGGCAGCAAGCAAGCCCAATCGATGTTTTGTCTCTCTGAGGTGTCCATTGAATTGTTATGCCTCAGGCATGGAGTGCCTGAGGCGTTAAAAAGGCTTCCTTGGCAGTGGGGGGTATATCTTTGTTATGTCGCAACTCATGAAACCTTCAAGTTCTCCCACGACGACATCTTGCGACGGGAGGCTTCCCGGTACTCGACTGAATTTATCATTCGGACAGGCTTGGCGCCGTTGTCGACTACATGTACCTTACCTCTGCCTAAAATTACCTTAGGTACTGCTACTACTGCTACTACTACTACGACTACGACTACGACTACTACATACCGTCGACCTTCCTCAGCACCACGTGCAGCCGGTTTCGTGAGCGTCATCATCAATCATCATCAATATCGACTTCAAATTGCTTCAGAAGTGCACGTGCTCCACAGCCTGCCATTACTCGCGCCGACGACGTGTGGGTAGTAGCCTGAGGATCTGCCGCAGGAAACGCGGTATTCGTTGCTGGCCGCTGGGATCTAAACCGGCGAATATCGACGCTTAAACCGGAGTCGCGAGTCGCGTCGCTGGGAGAGGGCAGGGCCGCACCCGCGCGCTTTTTTCTGCCACGACGGCACACCTTGCTCTGTGCTCTCCTGCCAGCTGTTTTGGAGCAAGGGTTCAACTACCGACCAAAGCCCGTAGGGCCGGCCGGCCATGCTGGCTGGTGCGTTTTACCCGAGAGCGGATACCGGCTTTGGATATGGCCCTCGCGATGGCTCCCTGCCGCGTCGGCCTCAAACCGTCGAGCCCATATTGGATGCTGCCAGCTTGTTAGAGCCGTTGACGAGCTTCAACGAGAATCTGCACCACCAAATCTACGCCTCCGAGCCATCAGATGATGGCACATCGAAGCCTCCGCCGAAGCCCGAGGGTTTCTCGGATCCGTACCTCTATCCTATGCTCACTCGTAATGAGCGCTTACGCCTGACCATGCTGTGGTACTACACCCGGGACCTCCTGGGCGACGAGGACCTCCTGAAGAAGATGCAAGCCAAGGTGGACTTGTTGGCGTCCATTATTGGTTGGGACTTCGCCATCTGTGGGCTGATCGACAATGACATATTTGAGCGCTTGAGCACCACTGGCTTACCTCTGGCTCGCTTACCCAGGCGAGAAAGTACTTGTTCGCATACAGTGCTGCAACAGCCGTCCAGTTCAGTCTTCTTCATCCCCGACTTGTCCGATGATTGGCGTTTCAAAGAATCACCACACGTCAGCCAAGGTGGTCTGAGAACCTATGCGGGAGCACAATTACGGTGTCGTGTAGATGGGAATGACCAGGATCTAGCTTTGGGATCTGTATGCGTCGCCTCGAACACACCTGGCTTGGCGCTGAAACCCTCTCAGTTGGAAATTATAGTCAAGTTTGCCGATATGCTCACCGAGGACATCATCAACGGCTCTCGGCGAAAGCGTGCAAAACAGCAAGAGCTGAACGATGCGTTGCTTCAAGAAGCTTTTGCAGAGTCGTTCAAGAATCCTACAGAGGCCGCGGTATTGAGAATTCTTGGCCAAGCTTTCCCGAAAGCCCAACTCAGCCTGTTACCCGTTGAAGGGGGTAGAGTCCAGCTGCAGAATGGCCCATCGGTCGAAGTGCCCGATGTACATGTGAAGAGTACGACCTGGGAGGATCACGACCTGATTGAGCAGCTCCTTCGCAACCATAACCACGAGAGACTGAGCGCTACACAACCTGTTCGCGCCATCATCGGCACGTTCCCGAGTAATGCGGTCAACACAGCGCTTGTTGTATCTACCACTGACATTACGTTTATCTTTGATGACGTCGATGTGCGATTCGTGGAAGGCTGCGCGATGATACTAAGGAGCGTTGGGCAGGAGAGGTCTTTGCAGGAAGCTTTGAAAACACGCGAACGGTTCTTACGGGGCATCACGCACCAATTGCGCACGCCGATCCATGGAATCCTAGGATCCGTGGACCTACTGGTAGACGAGTTGAGCAAAAGTAGACGTAACAGGTTGGCGAGTGCGCCCACGGATCACAGGGTGCCCGAGAACCTGAGGATGATCCAGAGCTCTGGGCGCGAGCTCATGTCGACAGTGAACAATGTGATCAAGTTCAATCGCTGGACCGATTCCGTCCGCACTTCAAAGACGGCAACCCTGGGAGCACTGGATACCCTGGAATCCGAGATTCTGGAGGAGATATCTAGCCTTCTGCCATCAGACCAATCAGATCGCATGTCAATCCTCTTCTGCAACCAGCTTCCTGCCGAAGTTGGGGCAGTACAGATCGACACGATCGTGGTGAAAGATTGCCTGCAGTCTCTCATCCTCAATGCGGTACAAAACACGGAGCAGGGTAGTGTCGTGATCTCTACCTCGATGGCGTCGGATCGCTCGACTATCATCTTCGATGTGCATGATACCGGCTGTGGAATTCCAGTCTCCGACCAGAGCCGCATATTCGATGCGTATGAGAAAGGCAACGCTCATAGTACGGGAGCAGGCCTTGGCCTGACCCTTGCATATAACATCGCCAACGCTTTGGATGGTGCTGTCACGCTCGTGTCATCCGTGCCCGGAGTTGGCTCGCATTTCCAGGCACAATTTCGAGAGCCTAGTTTTGCATGTTCGATGGATGGTGCAAGAGCGGTAGTCAAAGAGAGCGTACTTCCCAGTCGCTTTGCCATTCTGTCCTCCTCGAACCCAGTTTCCACTTTCGATGAGCACCTTGCACACGTGCTTGAAACCCGAGGGCTGGAGCTTACAAAGGACATAGCAGATGCACTCGTAGTCGTGCCGTTTCACAATCAACAATACGAGGACCTGCTCCACCAGGCTGCGCAGTGCCCGGCCACGATTTCATTGGTTCCGGCAGGGCAAGATGTCTCTAAGTATCAGAAGTCTTACCCGGGTATCATGTTCTTCTCAGGGCCGTTTACCTCGAAGCGGCTCGAGGAGATCATTGTAGCAACAAGGAGTACATGTATGGCTCGCCGCTCGTCCTCGTCCAAGGTACAGCACACTGCAGACTCTGAGGTCAGCATCGAAGCTCGACCGGTAGCGCAACGCTATGACTCCGTTGCACCAGAGCATTTATCCAGACTCAATGCTATGACTCTAAACGCTGCTACACCCAATTGTCTCATTGTGGACGACAATGTGATCAACTTACGAATCATGAAGATGTACTGCGAGACACGAAAGTTTCCGTACACGACTGCAGTCGATGGTCTGCAGGCTGTGTACAAATACAAAGAAGCCGTCGCAGGTATTCCGATCAATCTCATCTTGCTTGATTTGCAAATGCCGAACTGCGATGGCATAGAAGCCTGCGAGCAAATCAGAGATTTCGAGGCCAAGGAAGGATTGTCTCCGGCTGCTATCTTCATCGGTCAGTATTCTCCAGCTGCATAACGTTTGTTTGCCTCATTCGTCAACTAACAGGCATGTTGTAGTCACCGGTCAAGACTCTCCCACCGACAGAACAAAGTCTTTTGAGGCTGGAGCTGATAAGTTCTTTGTCAAACCGCTCGCTCTGAAAAGTCTTGATAGGGGAATTGCAGATGTGTTTGACGATAACATGAAGTCGGCTCCAGACGTGTAGCATCAGCCGTGGGCGCGAGAGCCACGTTCTCTCGTTGACGGATCATAGGAACTACAGAGCACATACAGCGTCCCATGCCCACGAGCGGAAGCTGAGGACGAGGATTTGTGCTTCAGGGTCTCACGCCGTCGCTAAATAGAGGCCAGCAGCTGCGCATGACAAGCCATGTTTGCATTGCCACCAGTAAGTCCGATGTCGGACACGAGTCATGAGGCTGCCACCGGATCAGCACACTACCTCCTAGGAGGTACGACTTTCACCACGATGGCCTGCCCACCTGGTGCTTTGGCTGCCCCACGCATAGTCCTGGAAGGTGGCTTCAACCATTAGCAAGACCACTGGTCGCAACGCGAACATTGTTACATGTACAGTCGGATCATCTTGCCCTGCTTGACACGGACCAGAGACGGCTGCGCTGGTGAGGGCAATCCCTTTCGCGGCTTCACCTTTGATTGCTGGACCGTTGGGGCTATCAAAGGCCTCAGGAATACACGACCTTTTCTTACAGATAGGATCGTGGATACTGGATCTACGGAGACATGGACATAAACAACAGAATCTGGAGAAATGGAAATGAGGCATCAATCAAGTGACCAAGAAGCCTGCCATCTTCTAAGACTTTTTCTATTAGCAATACATATAATATACAACCATTCATCTACGGTTCCACCTCTCGCTTTCATCACATAAAATGACAACGAGTAGAACCCTCTCTCTCCCATTCCCTCTCCATCCGCCTCCCCTCCATCCAAACCAAATACTCCACAAACTCCAACAACACCTGCACACAATGCATCCGCCCCTGCGTCAAGAACGCATTCCACACCGCATACCGCCCATGTCTCTTCCTCCACTCCCGCTTCAACGCCCTCATCAATTTCTTCCCCAAACGACTCACTTTTCTCACTTTTCTGCTCTTCTTCTTCTCGCACAACTTTCGAAGAATTTTATCTAAATCCGACAAAACTTCTTCCCAATCCGAAACTAGGCGCGCCGAAAATCCTTGTCCGGGAGTAATTTGTTGTCGCGCTCGCACGAGGTAGCCGAGGGCTTTGACGCGGTTGCAGAGCAGATTTGGGGAGGAGGGCCAGCGGCCGGGGCCGGTGATGATGATGGGGGTGGTGGTGATGCTCGCTGTTGTTGATGGAGAAGGAGGGCCAAAGGGGTTGGTAGTAGTGGTGGTGGTGTCGGGGACTTGCATGCGGACATTTCCGTGGCCGTCGCGATGAGAGAGATTTTCGAAGAAATTGTGGGCGGTGTCGTAGATGTTTTCTTCTTCTGCTTCGCTGCCTGTAGTGCTGTCGCTGTCAGTAGTATTGGCTGGGGGACTGTTTTCGTAGGTTGGTGCGAGTGCGCGAGCTAGAGCGGAGCGCTCGGCGATTTGGGGGTTGGGGGCTGGGGTGGGCAAGGTGAAGAGAATTGTGCGGCAGAGAGGACATTTGTTACCTGTTGGAGCGTTGCTGTAGGTGAGGATGCAATCGTGGCAGAAGATGTGATTGCATGCTATGGTGACTGGATCTACGCATGGATCTTCGAGACATATGGCACACGAAGCAGATTGCTCGGTCACTGGTGTCAAGCCGGTGGCGACGAATTGTTCGAGGGTCGGCATCTTGTCGATGTGTAGGTGGGTGGTCTTGTACGATCTTTGGGGGAATTGGGTACAGCGAGTCTGTAGGCTGTGAGCAACGCTTTCAATTGGATAGAATCGAAATATGCTCAGTACTTCTCACTGCTGTGTGAACAAATTGTTAGGCCATGAGCATATGCGATGTGCTCTGGAGTATATATGTTGCGAGAAACAATGCCCTTGTTGAACCTGACTCTTTCATATAGGACAACCAACGAAGGGATAACAAAGCGCTGTTATCAAAGCCATTGTTCAGTGATTCAAAGTCATTGTTTACTCCCTTTCCTACCGGCATGCAACAACTCTACTGTGAGGCAGTATCATCAATTCATTGTATGCCCGCCTGTAGTGCCATGGAGATCTGTCACGCCCGCAGAGAGGCTGTTCGAACTTCGACTGTCCACTTCGCTATACATCTTGCTGCAAGTCTCCAGAGTCGATGCGGAGTTCCGAGGTACAGAGCTCTTGTTTGGATGTCCTGCAAACACGGTCACCAGTAACATGTCGGTGCAACTGCAAAGTGAAGTGGCAGACGACGCAGTCACATGGTCAAGCTGTGCTTTTTAGATTGATCCATGCGTAAGGTAGCGGCACGGGCCGACGCCTCTTTTCGCACGACTCTCGGCCGGCTAGCTTCTCTGCCGGCGGTCTACCTCCTAGGAGGCAGGCCCGGAGCCCAAGAGGGCGGCGATTTCGCGATGTCGGAAGGTATCAAGACCTTCATCTATGCCTACATCTCGCCAGACAGAGCCACTTTACTCGGTCAGTCCAACAAGACAAATGTTGCTACCAACATAATCAAACACTTTCGGGAGATTACAGCACTGCTTCCGGATCCTCTAGGAGAGCGGAGCGTCCGAGAGATATCGTGATTTTGTTCTGCCGTCGCTGGGTGGAGGGAGGGTAAAAGATATGCCGACTACATCAGCCGCACGAGCCGCGCAGCGCGCCCTAGTTCTAGGCCTGCCGTTCGATTCGTGGGGAACGACTTGCCCGACATCGCTGTCGTTAATTGGCAGGAATTCTACGTCTGTAGCCCTCGGATAAGTGTGTGCCTCCACGTCTTTACCGCATATCCAACAAGTCAAGCGTCCGAATACTGACGCGGCGCAAACTACTCTACCGATCCCGTCCGTCCTGACAGACTTATCAGCTATTATAACATACATCATGGCTGCCCTCCGATCCTTCGCAGCTCCCATCTTCACCACCGCCACTACCACTTCCTCTTCCTCCGCTAGACTTATCCCCGCAGCACGCGCATTCCCACGCCCAATTGCAGCCAAGCTTGTTCAGCGAAGAACCATGGCATCACAGATTCCGAAGATCAAGGTCAAGAACCCCGTCGTCGAGCTTGATGGCGACGAGATGACCCGGATCATCTGGCAGGACATCAAGGACAAATTCATTCACCCATACCTGGACATCGATCTCAAGTACTACGATCTTGGCTTGGAGAAGCGTGATGAGACAAATGACCAGATCACAACGGATGCTGCGGAGGCGATCAAGAAGTACAGCGTGGGTGTGAAGTGCGCGACCATCACGCCTGATGAGCAGCGTGTGGAAGAGTTTAAGCTCAAGAAAATGTGGCTGTCGCCAAATGGCACAATTCGTAACATTCTCGGAGGCACTGTGTTTAGAGAACCAATTGTCATTCCACGGATACCCCGCCTTGTTCCGGGCTGGAAGAAACCGATTGTGATCGGTCGTCACGCCCATGGTGACCAGTACCGCGCACAGAACAGAGTCATTGAAGGACCAGGCAAGCTTGAAATGGTGTACACGCCCAAGGGTGGTGAGCCTCAAAGAACGCTGGTCTTTGAGTTCACCGACAAGCACGAGGGAGGTGTCGCTCAGACACAGTACAACACCGTCGAGAGTATCAAGGGCTTTGCACACTCCTCGTTCAAGCACGCACTCTCGCTCAACTACCCTATGTACATGACCACCAAGAACACCATCCTGAAGGCCTATGATGGCAAGTTCAAGGACATTTTCCAGGAGATCTACGAGAAGGATTACAAGAAGGACTTCGAGTCTAAGGGTCTGTGGTACGAGCACCGTCTTATTGACGATATGGTTGCTCAAATGATCAAGAACGAGGGCGGCATGGTCATTGCCATGAAGAGTACGTTGCCCTGAATCCACGAATGTAGGCTTGAATACTGACAGGAAATAGACTACGATGGTGATGTTCAATCCGACATTGTAGCTCAAGGATTTGGCTCTCTGGGTCTCATGACATCCGTTTTGGTTACTCCAGATGGCAAGACGTTCGAAGCTGAGGCAGCACACGGCACTGTCACTCGCCACTACCGCGAGCACCAGAAGGGCAATCCTACCTCGACGAACCCCATCGCCTCCATCTTCGCCTGGACACGAGGTCTTGCCAAGCGTGGAGAGCTCGATGGCACACCAGAGGTGGTCAAGTTCGCCGAGAGCTTGGAGGAGGCATGCATCCATGTTGTCGAAGAGCAAGGGATCATGACCAAGGATCTGGCGATCAGCTGTGGCAAGAAGAACGATTACGTGACAACCACGGAATATCTCGATGCTGTTGAGAAGAGAATGCGTGCTGTGCTCAGCTCGAAGTTGTAGAGCGTTTCCCAGCGAGTTCGCTTCAAGATTTTAATTTCAGATTAATCTCAGCATATTTGCGGCGCCATGTACAGTGTATATAGAGAAATCCTTTAGGATATCAAAAATGAATGTTTGTGCCTGAACAGAACAAGTTTAGCCTCACGCCAAGATTTTCCTCGCACCCTCGATTCGCGCTCAGGAACTTTTTGGACTTCACGTCTGCACCCACGACACCTCGACCCTCACACCCTCCACCCTCACACCCTCACACTCAGCCCATCCACAATCATGGCAGAACAACTCGTCCTCCGCGGTACCCTTGAGGGTCACTCCGGCTGGGTCACCAGCTTGGCTACCTCGCTCGAGAAGTGAGAACAGTCCCCCGCCGCTCTCATTTTCGAGAGCAATACAGCGCGGAACAGCAGTACTGACAGGCATTGGCAGCCCCAACATGCTCTTGTCCGGCTCGCGTGACAAGACCCTCATCGTCTGGAACTTGACCCGCGACGAGACCAGCTACGGCTACCCTAAGCGATCGCTCCACGGCCACTCGCACATTGTGTCCGACTGTGTCATCTCCTCCGACGGCGCCTACGCCCTCTCCTCCTCGTGGGACAAGACTCTCCGCCTGTGGGAGCTGTCCAGCGGCCAGACGACTCGCCGCTTCGTTGGACACAACAACGACGTTCTGTCCGTCTCCTTCTCTGCCGACAACCGCCAGATCGTGTCCGGTTCGCGTGACCGCACCATCAAGCTGTGGAACACCCTCGGTGACTGCAAGTACACCATCACCGACAAGGGACACACTGAGTGGGTCTCGTGCGTGCGCTTCTCGCCAAACCCACAGAACCCAGTCATCGTTTCGGCTGGTTGGGACAAGTTCGTCAAGGTAAGGACATTCTCCTCGCGCTAATAACACCCAGAACAACCTCACTTCCTATGATGCTTTATTACAAGTATTTGCTACTTTAGAGCCGCCATCTACGGCTATGAAACCAACCTGCCTTTGAAGGCACTCTGATCCTTTGTCGAGTGCTAGCATGTTGTCAAAATGGACTACTGTTCCGTTGAGTAATGCGCTGACTTTTGTTTTTCTAGGTCTGGGAGCTCTCCACCTGCCGCCTGCAGACTGACCACATTGGTCACACCGGCTACATCAACACTGTCACCATCTCCCCCGATGGATCGCTCTGCGCCTCTGGCGGTAAGGACGGTACCACCATGCTCTGGGACCTCAACGAGTCCAAGCACCTCTACTCCCTCAGTGCTGGTGATGAGATCCACGCCCTCGTCTTCTCGCCAAACCGCTACTGGCTCTGCGCTGCCACCGCCAAGGAGATTGTCATCTTCGACCTCGAGAAGAAGAGCAAGGTTGATGAGCTCCGCCCAGACTTTGTTGATGTCGGCGGCAAGGCGCGCGACCCAGAGTGCATTTCGCTCGCTTGGTCTGCTGATGGCCAGACTCTGTTCGCTGGTTACACCGACAACAAGATCCGTGCTTGGGGCGTCATGTCGCGCGCTTAAATGCGTGTAGCTAGATCTCCCAGCGCATTGACGACAACAGGACAAGGGGATGACGGCGGTTTGGAAACGGCATTGATGAGGTGCTGCGATACGAGGCTTGCCAGATACTGCTTCATAGGGTGGTGGGAGGCAGTTCTGGCAAGAGTAGGACAGGTCGCAGCGGTGCACGTGCCATCTAGATCAGATGAATGATACGACTTGACTCAGTCCATTTTACCTTCATTTCTCCTTTTAAAAGTTGTTTTCATTCATATGATACTTTTCACATGTACATACCTGAAGTATCATCTTTGCACGCGATCATTTCTAGACGCATAACACCCATCCAGCAGATCCAGCCCGCTTTTACATTAACTACATGGTACAGTAGAGAAGAAGCCCAAACACAATCTTCTTCCTCTCTAGTGGATATCAAAAACCCCAACTATTAAAAATCACCTCCCACCACCACCCCCACCACCCTCAACCTCCCCCTCCACCAACCCCAACTCAAACTCCAACCCCTGCGCCTCCGCCCCAACAACAACAATCCTCTCATCCAACCTCGCCAAAACCGCATCCAGCGCCTCCAACGCCACAGAATCAATCCCCCCCACACGAACCAAATCCCCTCTCAACTGCACCTGCCGTATAGCCGCAGATTGCAATTCCGCCACATAGCGATTTAATGCGTGCGTAAAAGTTTGGCCTGCGGAGAGAATAGTGGCGGGCTCAAGGGAAGTTGTGGCGGTCAGATGGGATGTTTGGAGAGTGTGGAGGTATCCCGGACCGAAAATTGAGCCGTGGGTTTGGCAGAAGGTTGTGAGGTGGGATTGGAAGGTGAGGAGGAGATGGTGAGGAGGATTATTAATGTGATGATCGTTATTACATGTATGATTATTGTCGTTCATGAATTCGTCTTGAGAAGTGGTGGCGGAGTTGGGTGGGCTGGGGAGGTGAGATGTATAATGCTGTTGTGATGGGAATTTTGTCTTTGTATCGTTGTGTATGGATATTGCTGAGTCTGTTGTTGCTTCGTGTTGTTCTTGTTGCTTGTGCTGGTGGCCATAGAGATTTAAGTTCTGGAATCCTGAGATTGAAGTGTCTCGTCGCTTGAGTATTAATCGATCGTTCTGGTAGAGTCCGTTGGAGTTTGCATCGTTTGCTTTCCGCTTTCCTGTCGCGGCCATACTGCTTCGCAATGTCATTATATAGAGAGAGAGAGAGAGAGACAATGGTATCACAATGTATCACGAAGAGAGCGAGTATACCTGTAGTATAGTTTGTACGGGATGGATCACGCAATTTGCCAAGGGCCGAGACCGCTCTGGTACAGAAATTGGAAAGTTCATGTACAAAATACCACTCTTTTCCGAGTGCTTGAATCGCTTGATTGACACTCTTCTACGGAGTCCTGTCGTTCAGTCGTATATGCTTCGACGAATCCACTCGACTTCAAGTCTCCCCCTTCTATTAGTTCCACGAGCTCGCTTCTTTGCCGCTAACACCTAGAGTAATGAGTTCTGTACCTGCCCAGTGGCGTCACTTACGTCCCGTGGAGCAAGCATTTGAAGCAGCTGCTGTGAATGCCCATTGCTCAAGGCACTATCAAGGCTGCGTGAAGCGAAACGCCCGAGCCAAGCTCTCCAGATCACATAGCTTTAGTCCCTTGAAACCAGCAGTGCTGGCAATGCGAGCGGCGACCCGGCGAACTTCTGCGACAACTACATCCACATCTTCTCGCTCGATTGGATATCCGCCAGCCCAGCGGTATTCCCTCGGCACGATCTTGTTCGAGGGATGAGCATACTTCTCGGTCGCGTCGACGCGCAGCTGGCCCTTGCACAAGGAGAGCTTGATTTCGATGAAGCATGAAAATTTTGAACTACCAGCCCTGTGGAATGAGGATTCCGCGACCTCGAACATCTGGAGAACCACGTTTCGGAACACAGCGTCGTCACCAGCGTCACGAATAGCCTTCTTCACCGGCTTTTTGAAATTGAGAACTCCAGCTCGCTTCTGTTGCCCAGACGTCCGCAAAGCATTGAATCTACCCCCGAGGGCATGCTTGCGGTAGAGGGCACGATGCAAGAGGTTCGAGCCGATTGGCAAGTGAAACTCGGTATTCGCGAAGAAAAGTGGAAGTGCTTCCGCACGAAAGGTCTTGCACACACGCGCAACTTTTGGCGTAGCGGTGACTGCAAGCACGTGCTCATCGTCCAGTTTCTCCTGGAAGGTGTGTTCGTAGATGATTAAACGAACGTCGACTGGCAAATCGAGGATGCGAAAAACGCGCGCTAGCTTTCGCTCCTCTGAATTGGCCTCTATGTGCTTGATGCGACGAGCAAATGCTCTAATCTCAGCACGCTCAGAGTTGGTGAGGTAGAGAGTAGATGGCTCTACAGTGAATCCCTTGTCTGAAGGCTCCATTGTCCCAATCTTGCGAAGAACGTCGGCCGTCGGTGGGTTGACTGGCTCGTAAATGGCTGTCGCGTTGGTTCGGCGCCAGCGGTTGGTGATCTGCTTCATGGCCATGGTGAATTGCTCAATGCTGTTGTGTGGGTGCGCCCTTACGAAGACAACAGCAGGCTGTCCACGTTGTCGATGAAGTTGAAGTACGAGAGTTGGCTTGTGGAGGCATGAGTTTAGAGGCAGGAACGAAGAAGCCGAAGCTGCCTACAGGTAATTTACGAGAACGATCTCTTATAGGAACGGGCCGCAGTCGTTGCTGCGTGAGCTTCACTTCACTCTATCTCGCTTCACTTAACCATGGTCTCTGGTCAATGAGGAACGTGTTGGCGACGAATACTGAAGTGAATCTGGTGAGGAATGCAACCCGCGAGGGCAGCCTTAGACCAACGTGTTCTATTTCGTAATTGAACCATGTATGACTGCCATCTGGACAGTACTACGCTTGCTCGCTGATACGAATGTCGTATAGAATATAAAGCTCATCTGCTCATTTTCCTCCTCTCCTTCCCTTGACAAATCCGACCAGATTCTCAATCACGCCCTCAAGCGCCTCCTTTTCCTTCAACCCTTCATCTTTTCTCTGCAGCCAATACTCCAAAACTTTGCTTGCCTCCCGATTCAAGCCCTCAAGTGTAGCCACATGATGCTGCATCTCCCGATCATCCATGCCAATCATAGCTTCATGTGTAGTTCTGCAGAGAAGCATGGCGCGATTGGAATCGAATTCTGGAGGTGGCAATGGACCCTTCGATGCAGTCCCAGTTCTCCTCGGAGCCTTCTTTTTGGCTCCAGTTTTACTGTCGACACTTATACCAGAGTCGCTCGCGCCATCATTCTTGAGCCGATCTGTTTGTGTTGTTGACGCTCGAGGGGAGGCAAGGTTTATGTTCGGGAGCACGAGACGTTTTTGTTTGGAGGGTGGAAGGATCTCATCAAGGTCGACTGGAACTCCTAATGAGACAAGGAAGAGGCGCCGGATCTTGCTTCGGGTCCAGTTAGGAGGCTGCATGGGCGGCGGTTGGACGAGTTGTTGCCATAAAGAGAGAGAGCGTTCGGAGAGGAAGGGGGAGCTGTTTGACATGTCGAGTGGTTGTGCTGATGTGTTTGGAGGTGAAGAGGTTGTGTTTGGGAAAATGAGATCCAGATATGGGGCTAACGTATCATGCAGCTCTTTGCCTTGGAGGCCGGATTCAAGGGTTGGCTGATGATGGGGTCAGCGATGGCTTACTGGTGCAAAAGTAGTAAGTTACGTGGCTACTTACAAGTCCTGCCAACGTATCTGGCAAAGCATAAGATACAGACTGATCAGGGATACCGCCATCGACATCCCCAGGCGTAGTGGGTTCGTTGTCAAAGTCTCCAAAGTCATCATCATCGCCACCTTCGGCAAAGTCGTCGAAATCATCTCCAAAGTCATCATCGTCGTCTGCCCCACCATTTTGCCCGTCATTTTCTGTTTGTAGTGGAGCAGCCTGCTTATGCGCGTCCTCTTCTCCTTGAGCCTCCCACATGCTCCGGAACCAGGCCTGCCTATCTTCAGGGTCTTGCTCTATTTGGGATCTGCAGGGCGTCGTCAGCACAAGTCTCACACCTCTTAATACAAGACGACTTACTGACCATACTCGCCACTGCTGGCAGCAGCTGGCGCCTTCCGCACTTCATCTGGCGCAGCGTCTGCCAGTCTCTGTTCGTATGCGGCTGTGCCCTCGACTTCTCCATGTGCTGGCTTGTTGTCCACTCGCTCCACAACGAGCTTTGGTATTGGCGATCCTCCCGGGGTCATGGGTCTGCTACCAGTCGAACTCGTGCTCGCGGCGCTGTTGCCTCGACTTCGAGTCCCCCCAATTTGGAGTGTCGCGCTTCTTGATCTGGTCCCTTCTGGCACAATCTCTATCTCGTCTGGCACTGCATCCTGGGTGCGGAGAGAATAGGCAGGAGTGCCAGGGACTTCGCCATGAGCGGCCGTGTCATCGACTCTTTCTACTCTGGTGATTGGAATGGGCGATTGCGGCGGCTGGTTCGGGTTTGGTGATGTCGTCTCCGTCTCGCCTTCAGAAGCAGATGAGAAGTGGTCGTCGGATGAGTCTGTTGACCAGTCTTAGCAACTCTGGAGGACTTGACACGGACATGTGAGAACGTGGGACCATTATACATACTGGAGACGACATCCTGGCCTTGAATATCCTGCGTGTTGATGCGTGGAATCTGAGGGCCGGACATGACTGCGTACTACAAGGTAGTGTATCGAGCTGCTCTGGTCTGCTCTTATCTGCTCTGCTCTGCTGTCAAGTATGCCTTCTGTATTGTCTGTGCAAGTACCGGGAAGCTGGCAGCCTCAACTCATCTATTGTTTACCTGATGGCTCTGTCGCAGTCCGTGGAGGCGCAGTCCACTAGTCAGACTAGTGATACCTGGTCACTAGGAGGTAGGTTGTCGACGAGGCTCCACAATGGGCTAGAACGTCTTGGCTTGTATGGCCACAACTCCACCTCCTCTTCTCGCCCCTTGCTTTGTCCCAATTTAACATTGTATTTTACGCCTGAAGTTGGAGGTATAACTCGAACAAGCCAGGCATCAGACTAGGATGGCGATGCAGTATCGAATTAATGCGCAACCCAATGCACTGACGGCTAGCTGGAAATTCTTTTATTGACCGCAATGCCCTACGAGGAAGCTAATGTAGCTCGTTCTAACTCAAGACATTCAGATATGGATCCGCAACCGTGAAAATGCAGGACAGTCTTGGAGATTGAAAGCTACCTCCTACTCTGAAACATGAAAGTTCAGCTGTATCTGCAACTGCAGTCGTACATCTGCCTGTCTTACTCTACCCACGGCCCCAATCTCACCACCAGTGTGCGTAGTGGCCCATGATTGCTGGCTCCTATACCAGATTCTGCTCTGCCCCAACGTTCCATGTTCACTTTCACTCAGATGCATAAGGTGACTGCAGACTTGCAAAAACACATCACTTTCGACGCTGTCATTCAGTGAATGATACCCCAATAAGTTCTTCAGCGTGTACAACACAGTACAGTTTCTCTCATGCATGCTCGTAGAGTGGCGTCCTGTTCTCCTGGCGGCGCTACGTGTCTCTATACTCAATGCGATCTCTCCAGCACTTTGGCTCGTCGGCGCTACTTATCGCTCTCTAGAGTGCTTTGGAATGCTATGTGTTTTCCTCTTGAATCTCCTCCTCGTCTGCAAAATCTTCGAGAACCGCTTCCTCGGCTGTAACACCTGCCTCATAAGCCGCTGCTTCAGCATCTCCAGAGAGTCCGAGCCTCCTCACTCCAGCTTCCAGCGAAACTTCATGGCGTGCTTGTAATTGTTTTTCTAGCCTGGATCGTCTGATGTTCGGTGCGTGCGGCGTAGTCCAGACATAGTCACCCGTACCCTTCCAAGCGCCATTGCGCTGGCAAAAAGCGAGAAAAGCTGCCCAATTCAAGTCCTCATCTAAAGCATCCGGGTTGCCGATCACGACCAATGCTTCTTTTGCTCGTGTAAGGGCGACGTTGAAGCGTTTCGATTCGTGTATGACTCCAAGCCCACGGGCTAGGTCTTGGTCTATAAAGCGGCGGCGACTGCGTGTAGTACACACGATAGCGACTCGAAATTCGAGACCTTGGTAAGCTTCAAGCGGTCCAATGTTCACACTGGCAAGACCTTTTACCCTTGCTCTGGTGCGCAGGACTTTGACTTGCGCTCTGAAAGGACTCATTATGCAGATATCTCTTGGCGCCACTCCTTGATCGACGAATGACCTGGCGTGGTTTACCGCAATATCGGCCTCCTCGAGGTTGAACCAACCACCGCCATCCTGTTCAATCTCGTCCTGGCCTCGATTCTCGTGGAACAGAACAGGCAGGTCACGTCCTTCGAAGCCAGGCCATACGAGTAAAGCTTCCGTGTCCTGGGTGTGCGGTTCTAGAGTATCGTGATAGAACAGCGACGAAGGAATCGCTAGGATCGCAGGGTGTGATCGATAGTTACGAATGAGGTCTGTGAACGGGGGCTTCATGAGCGGCAGCATATCGCTCGTAAGTCGTGGAACATGGCCGCCTTGCTGCTTTGCACGCGCTAAGGGATGATCTTTGTATAGAGGCAGCTGCAAAAGGCGCTCAAACAGGGACGTTTGCAACTCAGCTATTTTGCTCGCTGTTCGCGGCCCCAGCTGATTGGGATCTCCCACCATCACCACTTGAGCTTCCCTGACGAAATGGTGACTCCTTGAAGGGGGCGCGATCACAAGTAGAGGAATCAGAGCCTCCAATTCTGTTGCTTGAGCGGCTTCGTCCAATATCAGTGCGTCCCAGTGTAATTGGAAGGTTGGGCTAGATTTTCGTGGATGATGTGCAGAGAATATGGCCGCTTCATGGTGACACAGGTCTGCGTTTGTTAGACGGGCTCTAATCAAGAGCTCTGCATCCCGAGTTGTGGTGACTACAACTTGCTTGGCCATGAAATCGGCGAAAGGAGGCAAGGAAAACATGCTGTCATCCACAAAGCCTGTCGCAAGGGACAAGTCAGTTCATATCTTTTTTGCCTCATTCCGTCCTGCGCTGACTCGACTTACAGTATGGGAGAATCGTGTTCGATACCTCTGCGAAGCTGCGGGCAGGCGAATTCAGACGTAGCAAGTCTTTGGGTGATAGGACTGCTCTCAGTCGTTGCGTTAGCGTATCGGCGGCCGATTCAGAGGGCGCACAGAGCAGGAGGTGCTTGGTTTCGTCCTGTGCCAGAATCTGAAGAGCCAGCTCTACCACAGTTTTCGTCTTGCCTGTGCCGGGCGGTCCTGAAATGAGGTAAGGCACTCTGCCGTAATCGTCGCGTAAAACAGTCTGAATAGCGCGTCCCTGTTCGTTGTTGAGATCTAGATCGAACAACTGTAAGCCATGGCGAGAAGTATTCAACGTCGTCTGCAGCTTTCCGTCTTTCGTATTTGGGAAGAGCATGCTGCGTAGCCAGCTGTTGTCCTGTTGTACCTGCTTGGCTACCTCTCCCAGAGCTACTTGCAATGCACCAATCCGCGCGTCCTGTAACGTGAAGCGAGCATTGTATAGTCCGCTGATTTGATGTAGATAGTCAATTCTCAAATGCAATGTCTCGTGAAGACGATCAACCGCCCATACGACAGCAAGGTGACAGATATCGGCACTTCCAGGCATGGGAACCCCCCGATTGTTTGTAAAAATCCCAGAAGAGGTAACGATGCTGCCGTGCGCGTCAAATTGCAGCTGTCGTATATGGACTGTGTCGCCAATTTCCAGAAGAATGTTGTTCTCACGAAGGCCGGGAACTAGTAGTCTATATATGGCTTGCTGAACATCGCCGGGCTAACACATATTAGTATTTCGGATTGGAGCTCGCTGCAATAGCGCGCAGAGTGAGGTTGCGGCGAAGGAGAATTGATTGGCATGGAATGTGCAGCGTCTTCCGTATAGCCTTGCACACAAGGCTCGTCCTTGACCAGACTCAGGAAGCATTCTAGAAGACCATACAATGTGTGTTGGCATGGAACACCACTCACCATTTGGAAAAGCCCCACCTGGTAGAGATTACGCTGCTCGCACTCATTTTGCAAGGCGGAAATCTCCAAGTCGAGAGCCGCAGAGAAGAAGGGACTGTATGTGTTCGCGTTGAGTGCAAGTGGACCTGTGTCTTGAGGTGGTGAAATGGCGATAGACGGGCGTGGGCGTGCGGTCAGAAAGCGTCCAGCGAAGTCCAGCACATATGAGTCGAAATTGATCCAAGGTGGTTCTTGACTGCTGTAGAAGTGGGCAGGCGCCGAATTGACTTGCTTCAGGATTAGTGGTATGTAGGGTTCAGCGTACACATCCAGCTCTTTTCCTGTCGCCATGTCTCATCTCGAACCACTGTTGCGTGGGAGAGAGAGGGCGCGGCGATTGCGAGGTCACTGCAGTCGAAGGAGAAGAGACAGGAGATGCCGGTGTATACTTGCGTGATGGTATGTTATGGTGTATCTCTCCATGCGTTAGCGGTAGCTTGCAATGAATGATGCCGTATGGTGAAACTGCATGCAAGGTAGATACATATGTGTGTAAGGCCTTGAAAGGCTTGAATACTTCGCGCTCAATTAGGTATGATAAGACAAAACTTGGTCAAAATTCGACCAGTTTTGGAATTTCTCACTTTTCAAGGCCCAATTATTGAATTTATGCCCTTCCAAGTACATCATACATGTAATCTCAATTATCAAAATTCTAGGAACTAGCCTGTAATAAGAAGAAGGTAGTCCGTAAGAAGAAGAAGGTTTACGAGGTAGAGCCTGCGTACGGTACGGTACGGGCCCGTAGGCCTATTAGAAAGCGTACTGGGCGCGTACAGGGGAGAAAATTGATTATTGAGGTCGAAAGTACCTGAATGAACTTCCTGAAGTAAAAGAAAATCCGACTCACTTTTGAAAATTGAGCTCAATTATCAGATAGCTTACCAGGTACTTCTCATAATTTGTGCATCATTCCGATAATTCGATAATTGGGCTCAATTATCGCTGACTCCGAGGTATTCGATCTCAATTATATAATTGAAACTGTCTTATCATCTTACCGTAAGGTATGGATAAGACAGGTTCAATTATCGATAATTCAGCGCGAAGTATTCAAGGCCTACCTTAGGTAAGAACGCGAAGTGGTCTCGGCCGGGCCGGGCCAGCCACTCTCGTTCTCATCGGCGTGCCAAGACTGTCGTATTTCGAGGACTTTATTCTGCCATCCATCTAGGTTCCGGCCGAGATCGGCCTCCGTGCATTGAGCTTGGATCTTTTTCGCAGGCACTCATCAATTATTGCTTGCTCGCCCAGTCACAGTCACACAACTTGACTGTCCCAAACTCACCACACCCTCCCCATTGCCCAATCTCATCACCATGGCCTCCAAGAACGCCTCCAGAGCTCTCCGCGCCTCGCTGAGGCAGCTGAAGGCACCTGAGGTGCAGCGACGCACCTTCATCACCGCTGTCAACTCGGCCAAGCAGGGCGTGCGATCAGCGCCCAAAGCCGCGACATCTGCCATTGTGCACCAGACACGCGGCAAGAAGACTGTCGACTTCGCCGGCGACAAGGAGGTCGTCTACGGTATGCGGCGCAACCACATTTGAGCGCCTCGGGGCCATGACTGACGCCCACCACAGAGCGCGCCGACTGGCCACGTGAGAAGCTGTTGGTATGTTTTCTACACCACTGCGCATATGACTCCATCGTCGGATTGAAGTCATTTGAAGACGTACGAAGAGCGCGCTTGCTAACGAGCTTCCTACAGGACTACTTCAAGAACGACACACTCGCCCTCATCGGATACGGCTCGCAAGGCCACGGACAGGGGCTCAACCTCCGCGACAACGGGCTCAATGTCATTGTTGGTGTGCGCAAGGGCGGCGCCAGCTGGAAAGAGGCAACACAGGATGGTTGGGTTGAGGGCAAGAACCTCTTTGACATCGACGAGGCCATCTCCAAGGGAACCATCATCATGAACCTCCTTTCCGACGCTGCGCAGTCCGAAACCTGGCCACACATCAAGCCACAGCTCACCAAGGGCAAGGTATGTCACCGCATCGCCTGTGCTTTTTTTTTCCGACTCATGCTAATGTCAGATAGACCCTCTACTTCTCCCACGGCTTCTCCCCAGTCTTCAAGGACCAGACCAAGGTTGAGGTGCCATCGGACATTGATGTCATCCTCGTTGCACCCAAGGGCTCTGGGCGCACTGTCCGCACTCTCTTCCGCGAGGGTCGTGGCATCAACAGCTCCGTCGCTGTCTGGCAAGACGTCACTGGCAAGGCTGAGGAAAAGGCCATTGCTCTCGGCGTGGCTGTTGGCTCCGGCTACATGTACAAGACCACCTTCGAGAAGGAGGTCTACTCTGACCTGTACGGTGAGCGTGGTTGCTTGATGGGAGGTATCCACGGCATGTTCCTCGCCCAATACGAGGTTCTCCGCGAGAACGGCCACTCTCCTTCAGAGGCATTCAACGAGACTGTCGAGGAGGCCACACAATCGCTCTACCCTCTGATTGGTGCCAACGGTATGGACTACATGTACGCCGCCTGCTCCACCACGGCCCGCCGTGGTGCCATTGACTGGAGCAAGCGCTTCAAGGAGGCCCTCAAGCCCGTCTTCGATGACCTCTACGACTCTGTCAAGACTGGCAAGGAGACGCAGCGCACCATGGAGTACGCTGGTCGTCCAGACTACCGCCAAGCTTTCGAGAAGGAGATGGAGGAGATCCGTGAGCTCGAAATCTGGAGAGCCGGTAAGGCTGTCCGTAGCTTGAGACCTGAGAACCAGTAAAAAGGGGGTTAGACATCTTGAGCAGAGGGGCGGACGGATACCACAACCAATTTTCCCATGCGTACACTCGCCGGATCTGAGATGAAAAAACAAAATCTATCCATCCTCTACCAGGACGATCCGAATCTCTTGTGTCTTGTGCGTGAAATAAAGGATTGGGGGGGACGTACGGGGACCTTTCTTCTTCTCCTTCGGAAGAGCCTCATTGAAAGGGGCCCTTCTCCGAAGAAAGAGAGATAAAGACCAAAAGAAAAGCATAGCTGTCTGTAATCTAGCTTTTACACTTTCCTACCACCACCTGACGCGAAATCGCCCTGCTGTATTACTTTTAGAATGGAAAAAGGGGGAGAGAGGGGAGGGAGTATATGCGATTTCTGTACTAAAAAAGAAAACAAAAAATAAAAGGATGTGTTTTATTGATATATTTTGTGGCCAAGTCCAATAACTCGCAAGTAAGATATATAGGGTACATTTGAGGTACGGCCCTAGGGTATTCTTCCATCTTCGAATTCTCTCGATACGAGCTATATACCTTATACCCTGCCTTGCCTTGCCTTGACTTACCTCACCTTAAGCTTTGGGTATATAATCTATTCGATTTCCTCGTTTCTTAGAAAAAAAGAAGAAGAAGAGGAAGGAAGACAAGAGGTGTGACTTTGTAAAGAAAACTTTAAATTACTACGTACATTCCTTGCACATCGTAATAAGCACTTCGCATACACGTTCTATATACCTTTCATCGGATAAAGAAAAAGAATTTCATGGCACACCTGATATAGGAAAAAAGAAAAAAGCTAGTTGCAAACTATGATTAGAGTAGCTGGTCATGCTGTGAAATTTTTACTTCACGATCAACGATTAGGTACTACAGATCAGATAACAATTGCTTCGAGGGCCGAATGTACCGTAGTCGCTCATTCTACTTGGCACTCTCTCATCGCGGAAGCCATCCACATCGCATCCACAACCAAGCCAAGATCTGGCGCATAACTTTCTTACATTAAGCCACGCGCACGGAAGGCCTCAGGCCACACATTCCAACAAGCCGTTTTAGGAAGCCTGATCCGAGAAGTTGCAGCTTCCGCCTTCCTAACATTGCACCGCAATGCAACAAGGCGCAAATGAACAACGTCGGTTTTCAATCGTCCGCCGTTGGGTACTGTTGTGGACAGTGTGTCGAAGCATGTTGTTGCACTGCAAAGTCCTCCAGGTGCCTACCATAGTTCGGAGGCGACTTTAAGTCGCTTATTGTGGCGTAGGGCAGATGACCCTGCGTCGGCGGCTTCTTGTGACCACGAGCCTGTAACAGGGCCATGAAGTCATGGAGTGTGATAGGGGTGATGGGAATGGTCCAGACCGTAACCAGCATTGGAACTCATGGATCCAGTGCTATCCTCCGAACTCAGACTCGGTTTACCACCTACAAGAGGCGGGGTATGAACAGGATGATGGGAGCCATGCTGTTGAGACGGGTGCAGAGACGGTTCGAGAGTCGAGAGTACATGGAGGTGAGGTAGGGGTGCACCAGGAGGACCCGGAGTATACTCCGGAATTGACGACTTTCTGCTATCGTCGGAGCTGACGGAATGGCTATGAACCAGGAGGGCGTGGTTTGAGTGATGGGGGTGTCCTGGGCTCGGCAGCACCGGCTGCTGAGATGATACATCCAAAATGGTCTGTATGGGGGGAAGCCGTTGATCGCTTCCTGAAGTCGCCGGTGGCATAGTGGTGTGCTGCAGATTCGGTTGACTGGCATAGGAGTTGTCTTGTACTTGCCGCAGCAGAGTGAAGATGTCATCGTAGGAGCTTGTCCTAATCCGCTGGAAGATCTCCAAGGCCTCGGGCTCCGGTCTCATCTGTACAAAGGCCAGAAGTTCGCGAATTTGGTCTCGTTCCTGTTCGAGAATCTGGTTTCGGCGCCGAAGGGCAGACCATCGACTCTCGCCTTCCTCTGCCTCATACTGGCACTCAGTACGGAGATTTTGACAGCGCGAACAAGCGGGCCTAATGATTTGAGGGGGCGGTGGTGAGCTAGTGATAAGATAAGAGGATTGCGTGCAGACGGGGGTTTCTCATACCGGATACCGTCGCACTGGGCTTTCATGTCAGCGAAAGGCGGTGGTGGTGGTGGGGGACGGGCGCGAGCACTGCACTCACTCGAGACTTCCTGCGCCGGCAAGCAGAACACGCGCTTTCTATGAGGGTGCGCTTGGGACGGCCGCCGGAGGGTCGATGAGAAGCAGCAGGCGGAGTAGTGCCGCCCTCTTTGGAGGCATCGCCAGACGAGGAGCGAGCCGCAAGCAGCGGCCGTGAATGTCCTGGGCCGGACATTCAAGATAGTATAGGCCGACCGGCGGTGATTGTCATGTGGAGTTACCTGAGGTAGTGGGTGTCGTTTGCTGGATTTGCGTTAAGTAAGTTTTGAAGAGAGGCCAACAACACACTCCGACGGAGTAGTGACCGACTGCACTTCAAGAAGGCACTTCCCGGACGTTAGGCCGAACATGAAGAGCACACGGTACCTCTCTTTTTTTGCTCTTCTCTCGACTGACGGGTTTTGGATTTCTCGATCGGCGATGAGAGGTTGAGATTCAGATTTCGCCGCCACACGCAGGAGCAGAGTGTGCAGAGTGTGCAGACGAGGTGGAGGTGGAGGTGGTGGTGGTGGTGGGCGCGATGGTGGCTTGGCCTCCTCAATTGTGTTTTATTACTGTGGCCGTGGCCGCCAGACGTGGCGGATGATGCTCTAGAACTAGGTACTTGTACCTACAGTTGCCTACTATAGTATTGGGAAGACAGTGGCCGCTTGGGCGGCATGCGTATATCCATTGTCCAGCGCGTGCTATGCTGGCCGACACTGGACAGTCAGGACCCGACCTCAGGTACCTATGATCCTTATTATCCACTACCCAGTGCTGCAGGCAGTGAGTGCCAGGCCAGGCCAGCCAGCCAGCCAGCCAGCCAGCCAGCCCAGCTCAGCCAGCCCAGCGCCAGTGAGCGCACCAGGCCCGTGGGCCACACGGCATCCACAAGTACAACCTAGGAGGTACATATGTAGACACGTCCCATCTCGCCTGGGAAGGCTGGGAACGAACGACGACACCTGCGCCACCCGTGGCGGGTCGTGTCCACCCGTGTTGTGTTCCTCCGGAGTCCGCGCCTCCATCCATTTGCCTGTGCCCTACATCATCGCACTGGTTGTCCACTTGTGCGTGCGTGCATAATGAGCGATGCACATGCACCTTGACACGCGTATACCGCATGCGGCAACGCCTGTCCGCTCCCGTCCCCGACTGACTCAGTGCCTTAGTAGTCCATCTCCATCGTTCCCATCAACGTCTCATCTCATTCTAGGTCGGTTGGTCGCAGGCTGCAAGCAGAGTGTATGTACCTGTATACCTTGTTTTTCATCAGATACCCGTCTGGCCCAGTCAGCAGCATAATATGTTCAAGCCAGCTTCTTCCCAGAAGCCCTTTCGCTGCAAGGTCGAACCAATCCCACTTCCTAGGAGGTAGCAGGTAGCAGGACCCGACTGAGCCACAGGACACCGTGCCGACCTGCCTCCCGTGAGGCTGATGTCGATGCGAGCGCACCGAGTGGCAGGTAACATGAGCTTACGCTTCGCACGTAAGACGCCGCCTCCATCCCGTCTCGCATCACCAGATTCATCACACGCGCACATCTCATCTCGCCTCTTCGTCTCGCCTCCTCCCATCTGTGCTCAGTCACCGACGATCGTGTGCTGCTGCGGCGGGCCTGCTGCTGGCTCCGGTCCTTGTCACCTTGCGCGTTGTACTGGTACTCCCGTGAGCGGACCGAGAAGAGATCATGATGATAATGCAGGCTCCCATTATCGCCGTAGCGCTTACCTTGCCCACATGCACAGCAGCCGTCGGCGCTGTGCGTGCTGGAGGCTGTTGCAATTGCCAATTGGCAGCCATCGGGCGCAACGATGTGACCGGTGACTTTGCGCTGCGGGAAGCTCCCATCATAAGGTACCTAATACATGCATACATGCATACCTACCTCATGTACGTGGCACATGCATCCCAGCTCGTCTCGTCACCGGACAGCCAGCGCCAATATCATCACGAGTTGACTCTGTTCTGTTCGCCTCATGTAGCTGAAGTTGTGCTGGCAGACAGTAGTAACATGAGGTAGCAGTACAGCATAGGTAGAAGGTATAGTACCTTAAGGTACTTTACGGGCAGAGAGGTGGAGGTACGCTTTCTCGTGACGTGATGGTGATGAGCAGATGCTGGTGGTGCATGCAGCTTCGTTGCATACAGGCACATAAGGCACATTCGTTACCTTCCCTACCTACTTCTCAGTCTCAGAATACGGTACTAAGGTATAGGTAGGAGGTAGGGCAGTTGCTAGTAGCCAGTAGGGACAGTAGGTAGGTAAGTTTAGATACGTTATCAGTCTTCCGGAGATCGTGTCTCCAGTCCCGCTATGATTCATCACATACAAGTACATGTATCTCATCCATCTCGTCTTATAGACTGATATCATACCTTACCTACCTGATCTTTACATCTTCTTGTTGCTGCTCTCGGCGTGAGAGAACACGACTTTGGCGATGAAATGACTGCACCACTCGTGCGATCGACGAGGCCGTCCTGTCTCTCGTGAGACGGCGGTGTGGGCAAGCTCCGGCATTGAGGTCGGCATCGAGGTCAGCATCGCGCACTGTACAATGGCACGCGCAACAGTCTCCGGGCGGATAAAGCACTTATCAGATGCTCTGTACACTACTACGCAGTTGACTACTGGCCAGACCGAGTCCAGACCTCGACATGGACGAATGTGGTTTCATACCACTTCAAAAGAGACAAAAAGAAGGGCGACTCCGCTCTGCCACCTGCACGGCTGCTCTTTTTGGTAACCTCATCAATACAGCTGTACCTACCTTATACATGTACCTTGTCGACCAACTGGCCAGGGATCTCCTGACTAGGTAGGCACATGTATTGTAGTAGACGAAAATCCGTGCCCACCAAAAATTCAGGTAAGTGAGAGTTAGGTACCTAGAAACAACGCCAAATTAGTAGCGGAAAGAGGAATCAATTTCTTACAACCTATACTCGTACTAGCCGTTAGTTCTGTGTCGAAATCTGCTATATTGCTGTCGCTATCGTCGCTGTACTGTCTTCGTATAGGAGCTTAGTCAGCGAGCTTTATATACGAATTCGCGCGACAGCGATAGTAATAGCAATACAGCAGATTTTGACGTAGAACTAACGGCTAGTACGAGTATAGGTTGTAAGAGATCGACTCCTCTTTCCGCTACTAATTTGGCGTTGTTTCTAGGTACCTAACTCTCACTCACCTGAATTTTTGGTGGGCACGGATTTTCGTCTACCACAGTAGTTGTTGGCTTCAGATGCCCGCAACCAACAATGAGTTAATTAAAGTCACTACAAAATGGCAGGTCAGCCTCTGTCGACTGTTGAGAACTGCCCAACTCACAGCAACTCCTGAGTCTCCTCGGACGGCGGTCGAAAACCTGACGAAACGAAACAAAATGCGCTTTTCACTGCTGATCTTTGCCGTTATGGGCAGGTAAGCTGAGTCCTCACCCTCGACACGTCTAGTGATGGGAGGTACTGTACCTCCTAGGTGGTAGTCGTGAAAACTAACTCAAATGTGTGCTGTAGCGTCGCTCTTGCAGGTGATGAGGATGATAACGGTGATCTCCAAGAATATTGCGTTTGTGGAAATAATTTCGACCCGGAGTCGCCCATCTTCATGACCATCTTCAATGCCACCATAGACAGTTGTACTGGACTGCTTTGGACCTTGGGATGGTATGACGACATGCCGCACGTACGTATGGAATACATTACCTGCATGTACCTACATACCTTACATGCAGTGCACTTCAGATTGCAGTACTAAAGAACCTCAAATCGCAGTGCTATCACACAGGAGAATTCGAAAAAATCCAAACGTTCGCGGATGAGTGCGTGAAAAAGCCCGAGAATCGTGCGACTGGTGCTCAATGTTGCCCACCATACGACGAAGCGAACCCGGACGCGCCCTGTGACCACAAGCTTGGCAATACCGGGGACGATCCAGCAGCTATTCCCTAGTTAGGTGCATGTACCTCAAAGACGACTGTCGACTTCAACAAGAATTGTTGATATATCGCCGCTGTACGACTTGTACTCGAGCGACGAGGAGGAAGGGAGGAAGTAAAGGGGTAGGGGGAGCTCCCTTAGCGGAGTACCCCGGCGTAAACACTAGTTATACGACGGTACTATAATAGTTCTCTTCTAATTACCGTTTAAAGTTAGTAACAGAGTAAAGACCGTAATTAAGTCTGAACCGTAAGCCTTTATTAGCTATTGAAACCGTTCTAGTAGGTAAAATATATAAGCTGCTCTTTTGTTAGAGCAGTTGTATTAATAGTATTAATTATTTAGTAGTTGTAACTACAATTTATTTTTATTAACGGGTATTCTAATATAGCGGTTGTTTTGTATATAAGTAGTTTAGTAAACAGGTAATTATAATAGACTGCCTAAAATTTAGAGTAGCTATAACTGTAGCTTACTACCTAAACTTTAGAGTAGTTGTACCCGCTACTCTTATATCAACAGCAGTTGTACTTGCTGTTAAATATAATAAGCAGCTACGATTAATAAACGGTTGTTTCTTAAATAAGCGGTTGCGTATACAGTTCGTACTATACGAATAGTTATTAGAATAGTTGAGTAAATAGGTATTATGTTAGGTTATATAATACCGGGCGCATTCCGGATCTAGCTACCCGCCTAGTACCCGCTGCTCGGTACTACTAAAAATAGTAGCAATTGAATCCGCTACCTATCCTATATAGGTATATACTAAAGAAAAGAACTATACTAGAGTGTACCTAGGCAGTTAGAATAGATTCGTAAGGTGTCTAAGTTAGGTAGGAAGTCCTAGCAGTTAGGGGGCAGCGGGGCGTTGCGCGTTGCGACGAAAGCCGGCTAGCTATCTCTACCTCCCTTATATCCGTTAGGTAGTTAACCTTACAACACTCTCTTCCTATCGCCTATCGTCGACTACCCGCGGGCGAGTTCTGCTGTACGATATTCGTTGTTCGTAGTATATAGAATTGGTTAGTCGTATACTCGATTCAGTCCGTCTACTCGACTCGTTATACTACCCGACGTAGAACCTAGAAGTTAGCAACTATTAAGAATCTGTTCGGTATATATATATATAGGTATACATACCGTATCCTATCGCAGGTACCTAAGTGTACGTCTAATCGTAACGTACGCTATTATTCCGTTAGTACTAATATAAATAGCTAATAGTATACAAGGGTAGAAGAGTATACCTCTCTAGGTTTTTACTCTAGCTATCGTTAGCCCGGTTTATAGACGGTTGGACCTATATCTCTACTGTTAGCGAATACGTTAGATACTATATATAGACTTACGCCGAGGAACGTACTCGTACGGAATTACGAACAACGAATCGATTGATCTAAGCTACGAAGCCGTTAGCGCAAGTGTTAACTATACCGATACTCGAGCAGCGGTATACCTACCTTCTATCGCAGAGGTTTCTACTAACCTACAGAGTCGTACCCTTCGCGCTATTAGCAACCGATAATAAGCTATAAGGCCTAGGTTCGAGTATATCTTCGTATAATCGGAGCTCTAGCTGTCCTAAAAGAGATAACTGTCAACTAGATAGATACTATTAGTATAGTTTATAGACAGGAAGCTGCTCGGGACAATCGACATACTAAGCGGGTACTACGGCGGGGACAATTGACCGTTCCAATACTACCTAGTATCTATAGACGGGATATAAGTTAGTAAGAGCTCGAAATGTATAAAGAGGGGATTTATACCTCTAACCTGCGGCTAGCGGCTAAGACTACTAGGATTGTATAAGCTTCTGCGTTATAGAGTGTCTACCTTACTAAAAAATACTCGGGCGATTACAACTACTAAACATCCTAATCGACGTATACTAGCTTATCGCTATCGACTAATTCTAGTAGTCGCTTGCCTAATCGAAAGGAGGCATTGTTGCCGCGTTTAATTAGTACTATCTAGACCTTCTAACTACCGAGAGCTAGCAGGCCTACGATTAGCGGCTTCTTAGGTATTAGACCAATTTGGTAGACGGTTAGCCGCGTAATTAGATCCTCGACGATACTTAGATCTATAGTTAGAGTAATTGGCTTCTACGAGGGTATAGTACGTATAAGTTCGACAAACAGGCGGACCTTACCCTTCTTCGACGAGCTACAGGTAAAGATTTGATTAATCCGACTAATATTAAGGCCTCGGTAGGATACGAAATCGCTATAGCAGTATACAATACGTCTCTACAATACTGGATTATCGAAACCGAATCGCTTCTACTAGTAGATTAGAGTCGTAGACTAGGCAATAGCCTGCTAGTTAGGCTTATTGTAGTCCGAAGCGTATATAGTTTATAGAGAGGCCCTAAAATTGTCGGGTATCTTATTAGAGACTACTAGCTTCAGCTAGAACTCAATTATCTAATATACCGGCAGACGCTAGCTAGTTAGGATACTACTATACTTGTTGTCTAACTAGACCTTTTTATTACTATCGAGGATAGTTAACTTATCCGGATCTATACGCTCCGAACGTAGCAATATTCTTTCAAATAGCGACCCGTTGTCCTAGAATATCTACTATAGTTAAGTCGTAAGAACTAGGTAGTCTAGATACCTATTCTAGATTATTATACGTAGTGTTATAGATATCGAATAGCGCTGTAGCAGATCGCGTCCTAGATTAATAAAATTGGTACTATAGATTAGCTCTTTAAGTAGGCGGTAGAAGTCTTCTCTAGAGAGTATGTTGAGGTTGCTAGCGAAGCTATACTCCTAGATCGTAGTTAGGTAGTATAGACCTATATATATATTAGGTCGAGCTTTTATCTTACGGTATTCTTGTACGCGAATTGCGTCCGCTAACGGTTCGTTACCGACCTCGACCGACTAGGCTACGTCGTCTATATCGATATTAGTAGACGTAGCCCGAGGCGGAGTCTCTTAAATTCCCCTACGACTACTGCGACTAGCTTCTCGTCTACGGCGCGTACTATCTGCAACTGTACGTCTACGGCGAGCAGTTCTACGCCTACTAGTAGCCGGATTAAGCGAGTTATAGCGGCTTGAAGGCTTGTTATTCGCAGCTATAGTAGCTAACTCTATTAATCTCTAGAACATTCGGCGATAACTCTTCATCTCGGCAAGAAATTCCTCTCGCTAAGCGGTTGTTGCCTTATTAGACATAAGGTTTATATTGTTCCGAGCTATAAGAGTTAAGAAGCGGGTAAGAACTGCCGTTACTAGGATAGACATCTTAGGTATATTGAACTTAGTAGCAAGCTTAGTAATTATATCGTCGAACTTATTAATAGCGGCTAAGCGGAACTCGGGCTGCAGATATTTATTACTAATCTATATCCGGAAAAGCAACGGAGCAATAAGTAACCAACGTATATACTTAGAGAGTATATAGCTACTAAGGTAGTATAGTAGATTCTTTAATCTCGGCTAGTCTAGAGGAAATACAAACGAGTATAGGACGCGGCTATAGTAAATCAGACCTTGTACAGATAGTACCTACTTGATTACTAGGCCGTATATAAGCTGAGTTAGTCCGTTATATTCCGAATAAGCTAGCTCTAGGGGGTTACTAGCGTAAGGATCTAGTGCCGGACTAATCTTCTATAATAGCGGGCGGTAGACTAATATACCAAGTCTATTCGCAAACTCTTCGCGTACGGTCTTGTTTCTAACTAGATAATCGGTAGTCGTATATCTCTCCTACTTAGTAGTTAGCCTTACTAGAACTAAAGGCGGACCTATATTCTGCTTCTTCGAGTACCTACGGCTACCTCTCGTACTACCTCTACCCCCTCGAGTCCCCGATATAGCCTATAGAGATTGCAAACGCTTTACGTTTTCGGCCTATTGCTTAGCTACTTTAGTCGATGCCTTAGCTTGCTCTTAGTTAGCTACGCCTTGCTTAATTAGCTGTCGAATACGCTTAGTCTTATAATAGAAACGACTATTTTCAACGACGTCGAAGTCGACATTACTACGCTCGTCCTTATAGACCTTGTATCGAAGACATCCGTATATAGCGGAGTAGCTTAGTATACCGGCATTCTCCTATTGCTAGGGTATATTACCGATATAAGCTATAGTCTAAGTATTCAAGATAACTGTAGAACCGTCCGGTATAGTTACTTTAACCCTAGCTTCGAGCTCTAGTAGGGACGGCCCGACGATATCTACGATACCTTACAAATTGCTTCTATAAGGACTAAGTGTAATTGGAATAACGTTAGTACGCCGGTTGCGCTCTAGAAACGGAAGATTCGCTAGAATAAAGTAAAAACTAGTAATAGAACGTCGTATATTCCGGTATAGCCTAAACCTATCGATGAAGTTTAACAATAGCAACGAACATACTCTTATACTACTGTTAGTATTAGTATCGAATATTGCTATACGTACGCAGCTATAGTATATAATCTCGAGTTCGGCCCGGATTGGATTAGTCTTCTAGATTAGTCGCCAACAGCTACTCGGATACCGCCTAGCTAGTATCGTACTCCCCTATCTAGACTTTACGAACAATCTTCGGATAAAGAATATACTTAGGCTAGATAGCTATACTGTAGGAGGCAGAGGCGTATCTTTAACACTGCTGTCAAACGTATAGTACATAATAATCTTGCCTTCGAATAGGTATAGGTAACCCTCTAGAACTAGACATCCCTATCCCTAGATAGTAAAAAGTTCCTATAGATAAGGACGCTAGTCTGCCTAATCGTCGGTATATTGTAAGAGGAGGTCGACCGCGCTAGTACCCGACGCTGCCTTAACTATTCCGAGCGTCTATAGATATTGCAACTAGTATACTATCTAGCTATATGTCGACGATCTAGGTCGCTTGTCTCGAGCAATAACTATTACTCGCCCGATGTACTAGCGTATTAGATCCTAGTACTAGTAGTACTAATATTGATCTATTATATATCGGAAGCGGACTATATCCGAAGGTATAATTAGACCGCCTAGACGACCGATGAATTCGTACTAGTCTATAGTAGATATAGTAGTATTGCTAGTACTAGATAAAATGCCAAATCTAGGGCCGGTAGATATAGGGATATACGCCTAATAATAGGCGAATTCTCCCGAGGTAGAGCGGCAAGATATATTCTAGGCTATACTCTCCTATAGCTCTACAGGCAGCTCGACGATATAACCTAAGCCGAAATGTATCTTCTTTAAGAGGTCGCTAGCGATTATACGTATAAAAAGCTCTTTAGGGTCGAAGAAGAATATACCTTCGGTCGCGGAAGCTTGCTCGCTACCTTGCTATTAACCTAGTAGGGTTAGCAACCTATCCTCTAGGAGATGAACTTCCTGCTCGCGTAGAGGTAGAAACAGTAGATAACTCTTTAAGTATAGCTTTACTATATCGACAGACTGCGGAAGATTCCTTATATTAGTATCTTAGACTAAGCGGAAGATGCCCCGAAGTGACTTGAAGTCAGCGCGCGAGATACCTGCCTATAGGCAGAAAATACCTATTTCAACCTCTAGGTTCGTTAGCTAGCCTAGTGTTAATTTAGCCTTCTTAATAACTAGCGGTACTAGCTTAGATCTTATAGGACTAAAGACAGAGAATATATTAATTAGTACAAGAGCATTCTGCTATACCTCGAGCTGCTATAGCTAATCGGGTACTCGAGTCTTAATATAGGATTCGATATCTGGTCGATTATCGTCTACGTTGTCGAGTTCTAGGTCAGCTATAGAATCAGTATTAGTATTAGCCTATACTTCGTTGAACTTAGCGAGCTTAATAATCTCGACAGCTTAGTAGATTGTTAGAGTTTCGAAACGGGAAGAGTTAGGATCTACTTCTATCTCCTTATTACCGTTAACCTAGAAAGCAGCAGTAACTATACTTAGGCCGTCGGAATGTAGAGTCTAGCGGAGACGTATTAGTACCTATTCTAGCGACCTCGAGTCGGTAGCTGTATACCTAGTTAGTATCTAGTCTATTATCGTCGGACTAGTATATATCTTAAGGATAACTCTCGCCTAGAAGACTGTCGTTACTCTAAAGGTCTTCCTCTGCTTTACGCTTCGAAACTTGAACATCTGCTATCTACTAAGACGTAGTCTAAGCCTAGGCCTAGGCCTAAGCGGGCTAAGCTCGTCTCGGCGGGTTGATCGGACGCAGATTGCTTTCGTTAGTTAAACCGTATATCGAGAGGATGCCGCGACGGCTAAAGCTAGCTACGAACTTCGCAAGTTAGCGGTCTCTATCTTCGCCTATCTTCGACTATGCTCGAACCGAATCGCGTCGTTAGTAATCGACGAGGTAGAGGAATTAGATACGACGAGAGACGAGGTAAATTGCAGCGGATAGGTTGTTCGTATGTTTGTTTCTAGTAAGAAGGCGCGCTTAGACCTACTATACTAGTCCTGATCGAGACATCGACACTTCTAGCTACTACCTAGTACCTAATATAGAACCGCCCGGATTTGAATAGAATAGCTAAGCAGATAGGAGAAGTGAAGTATTCGATGAAATGGTTTGTTTAAGCTAACTTTAAGTATACTACAGATTATTCAATACGCCCGCGAGCTCGGTATTCGACTCTAATTTAAGCTTCTCCCCGGCTGCTTTCTCTCCAAACTAGTCTATCCGGGCTGTATATAATAATGCTAATAGTAACGCTACCTAATAACTAGTCTATAGTAGTTACTGTTGTGCTTATCGTAAAGTAGTAGAGCGTAAATGTAAAGAAGCAGTTATAAAGACGACAATAAACATATACGTAAATATAAACGTGCCCGAACGTAAACGTAAAGATAGTAATAAACGTAAAGATAGTAATAAACGTAAAGATAGTAATAAACGTAAATAACTAACGGTAGACCTACGAAGTAGAAACGGTATTAGTTCTATTGCCTGTCTTATCCGAGACTGCTTAAACGGCTATTTATACTATTAATTAACAATAGTTTGCTAGGACAGCTGTAGTAGTAGTACTGCCTATATATAGATACTATAATATCGTACTTGCTCTTACTTTGTCCGATAATTAATCGTTCTCTATTATATATACAAGGATAACTATATCTGCTCTTCTATCGATTAGTTCGGTAGAGGAGGAGATCTTGATAGTTCGAGTAATATTGATCTTAATAGTTCGAGTAATATTAATCTTAATAGTTCGAGTAATATTAATCTTAATAGTTCGAGTAATATTAATCTTAATAGTTCGAGTAGTATTAATCTTAATAGTTTGAGTAATGTTGATCTTAATAGTTCGAGTAGTATTGATCTAATTGCGCGCGATTCGATATATCGACTCGGCGGTAGTTAGGATACTGATCTCAATACCTACGGTTAGATATTACTCGCAGTTGATTTCTACGAGGCTGTAAGCACTAACTTGTCTAATGTAATAAGATGTTACTATATACAGAGGGTATAAGATTAATTAAGTATATATATATAGTATTGATCGTTACGAAGGCTATTACTATTGTTATAGGAGTCCTTATCGCTTTGATCGTAGCGTCTTCGATCGTCCGGTCGCTATTGCTAACGACGTTAGTAGGCTCGATATACTACGGAGATTAAAGGGCTTTGTTAATCGTACTGTCGATAGCTATACGATCGGGGTTAACGTTAATAGGTTGCTTAGGCTCGCGTTTGCAATAAGAGGGTTTAGGCCTAAGCTAGCGGTTCGGTTTGTGCTCTATACTATATATTAAGTATACGCGGATTAATAGTCTGGTCCTAGGGCCTACGATTAGTAGAGAGGTAGGATAAATATAATCTAGATGTATTGGCGGGGGAGTAGGAATTGTCGTTTAGTATCGGCTAAGAGTTACCTCGAAACGTAAAGCTACTCTCTACCGACATTAGTAATTGCTTGCTTAAAAGAGCAGTATAATCTAGAGAGGGAGAGGTTAGTCCCCGCAAGCGGGTGTTATTATTAGCCCTTAGGCATCGGGTCGAGCCTATACTACTATAGCGAAGCATTTATGCTATAATAAGAATAATAAGAATACTAACCGTCAGTTGCTAATAGCGATAGTCGGGAGCTGTTAGCAGGGCTATTACGCCTACCTCTCCTACGACTACCGCGACTAGCACTCCTAGTACGAGGACTAGGACGCCTCTTCTTAGGCTTTACGCCTTCGTTAACTATCTCCGCGAGGCCGGAGTAGTCAATAGGCTATAAATACGTTAGCACGGTATATTCTTCTAAGTATATGTCGATAGACTTACCTTCTTCTACGTCTGCTAGCCTCGCGCTACCTCGAAATCGTCTACGAAATCTTCGCGCAGTACGTTATCGTAGTCTTTATAGCGGCTATATATATATACCTCAATTAGTATAGCTCTTTCGGAATACAATAGACAGAGGCAACTTATACGATAATAGTAAGGTCGAGGAGAAAATCTTTATTCGTATTCTTGTCCTCTTTCGGCGCGAAGGGTATATCGGCCTTTACGGCCTTCGCGGCTTTCGCTAACGCGTTGGCCTAGATATCTATTAATATCTATTAATATCGCCTCGCGGGATAGAGAGTGTTAGGAGTCGTAGTAGAGTTAAACTTACTTTTAATAAAATACTTACCGCCCTCTGTCTCGTACGACGCTTCGATATCGAGGAAGCCGTCTATAAACTTCTATACCGTCCGGAAATTGTCGTCGCTATACTATCGTCTAAATTCTTTAACTAAAGCCTTATAAGGTATATCGAGGAGGGCGGGATTGTCGACAAGGGCTTGCTAGGCGTACTTCTATCTATTTGTTAGCTACGACACCGGACCGAAAATGCAAAAAGATAGATAGGGCTAAGGGAGAGGGGCTGTATTAGTTTACCTTAAGTGACTTCTTCTATTAATGCTTCTAGGTCTTGATCTAGTTAATAGCAGTCAACCGTAGGACTTCTTGTCGAGCGTCCCCGGGACTATTAGCTATCTTATCGCCGTATATCTCTCGTATTACCCTTATTTTCCTATTGTAGCTTATATATTAAAAGAACTCGAACTTTATCGTACGCTAGAACTTTGCAGCCCGCTCGCTATCCGTATTGTACCTAGCGTAGTCCTTAGCGGTAGGACGGTTGATTCCCTTCCGGTATCCTATAGACGATTTGCGGCTATCGATATTCTTGTTTTTCCTAAGTTGAGCTCGAACCTATAATTCTATTAGTACTAACTACTAGACTACTAGCCCTATCTTAAGGCATAGTATATTCTAATAGTATATTAAGGTTGAAAGGTAAGGTAAGGTAAGGTAAGGTAAGGTATACGTACCGGCTCGCCTTCTTTAAGCTCGAAGTCCTCTTCGTCTGCCTAGGTTTCCCTAGGCTCGGGATCGGGCTAAGTCTCTAACGACTCCTACTCGTCTCCCTCGGGCTAGAGAAACAAGCTATCGTATCTAGTCGATATAGTCGGAATTCTGCGGCGTCTTCTAGGCGAGATTTAGGGTCTATAGTATATAAGTAAATGTCTTAGTAGCTCGTAACAACCGGCAGTTCTATAGACTTATACTATAAGGGCGGGCGGGCAGTAGCCCGGTTAGATAGGTAAGGTAGAGGAAGATAAAGAGGAAGAGGAAGAGGAAAGAGTCTCGTTAATATCGGGTTCTTGCAACATTTGCTACGTATACCTCTGCCTAGCTATACGGAACTATCCTATTAGCTATTCCCCTTATTATATCTAATACTAGAACTATTCTAGCAACTATTCGATAGTATAAACTATACGCTTAACCGTTTATTAGAGGAACAACCTTCCGATTTTCTTTATAGTTCTAGCAACTATAGGGGTAACTATTTATAAAAAGGCAACTGCAGTCCTAACGGCAGGTACAATTATACTAATACGGAAGCCGAATATACCTAGGGAACGAGATATATCTACGAACAGTAGAAACAGAATGTATAGATAGAGAAGATAAACAGTACTAATATTTCCAACCTCGTACGAACTGCTGTTAGATATTAACCTACTTAGTAGCCGCTTAGCCTTCGGAACCGCTTTGCCGCCGGCTTACCTAAGTAAGCAGTCGGCCAACTGTTTAGAGATACCCTATAACCTCGCTAAGGTCTATTCTACCTTACCTATACTGTACTGGGATGATTCCAAAGTGCAGTTAGGTAGGTACTCAAGGATGTCTTTCCGATCCTTCTGGGTGTTGGGACGGTAGAGAGCGAACGAGAGTGCATTGTACTTTAAGAAGAGTGGAAGGTACAAGAGACCGAATTAATACATCGCTAAACACACCTACCTTACCTTATGTACCTTATCTACCTGTACCTGTACCTACCCCTGGTAGGTATACCGTATTTACTACCTACGGTACCTAAGGTACGGTATTAGGTACAGTCAACAAGGCAAGTAAGAGCGGCAGGAATATTTGCGACAAGGGAAGGAGCCATCGACTGACTACACACGTGCTGGTACCTATGTACAACTCATTACGGTTGGTACTACATGTACATAAGGTACCTGTACCTTCTCTTCAGGTCACCCCCGCCTGCTACTTATGCGAACTGACTGGTGCACAGCAATCAAAAGAGGTACGTCCATCTACCGTACCTTACGCTCCAATTCAACAGCCATGCACCCTAATGTACGTACGCAAGTGCCTCCTCAGTGATCGATCGTGCTATCATCTCTGTGTAAAACGAATGCTTCAACATTCCGAAACGCCGGCGCTCGCTCCGTACGCAGCAGCAGCAGCATAGGACAGACACGCTAAAACGTCTCACTGTCCAAACTGTCACGGGAACCTATAGACCACACCATGGTAAGTCAATGCAACCCTTTCTCTGGCACGCTTCGGGCAAGCCCTTTACATGCGATTGTAAAGACTCTCCACAGAAGACGTACCTTGGCTGAGTGCGCCAGGAACTGGCTTCCTTCTCACTGTGCCCACAGCAGCAGCAGCACTGGGTCCAGCATGATCCGTCCTTGCTGGCTTGCCATTGCTTGGAGTTCGAGGGGAACCCATGGGCCGCGGTCCTGTGAGACCACCCTTCCTTGCCGGGCTGGATATATTAACGGCCTTGGCAGACGCCACCTGTGGCTCCGGAGACATCTGCTGTGCAACACCTGTCAGTTCTTTCACTCCAATCAAAATGTCGTCGGCCCTTCATCGATGATCGATTCACCGCGACAGGGGTTTTGCATGCGCATCTCCGACTGACTGCCCAAACAGGAATGGTCTCTAACTTACATGTCTTCCGCTATCCGTTTCCAAGCTATACCTCACCTCTTCGATCGGCTCCAACAAATGGCCCGAGCCATACGGAGAAGAGTAATATCCACCTTTGCTGAAGCCACTGTTGCTGTATTGTGGCTCCTCCCACTCGTCCGGATCATCGTAGTCGATCTTGGGAGGCACGGCAGCTTTCTGCTGTGGGACGAGCGGATCGGCATCGTCGCTGCCTCTGCGCTTTCCTGACTTGTCATTGCTGCTCATGCTCACTGGACTCATGGGTTCCGCTTGGGTAAGACGGTGGCGTGCCAAGCCCGCAGTGCCAGCCGAGCCCCATGCCGATGGATCAAAGTCGCTTACCGTCTGCTGTGAGAGGTCGGAATTCGTGCCTGCTGGGTCGTCAAAGGATTGAGCCTGTGTTTCCAATGTGTTCTGGTGCCGCGACGTGGTTCCCTGTCGGGGCTGAGGGTGTTGCAAGAGTAGCGAGTTGCGGTGCGCTTGGTACTTGGGGTCATCAAAGAGCGCATCATCGTCTTCCTGAATAGGCGACCCTGCTCCGTCGTAATCGTACGGAGCACGTTGCTTGGTAGATGCTTCAGATGGTATCAGCGGAGACGGAGTCCGGGTCAGCCTGCTACTGGCTTGGCTGCGGATGCTGCGGGCCTGGGCATGATGGCTGGCGGGATCCTGCTTCCGTGGCAGGGTGTCACTGGAGCGTAACGAATCCTCATCGTCATCATAATCGTCCAGCGATGACCGGGAAGAATCAAATGACTTTTTCGCCGTTCGTGTCTGCTTTGGGCTGTCCAGAGTTGCTGGATCCGGTGCTGCAGATGAGGCTGTAGTACGTGACCAACGCGAGATTTTCGGAACACTCATACCGAATAAGGAGGAGCTGGCGCTCTTGTGCTTCCGATGTTTTTCTGGTGTATGGTCATTATTGGCTGCCGCAGTAGGCTGCGAAGGAGGAGTACCATTCGGCGATAGCCCTAGGTTGCGTTGCCGCTCCTGCGTAGGTGTTACCATCAGCTCATTATTCTCGAACTGATGGCTGAGTACATGTGCTTCGTGTGGCTCGAGTTCAGTGTCGCTCTCTTCCAACACCGTGCTGACACGATTGTCGGAGCCACGGCGACCATCGTACCCAGAGTGGAACTGCTGCTTCTCACGAGGTGTGATTGGAAAGTGGCCCGACTGGCTTGGCGTACTCGATGTTCCTGCTTGACCTTCCGGCTCGTACCCAGAGTCATGGGTTGCGCGCATGTTCTCGTACGTATCTAGGCTGTCCATCGTATAGGTGCGATCGAGGGTTGCATTATGACTCTGCTGGTGCCTCAGGTCTTCAACGTTGTCCAGAATCTGCATGAGCATATCCTCAACTCTGGCAAGGTCCTTGGCGCTCTTGCCTCCTGTCAGACCCTTAAGAGCGCGGCTCAGGACACCTTTCCGCTTTGTCTGGACATCTTGTTCAAAGGTACCTTGTCGGCGAGGCGTCCGCGGCGATTGGACAGGCTGTGGGCGCGGACCGCCGAGCACCTTTTGTGCAGTGAGCTCGGCATTGCGGTCAGTATTCTGCATGATCAATTTGTCTTGCTCCGCAATGAATTTCTTCATTTCATCGAATGAAGAGCGCATTTCCGCGGCACTACGCACAAGGGTGACCAGAATTTCGGTATCACGGGCATTGCGCTGAGCGTCCCGTACAGTCAAGTGGTCCATGAGCGCTACAATGTCCTTGGACTCGATACGATCCATGCCTTTGCCCGTGGAAGCATCGTACAGAGGCGAGTCCATGCCATGGGAGTTGCCACTGACATTTCGCAAGTGCCTGGGACCTGGAGAGGAGAACATGTCGTCGTCACCCACGTCTTGCGCATCCATGGCCCGATGATAGTCTTCCAGATCCTGTTTACCATACCGCTCGGCCTGAGGGGTGAGGCGGCCTCCGGACCGAGTGCGCCCGTCAGTAACGTAGCCTTCGTCGCGGAAAGAACGACCAGTAGGGGTTGCCTCTCGATCAATGTCGGGATCTTCGACTTTAGGCTGGCGTGCGGCATGAGTGGCTGCAAGAGCAGCAGCACCACCTGCGGCCGCCGCAGTCAAAATAGCTCCCTTGCCCAACCCATCGGTGCTGTTGCGCTTACTCCCAGGCTCTGGAGTGTACGGCCAAGTAGACTTACCAGTGACATCGCCACCGAGTGGTCCATGTATAATCGATGGATTGGTCTGAAGGTCGGACTGCGAGTCATAGTGACCGATCTCTGGCAGTGGATCTTCCGCAAGTGGAAGGCCGCTCGCGGTCATGACAGGTTTGTCGTCTGCACCGTGCAGGTCTCCAGCGGGACTTTGTGCCGGGGACTGCTCTGAAAGGTTGCGCGCATTATCCTTAATGGCAGCCCAGCGATCCTGACTTGGGACGCTCTCACTCAAGGTCGGGCCGTTGTAAAGTGCTGGATTTCCTTTGCCCAAGTCTTGGAGTTGCGTTGCCATGCGGTCGCTGTATGTGCCTCTCGAGTTGCGAGGACTGCTCGCGGAAGAAAACATGTTGCTGCTGACTGTAGATGGTTCCATCAACGATGCCACTGCAGACTCCACTGCGACTGGAGTGTTAATGTACTTCGGTACAAGGCCACCGCCATTGATGTCGCGCACTCCATGCTCGCCATCTCCACCGGCATCAGACTGATGATCAAGATAGCTGTCATCCGTGTACATGGTGAAGCGTTTCGAGTCTTCGGGGTACGGATTGGTCTGATAGGAGTCGCGATTTGTTGCCATGGAGTCGCGATACTGGTCATTGATCAGATGCTGCTGTTCGAGCCATTCATCTGCACTCTCGGTAGCAGGTGGTCCTGTACCATCACGCCAGAATGATTCCTCGTGTCGCTCAGCAGGTGTTTCGAATTCATCCAAGCTAGCATCGCGCGAGTGCTTTGTAGATTGTGCGAGCCTCTGCGTGGTAGGTGAGGATTCTGAACGAAGCGAAGATTGCGATCTTTGGCTTTCGCGCAAACGACCAGCAGAAGAGCGCGACGCTGCACTTTTTGGCCGCAATCCTTGAGGGATGAGCGGGTCGTCCTCGAACGTCTTACGTAGACTAGACACGCTCTGCACGGGACTACCGTTGCTGATGGTTCGCCTAGGTGCAATGTCCCCGTAGCCATCCGCATCCACATGGCGACTCTCTGAGCTCTTTGTTACCGCTGCTGCCCCAAGCCCTGCTGCAGCGAGCGCGGCAAGGCGTTCCTTGTTCGAGATACCGCCATTCGGGCTTTTCGCGCTGACAGGACTCTCAAGTGTTGGACTGTCCAAGGTTGGGCTGTGAAGTGGTAGATTCGTAAGGCTCATTCCAATATTCCTGTCTTGTCGCGATCCTGGTCGGGTCGGAGTGCGAGAGGAAGCCGGAGACGTAGCATCGCCCACAGCCCCACGCGAGACTTCCCTGATTGGAGTGCGCGAATCTCCCGAAGCACGTGAGGCTGGACGATCAGTGCCTTGCGACAGGAGACTTTCTCGCGTGACGTCCGACTCGTTGATCGCACTGGCCATTGGCATTGCTGGGATAATCTCCTTTTGTAGAGATCCTTCGTCAATGGATTCATTGATGCTAGCAGAACGGCTCCGACTGCTTCGCGACTTTGTCCGCCTTCTGCGGCGTTCGCTGAGATCACCCTGAGAATCATGATGCTTCAATGCTGCAGAAGTAAGGATGCCACTGGCCAATCCCGCAGCTGCAGCGCCTCGAAGTCCATTGGTGCTTCTGCTTGACTTCTTATGCAGCCTTTCTTCCGTTTCATAGCTACTTTCGCGAGAGTGCCTTCCAGAGGATCGTCGGCTACTGGAGTGCTTTTCCGAGTGCTCGCGGCTGGATTTGCGATGCTTCACTCGCTCAGAATCGCCACGCGAAAGAACGACTCCTGGATCATCACCATCGCGATTGAGAACAACCTTGGGCTTCGATGGCAGATGTGGCGTACTGGATGACTTGCTCACTCTCCTTTCCAGGCTAGCGGTGCTGTCGGGAATCGAGCCTCGCCTGCTGTCATCATACTTGTGTAGCTGGCGGTCAATCTTCTGCTCTGCCTTCATTTGGTTCAATTCAGGCAGGATCATGCGTTTGATGGTGTCTTCAACCATCTCCAAGAGCTTCGGATTGTTAGTCATGCTTCGTGCTTGCGAAGTTCCTGAGCGATAGGATCTATCGGATTTGCTTGACAGCAAACTTGACTCTGCACCTATCACAGCATCGTCCTCTGAACGTTGGGACTTGGATGATCGCCTGCGCCGCTCGCGCGTCTGCGCCTCATAACCGTACTCCTTCTCACTCGGTTCCTGGCTCGACTGGCCAGATTTGCGAGGCTTAGTCGCCGAAGCACCAAGTTTCTCCATGACCCTTTGCGTAATGCGGTCGCGACTGTTGGTCCTGCTCTGACTACCGGTTCTCTGCGGTGTCCTCAGATATGTCGTCTCCTTCACAGGCGTGGCGTCGTCGAAGCTGACCTCACTCTCCAGAAGAGAGTTCTCGCCTTCTAGCATGCTGTCCGGTGGCATAGACGACACGTTCGATTCGACTGGCGCATACATCAGTCCACGCGAGGACCTGTCCGGCTGCGGCACCTCGCTTTGATTCAGCACTTCGATCTCGACAGGCGGTAGCCCAGATATGTCGCTTCCAGAGGAGCCACTCAGCTCTGTACCCTGTCCAGACGCAATGCCAGCCTCTGGGTGCTTGCCTCCAGGAAGCGCTATCCTTCTCGTGTACGAAGCCTTGCGGTCCTTGCCGATTGACGTAATCTGCACACTATCACTTCCCGTCCTGCCCTTGCTCGCAGAGCTGGGTGTGACTTTCACTCGTACACTGGGTCTACTCCGGCTCTTGTCCCCCGTCTTGGACGCCTCGAAGTACTCAATGAGCAGACTCGTCTGGCTCTTCTGTCTTCCGTGCTTGCCAATGCCACCCTCTCTGCTGCCCGAAGTGATCTTCTGCGTCGAAATCGTGATTGGTCGTCCGTCTTCGGGGATGGTGTAGTGCGTCTTATCGGTTCTCGTGGTGACATTCGTGGCAACTTCGGTATCTCCTCCACTCGTGTCGTTCTCGTCCATCGACTCAGTCGGCGCAGGCAGCGGCGGACGGCGAGAGTCCACGCCCATCTTAATTTCCAAGCAGAACACAGACGGCGCGTTGTTGGCGACACATTACTTTCAGCAGTGGGGCGTTGCGGCGGCCCTGCGCTCTTCCGTCGTGCCGCTGTGCAAACGATTGGAATTTGGGCAATGTTGTTTCTTGTCGGTGGCGGGACAAGTTCTCACGGAGGTCGCACAGCTGCAAGGATGCCGGCAGTTGCTGTGCCTCTTGCAGGAAGGAGCGGTTGAGTAACGAGAAGAACCCACGTTGTTGCTGTGATGATCGGCTCGCTGGTGTGGGTGTTTGTTACGGGATGGGTTGGTGAGGTGTGATGTCGCATGCGCTTCTCTTGGTGAGAATGATGAGAGCTCGAGCTGAGGTGGAAGGTACCTATTCCAAGTCGAGGGTTTGTTGATGCGCTGGCCCGCTAGAATGGTTTGAGCTTCGCTTTGCTTGGAAGGTGCTTCGTTCGGAACTGAGCCTGGAACAGGTAGAGCCCACCGACGCCGACCACCGCGACGACGACGACCTGTCGGACGTTCACAAGGCTGGTGGACAAACGAGTCGATTGCAGCGCTCGCAGGCACATGCCAGGGTTGTGGGTTGTGCAGTACGGATGTCGTTGGCGACACAGGACCAGCAGTGGCTGGCCGAATAGACTTTCGCACCATTCACCAGGTGCTCCATTGATAGTGTGTTGCTAGGCGACGGAACGAGGGATGCCTGCCGTCCATCCAATCGATAAAGCTAGTCGGCTGCCTGTGCTCTCGCGCTTATTGTACAGACTCTGTTTCCCCCGGCTTTCGGGCAGTACCTACGGTGGTAGCATGTCACAGAGACACTCCACCAGGAGAATGGTATGAAGTCGGACAAGGCAGCATGTCGTTAGGCTAGACGTGCCACGTTGAGCCCGCCCTCCTCCATTCCACGGCTCCAGCTGCTGGAAGCGTGACCAGTTGACTACCTGCTACGTGTACCTAGGTACTTCTCTGCACCGTCACAGCCACAACATCCCTACCAGAGATCGCAAACACAGATCAACCGACAACCGGCGAACGGGCGGCGGCTCTCCACCTGCTGAGAATCCAGCACACCTGCCCCATGGCGCCTACGCCGCCTAGTATACTTAGTGACTACCTACCTCCTACGTACCTACAGCCTCTTTTGTTGTGTTTATTGCCACAAATCACAGCATGCACGCGATGCACACGTGTGCTTGCATACACTAATGTACCTGTATCCATCAGCACGCAAGAATGGCCGCAAGACACCTCTCAGGGGACCGAACACAAAGAAATTTGATGTCCTACGGTCTACCTTAGGTACCTAGGTACATGTACCTTACGAATGCTTTCTACCTCTTCTACTGGAGCAGCACAAAACAGTACTGATTCCTGATCATCATACAGCCCTGCATCTGAGCGAATCAAACGTGATTTATCTTGTGGCTGGAACAGCAGGTACATTTAGGTATCTACCTATGTACCTCCTACCTGACCTTCCACAATTCTACCTCCTACCTCCATCAATCACATCCAGCATCTCTTGGCTGCTCGGCTTTTCTGCCTCCTAACCAGACTCCCAGATGCACGCCCCGTGAAACGTTTTGTCCGTAATACGTTATACCGTTCTTCTCCAGTCGGCGCAACGTTTCGGCACTTGTCGTTGTTGGAAGCCGATGGTAAGAACACATGTTCGTTTCTGCAGACTAGGTACAGGTACATCTTAATAAGGGGAAGGCGTAAATTACATATGACGAAGAGGTTCAAAGTACCAGACAGACCTCATTCATTATGGGGTTTCCCAGCCGACGTTGCCCACTACACTAATAGCTACTTGCATTCAGTGTATTGTCTCTCGAGGGGAAATATTTCGAGCTTTTCATCAGCCAACCAGCCATACCACACTTTTTCTGGCCATGCCATCATCAATCGATGCTTCGCCTTTTCTAAGAGTGACGCTAGCAGTGAGCCTCCTTCCACTTCCGTCCCATCCCAATCATCAGATTTGACGTTGCCCAACAGTAAGCTACGCAGTATGCGGCTTTTGTCTCAACACATTTTCTTCTCTACCCTTATTACGCCCCACCAGTCTGTTCTCTCGTGTCCCGGTCCTCGCCGCTTGATAATCCTCAAAGGGCCGGTACAGTCTACGACATTCCTACTGTCGCATCTGGTCCAACCCTTGCAGTTCGCGTTCCAGGTCATGTTGTTGTCCACCTGCCGCAGGCCCTTGACCTAACTCCTGTGGCCGAGGATCCTCAAACGCTCGTGGGTCGTAATGCTCTGGGATAGGCACCTGCTGCTGCGGGGGCGCTTGCTGTGAACTATGATATTGGGGCGCCCGTACACTCTGTCGGAAACGTCTGACTTCGTCCAGGATCATTTGACGCATCTCGGGCACCTCGTCGACAACTTCGAAGCCGAAGTCGAAAGGTGTGGGGCATGCTGGCTCATCCGAGGCGTCATGCCAGATGGAGAGATATCGATGCTCGAGGGCATCTTCGACGGAGATGCGCTGGGATGGATCAAAGGCTAACATGCGGTCGAGGAGATCCAGCGCATCGGGATTGGCTCGGTGGAAGAGGGTCTGGAAGGGGATCTTCTGCATGTACGGAAGGTTGCGCACATATTCTTGTGCGCGAGGAGACCCGATACGAGAAAGGGTCGACTCGGATGGTGTTCCCAGAAAGTGGAGAATCTGATTCAGCTGGTCGACGTAATCGCGACCCTTGAAGAAAGGCTTGCTGCCCAGCAGCTCAGCAAGAATGCAGCCCACAGACCATACGTCAACTATACTATGTCAGCAGCGCACCTCACTCCCATGTGATCGTCTCCACGTACTCGCTTTGGTGTAGCTCTGGAAGCTCAACATGATCTCCGGTGCTCGGTACCATCGCGTCGCAACATACTCGGTCATGTAGCCCGCATTCTCTTCAGGGTCGATGCTGAAGCCTCGGGCAAGGCCAAAATCGGCAATTTTCAGCTCGCAGTCGGCATTCACAAGCAAGTTTCCAGGCTTCAGGTCACGATGTAGCACATTGGCGCTGTGGATGTACTTGAGCCCGCATAGAATCTGATAAATGAAGCTCTGAAAGTGGGCATCGGTCAGAGGTTGGCCTGATCGGATGATGGCGGCTAAATCACACTCCATGAGCTCTGCGATACAGCCATGTCAGCATTGTCCCTGCAAGTTTAGAGCTCTTCCATCTTACCCTCATATAGATAGCACTCATTGAAGTTGTCCATGCGAGGAATGTCCAGATCGTATAAGCAGGTAATGTTTCGGTGGCCTCTGAAATGCTGCAACAGCTTCACCTCTCGCAGGGCGCGCTTGGCCAGAATCTTCTTACTGAACACATTGGTGATCTTCTTGATTGCAACACCCTCGCCCGTCTGAGCATTGGTGGCAGCGCAGACGATACCATACGCACCCTGACCCAGCTCTTTTGTCACCGTGTATCGCTCGTCCACGATGAACTCTTGATTGAAGACCTTGAACGTCTTGCGCCCGTTGAGGTCACCCATACTGTCCTGGAAATGGATCGGTGTTTTTGCGAGGAGCAGGTGGGTAGTGGACAGGCGAGTTCGGTTCGATTTCTGTGCGGTGGTCCGAATGGACGTGCAGGTGCAAAGAGCACGCGCGCGGCTACAACTTGTCGGTCTTGTCTTTCACAGTGGTCTCGGGACCCTGCAGCAGGAAGCACGAGCCGATTTGACGAATGCAGTCGAACAAGCGGAGTTGTTCACCGATGCAGCTCGAAGTGACACTGAAGCGGTCGAAGCGAAATTGCCCGGGTTCTTTGTTGAGAGTGTCGTGCGTGGCGACGGATGGGGATGGAGTTGGAGATGGAGATGCGGACGGGCGAGCGCAGGTTGTTATGCTGCCTGTATCGCTTGACCACGACAGAGTTGAGAGGGTGGGAGGTCAGGAAGACGAGAGACGGGAGCGGGTCTATTATTCTTTGAAAGTCTCACCAGCTGAACAGGACAGGACAGGATACGATAGAATACGGACGGGGGCAATTTTGTCGTCAGCACAGCACACAGCACAATAATCCACATGCATGCAACGAGCGGTGTTTCTACCTGCTACTCCTAGTTTAAGGCAGTTAGTTCGTTCATCCCACCTTGAGGTCCTTGACCAAGGCGCCACCATCTGTCAATAATGAGGGGCCCTGGCCTGGACACCTCGTCTTATCTCGACCGTGTCATTGGACCGCGAGCTGCCCTGAATACCTGTACCTCCTACTGCCTACCTCTACCTCGTCCTGCTACCTGACCTCTCCTACCTCCAGCCTCCAGCCTCCCTTTTACGGTATGTACAGGTACGGTAAGGTATGCGAGAATAATGCTCACCTTGTCCTCCCTTGACCGCCCCGTCTGCTCCCCTCGAATACATGTATGTAGTAGTGGCCGTCTTATATGCGCACGACATGCGGCGGAGTAGGCGGTCATCTCACTCTCACGCTCACTCACACTCCCACACCTCTCTCACTCTCACTCCCTCTCCCACACTCTCCCACCATTCTCACCCTTCCGAGTGCACGTCGCCGTCTCCACAAACATGGATCACGACCCAGTCGCGTCCCAGCTGGTGCACTACATCAGTCTACATGTAATCAGGCGGTTCTAGGCCTCGGGCGCTGATGAGGAGGAGGTCAGCCTGGTCAGGCAAGACTTGCAAGGCTCCAGAGGACCAGGCCGCGGTGTCACATGCTTTCGCGATGAGAACTCGAACCGTCACTGCTGAAAGAGCCTCGGTGCAACAGAAGTGCTCGATTGAGGTAGGAGGTAGGAGGTACCTCTATGTACCCACACCACACCACCGCAAGTAATAATAGTTCTCCCGGGGGCATACAACCATCCAGATCTGTCTGTTGCACCACATGATTGCTAATCCCCACTGTATATCTGGACCTTCTTCTCCTCTCGCAGGATCCCCGTCCTTCCCCTTGACTAACTATGCCCATCCAGCTCACCATGAACGAGATACCGGAGCTGTCTTACACGCCCGTCGACCATGTTGCCCAAATCCACCGCCGCGTCGTCGACAAATTCGACTCGCATGACACCCGTCCCATTGAATACCGCCTCAAGCAGCTCCGATCGCTGTACTGGGGCCTGAAAGATGCCGAATCGGCCGTTATGGAGGCTTGTATGCTGGACCTCAAGAAGAGTGCCTTTGAGACATACCTGACCGAGGTGGGCTGGGTGCTCAACGACATCATCTTCATGACCAAGAACCTGCAGCGCTTTATGAAGGATGAGAAGGCGGAAGATACCAGCTTGACCAACATGCCCATGCGTCCGCGCATTCGCAAGGAACCCTTGGGAGCTGTGCTTGTCATTGGAGCCTACAACTTCCCATTCCAGCTTTCACTGGGCCCTCTGGTCGGAGCTATCGCCGCTGGCTGTACCGCTGTGCTCAAGCCTTCAGAGAATGCGCCCAATGCCGCCCGTAAGCACGGCCCAAGTCTGCCCCCCTGGAGCGATTGTGCTCTCTGCTAACACATGATGTTCGAACTGTAGGAGTGCTCCAGCACATCATCCAGGAGTCTCTTGACCCGAACTCTTATCAGGTCGTCCAAGGCGCAATTCCAGAGACGACCGCCGTGCTCGCTTGCAAGTGGGACAAGATTTTCTACACAGGCAACGGAACCGTGGGGACTATCGTTGCAAAGAAGGCTGCTGAAACGCTCACCCCAGTCACGCTAGAACTTGGAGGTCGCAACCCAGCCATTATCACCAAGAGTGCGGATGCACGTCTTGCAGCTCGTCGGCTTCTCTGGGCGAAACTCATGAACGTGGGCCAAGTCTGTGTTTCCCAGAACTACATTCTCGTCGACAAGGAGATCTTGCCAGAGTTCCTGCGTCAGCTCGAGCTTGCCCTGGCGGAGTTCCAGCCCCAAGGTGCAGAGCAACAAGCGGACTATGGAAAGGTCGTCAATGAACGTCAATGGAGTCGCCTCAAGAAAATGCTCGACAGCACCAACGGCAAGATCCTGATGGGCGGAGAAACCAACCAGTCCACTCTCTTCTTCGGACCTACAGTAGTCCAAGTCAGCAGCGCAGACGACCCGCTTCTCGCCGATGAGTCATTCGGTCCACTGATCCCCATCCTCCCTGTTGACAATCTGGACGAAGCAATTCGTGTCGCGAACAAAGTCGATCCCACTCCTCTCGGAATCTACCCCTTTGGCAGCACCGCCGAAACCAACAAAATTCTCTCCCAGACTCGTTCGGGAGGCGCATCAGTCAATGATGCTTTCTTCCACGCATCCATCCCCACCCTAGCCTTCGGTGGCGTCGGGAACTCAGGCACAGGCTCATACCGCGGCAAAGCCTCCTTTGACTGCTTCACGCACCGCAGAAGTGTGACCACCACCCCCGCATGGATCGAGGGTCTCCTCGCAGTCCGTTACCCGCCTTACACAGATGCCAAGTTGAAGAAGTTCAGAGGCATGTCGGAGTTGAAACCCGATTTCGACCGCAATGGCAATCCCACTGGTTCGGGGCTGTTGTGGTGGGTTCTTGGTAAGTCAAGGTATCCGGCATTGGAGCAGAACAATGGCAAGAGCAAAATTTGAGGATGCAAATATTACCACAAAAAAAAAAAAGATTATCCTGCAGCGACTAATGAAAGAGTGTATGCAGGACTTGGGGGCAAGAGTAAGACTGGAGGTATGACGAGATGGGTACTCGTCGCAATGATTGCCACGCTGGTGAGGTGGTATAACGCCAGATCTGCTGCTTGATAGGGGAGGGGGGTAACGATTTAATTTCTAGAAAAGACGTTGGAAGAAAGAGATGATTACCTCGGGTTCTTAAGATTCGGTTGATGTACAGTATATTATTACACGTACCTATTGATATCCATGAAATTTTCTGCTTGGACTAGGCGTCGACATGTATCTTGCAATAGGTATCTATCTACCTTACCTACACACCTGATCTTAGCAGCCAAACGCTTCTTCTCCCACAAGGCTCAGATGAGTTGAGTCCTGCAACCTGAAGTACCTATCTCAGGTACCAGTTTGAAACCTGATGTCTCTCTCTATCTCTCTCTCTCTCTCTCTCTCTCTCTCTCTCTCCGCGGCACCGTGATGCATTGCATTATTTACTTAGCAAGGAGAGTTGTGCCATTTGGAGGTACAGTACAGGTCCCTAATTAGGTTCATCAGGAGGATCCTAGATACCAATACAATCATCATCATTTCGCAGCATTTTGAAAGTCTCTTCAGTAGGTAGGTACTGAATCCTTCGTCATGATCATATCATCAGTCAATCATGACATGCCTCAGGTTGCTACTCCAAGGTAAGGTAGCGTATCTATCTATCATTAGGTAACACTTCCCCTTCCAGATCGATCAGCAGCAGCAGCAGCAGCACCAACACCCACACTACCATTTCTCGAACCTTGCATCTGCGTCCTCTCCTTCTCAGCGACAGGCTTTCTCCGACTTCTCTTAACAGGAGAGTAGACCTCATTGAAATTCATCGCAATCGCCAAGAAGCGCATATCACTATCGGGTTGATACGCCAAATCTCCTAGGAGAATGTTCACCTTGGCTCGGAATTCAACCTCTAATGTTTTGAGTCGCTGCCGGAGCTGATCGAGCATGTTTCTCTCGCCGTCGATGCCAGCCATTGATGGCAATAGAGGAAGGAGGGGAGAGTCCGTTTCTCGATCGTGAAGTCGGTCTCGAGTGTTCCTGCTTGCTGTGGGGTACAGTGGCGACGGGGCAGAATCTTCGTCGGCATCTGTAATGCCCCATCGTCCAGCACGCGTCCGAGTTTCGATCTTAGCGGAAATCTCTTGTCGGCGTGTGAATTCGGCTACGCTATAGCTGTACAAGCTGTCAAGGGCATCGCGGTATGCTAACATCAGCTTGAAGAGCTCGTGGAGCTGAGTCGTGAAGTCTAGGCCCACCATGCCGGAGGCACCCAAGAGCCCTTTGCGAGTGATGTTGCGAAGATATTCGGTGTGTGCATTGATCAGCGTGTCTAGTGTCGCGTCTGCTCTGCCCATGTTCCTTTGCAAGTCCGCCCACCCCTTCTCAATCACTTCAAAAAGCACGTAGTACTGGAGTTGATCAACGAAGTGTATCATCTCGGCCAGCCCGCCTCGTGCTGACTTCCAGTCTGACCCGAGCTTGTCGCTCACAGCCGCTAGCACTCCTCGAGCACCAGTTTGCAGCCGTCGCCACGTTGTGGACAGCGCAAACTCGACCCGCTTGACCCTCCACAGAAAGTTGAAGACCTTGAGATACTGGCGGCCAGCCCAGGGAGTGACGATGACATCTAAAGGCGCATCCACTCGATATTCCAGCGTGAAGACGTCCCAGCCGATTTCACCATGACTGAGTTCCAGCATACGAGCATCCAGGCGCCGCAGTACATCTGCATTGTCGTACTGAGCATTCGAATTGCGTATGGCATGTTCCAGTTGCGCTGTCAGTGTATGCCGATACTGGCTGTTAGCAGGTCGGTCCAGATTTTGCGACAGAGACTCCATCAGTAGTGCCACAAAGTCTCCTTGGCCTAGCAGTAAGTACTTCTTCATTGCTTTGAGATGCGTCGACAGCGCAAACTTGGTTTCAAGCAATGTCATGAGTCTCGCCATGACGGTCTTGTATGCTTCGTCAATGCTCGCAGATAGGGTCGCAGTATCGCCATACTTCAGCTCTTTCGACGCAGACTTGCTGTACGATTCCACCCAGGCGCTATCACCGCAAGCATAGCGGATGAAGTTCAAACTCTTGCCGATAAGGTAGACCCGGTTAGCGAAATCAGAACTCATGATAGTAGGTGTCATATTCTCTTGTAGACGATACTTTTGCTCCCAGACGCTCGTGGCTCCCCCTTCCTCATCCGGGTTCTCAGTCACGAAGAACTCCTTGTATGGGTCTTCTAATTCGCCATCATAGATCCATGCTCGTAGCATGTGGTAGAACGGCCGAGTTACTTGCACGAGCAGTCGTTCGGCAAAGGTGTGTACAAAGGGGTCTCCATGTTGTGATGAGAATGAGTGGATCAGGGTGATCAGCTCGCCGCCTTTCTTGCCCTTCGCTGACTCCACGATCGTACTCATCAGCCGCAGGCCGAACGTAGCCTCACGTGTCCAGACCACACATCTCTTCAAAGTGACGCCCGCTTTGCCCAGACCACCATTCGATGTCGTGGAGTCCAGTTGTGCCAGGGCACGTCGTATCTGACCTTCTAGTGTAGCTACTAGACTGAGATACGATCGCAATTCCTGTCCAATTGCACTCCGCAGGCTTTGGCCGACCAGTCCACCCTCGCTGGACTCTACGAAATCTGAAAGTGACCTGTACAGCAAAGACGGCTCAGCCAGCTGATGAAGCAATGCAACGAGTGGTACAGGTAATGTTGTAGGCAACTTCAAGCTCTTCTTATCCGCGAAGGGAAGATTCGTCGAAGATAGTCCCTGCAGCGTGAAGGGAAGATCTCTCAAGAGCGCAGACTCTGGCGGATCTAACCCATCTGATGACTTCCTGGCTGGCGATTGGGGCTGTGGTGTCGCGTCTTCACGCTCCTGTGTTCTCGACTTTCCCCCATTTTCACGCTCCTGTGTCTTTGGCCTTGCTGGCATCGGGCGTTCACGATCCCTCACGCTGTTCTGCCTGGTCTGCTGCTCGGGGTCCTGCACTTGAGAATGTCTAGGCAACCCATTTCTCGAGAATGCATCGTTGAAGACCTCGCGTTGTTCTTCATCGCGCTCCTCTTCTGCTTCTCCAGCCCCGATGCCCGTTTGTCGTGCCTGTGGACTGCTCAAATCCTGCGCATGCGGCCTGCCTCCATTCCTGCTCACATCCCCATCCTCTCCCACCTTCCACAGAAAGTACAGAATCGCCCATTTGTTGTTGAGTACCGGCTGCGTCAACAGCCTCGAGTACAAGTTGCCGAATGTTGTCGCCTGCGCAGCCTTCCCCTCGCGCACCAACTTCCTTCTGATCAAGTCCGCAGCCTGGTTGACATCGTCGACTGGCAAGGTTTCGCTCTCGCCGCGGTCAATCAAGCTGGTCGCGATCTGGTTCGCATCCTCCCACCGCTGGTCTGCGCTTTCTTCCTCTTCGCCGGGCTGTTGTGGTGGGACCAGTCGCTCAAGCAGGGACTGCAGTGCGTTTTCGACGCGTTCCTGTTGGCTTTTGGACATTGTTGTGATGCATGTTGGCCGCGACTGTGCTGCAGTGGAGAGGTCGACGCGCAGTGTGACGCGCGATGTTTGGGCACGAAGGAGGGGCCGCTGTCGTTCATCATCATTACCTGTCGGTATATGTACCTGTACCTACCTTACACTTAATGTTGTAAGACATTCACTCATTGAACAACATAGGCCGAGAAGTCGGGAAAGGACAACCAAACAAGAAGTAAGGTAGTATTTGATCCTGAAGATGTATGGCATTATTTGCTTTCACTGGTCGTAGCAATTTTGAGTCTGGGCCTGAGCCTGAGCCTCACGCCCATATCGCTAAGTAGCTGCACCAATCTCTGGTTCCGCCCATGCTCACATGTGTTGCCACCATAAAACGCCTGCTTCGCCAAAATCCCACTCTCAAAATCCTCCAAATCGCCGTCCGTCTGCGTTATTCATCTAGAAACTCAAGAATGCCACTGGCGCTACGCCCACTCTGTGTCTCGCCCTCGGTACTGTACATTGGAGCATATGAGTGCCTCTGTGGAGTCGACGGCGGCATGTTCAGGTATTGCGAGGGGGACTCGGAATTGTGAACTTTGCCCTCATATGATCGATCAAATGACCGCTCAGTGAAGTCAGAAGATTCCTAGCTACTCAAGGGTCAGGAATCACCTGGAGGTAAGAAAATGTACTGTCACACTTTGCTTACCTCCTCTGCATCTGAGCTTGAGCCATTTGAGCTTGCTGGCCCATTCCTGGCCCACCTTGACCCATGGCCATGCCGTAGGGATTGGCATAATGCTGACTGTCGCCAGCAATCTGTTGCATTGCCATGCCAGAAATGCCCTGCGCCTGTGACACAGGGCAGTCTTTATGCGCGAGCAGGAGAGTCTTGAGCCCCACAATCTCTTCGCGAAGCTGGGTGACAGTAGCTGCGAGAGCATCATTTTCCGTGCTGAATATTTCTACCTTTTGCTGAAGATTGGCCAGCCATTGCTTCTTCCGCTGTCGACATTTGAGGGCGGCGACACTGTCACCATGTTAGCACATATGTCACAATGGTGAGTACTGTCACACTCCACGTACCGATTGCGCTCGAGAAAGTTCTTGCGCTTCTCCTCGTCTGTCATCTTTTTGCCATCTTTGCCCATCTCGTCTCCCTCGGGACTCATGTCGTCCACATCCTCGGGCTCTTCTGATTGTGTGCTGGCACGCGCCTTTTTGTTGGCAGGCGGTTTCGCCGGTGTCTCATCGGTCTTCCTCTTTCCGTTCGCCGCACCCTTGCCCGCTGCTCCTTTCTTGCCACGAGTCCCTCGCATGTTGGCCTTGCCATCCTCCTCCGAGTAATGATCTGCATGCTCCGTGCTACCAGACATGTTGCTGCCGATACTGTTCTTTCCGCCTCGTTGATCTTGCTGCATGGTTTGCTGGAAACCCTGTTGCGGTGGCATGGGGTAACTCGTGGGGTTTCGTTGTTGTTGTTGCTGCTGCTGCTGTTGACCACCAGCCTGGGCTAGCATGAATAGACCGTTCGCAGCCTCGTTGCTTTGATGGGAGCCGAACGGATCGGCGTTGTCTGACTGCGAGTTCTGTCCGTTAGGGTTGTAAGGCTTGCTATCGAGATCCGGCTGAATGTTGGGGTTCTGTTGCGCCTGCGATGTGGCACCTGGGCCAATACCATAGGTGTTTTGGGAGCTCTGTGCACGTGCAGTCATAGCAGTGCGATGGAAATCGAGAGTTCCAGGCGTCGCGCCTCCACTCTGTAATGAGTTGTATATCGCTTGCGAGTTGGGTGATGGCTGCGGGAACATAGACCCGCCACCACCGGGCGTCAGACCAGTCCTGAGCGAAGATTCGTTGGGTGTGGGAAAGCTGCCAGAGAAATGGTGATCGCTGTTGAAGTAATCGTTCGAGCCAGACGGTCCGCTGAGCATCGCCGGACTGAGGGGGCCTGAACGAAGAGAGCCGGGCCAACCGGGTGTGTTACCCGGTAGAAGAGAGGCCGGAGAGGTCAAGCTGGTCACGCCTGGGAGCTGTGTCTTGCCTGGTGTGTCGGCAGGGTTGCTGAAGGCACTTTCAAACGGATTGGGCTCCTTTGTGAGGTGGGTGGCAGATCCAAAGTAGTCGCCGTCGCCGGTCTGCGCAGGCTTAGGCGGCGGTGCGAGAGGCGCATTGGCGGGCGGAGCACCAGTGTCCTGCGATTCGGCCTCAGGCTCTGGCTGCTTGATCGTGGGAATAGAAGTGTCTAGGTGGAAGTCAGTAGCGCGCGCTCAACGGCAGTGGTGGAAGGTGGGGGTCATGGTCGCAGAGAAGCGACGACCACAACGACCACAACGACCGCAACGACGATGCGTACCTGGCTTTTCGGTTGATTCCTTCTTCGCGGTATCTGTACGCCAGTCAGCCAAGGCGTGCGTCAATGCGATTGTCTCGTGATGGGCGATGATGCAATCAAGACTCGCAGCCTGAATGGGAGTGATGATGATCCGGTTGCGACTCGAGAATTGCAGTGCAGGCCGCTGCGCCGGGAGGGAAAGAGGGATGGCGAGGCAGCGCAAGATCGAGCAGCAAAGGGGAAAACAACATACCTGGAGCATGTAGTGAAGTACGATTAGAGCGCGGCGATGCAGTTTGGCTCTTCGCGTTATTGAGACGAGGTGAACTAGCGACGACAGCTGCTGCCATGACGTCGATTCGAAGTTGCCCGTGTCGTCTGTTTCTCCTGGTGACGATCTACTAGGTACTGTGGAACTCTCAAGTTCCCTCTTTCTTTCTCTCTCAAGTCTTCCAACACGACTTTTACACCTATATTTCCCGCCTACAGTCAGCACATTCGTTGTTTGGTCGCGTGGTGCAGGTTGGAGCAGGTCGCGAAGTGCGTGTCCAGCGGAGCACAAATGATACACATGGCGGCTACGAATCTGGGACGAGTGGCAAAACCGCTTGCGCGACTTCACCACCGCCTTCACCAAGACATCGCGAGCCCCCGTTGACGCGTCTCTCTTCGCTTCCAGATGGCCTCGAACTTACCTCGAATACTCCAGAGAGGCTCGCACGGAATGCCGCTGGTGCCGGTGATGGTTTTCAGGGCTTGGCTGCCGTGGACATAGGTTGTGCGATGGTGTCGAAGATGCGACGACGCGCAGAATGGACAGTGGCGCGCTCGTTTGTCTCCCCAAACACCCTCCAAAAGCGCCAATGGTGAAGAGAAAAGGCCGTTCGTCGTGCTGCCTGCGCAAAAGTCTTCTTCTGGTAGTAAAACGTGACACTGCACGCGAGGATGTTCTGATGCGAGCGAAATACGTCAGTGGAAACCTGGAGCGAACTGGAAGAGAGCGTGACGTCTTCGTCTTATGGGTAATATGGGAAAGGCTCTGCACAAGCGCAGCTGCTTACGAAATCTGGGAACGGCCCGTGCATCTCCTCACTTTCGAGCCTACCGTCGCGATAAACACGACCCGCGTAGAAAACGTGGTCGTCGACACTGAGAGTTGTTCCTTTCCATTTCTATTGTTGTGTCTGTCTTTTTTTTTCTTTCAGGATATCGCTGGTGCACTCTTGGGCCGTCCCGGCCCTCTCACTCAACCTGATTCCTCTTTATCACCGACAACGCCGTACGCGACGCCGTGCTCTCCTTGCGAGAGAACTACATGAAAGACTTGCGCCCAGCACGTGATGAGCCCGCCCCCCTCCCCCTACGGCAGAGCGGCTGGATAGCGGCCGCTATCTCGCGACATTCTTCGATCTCTGATCGCACAGAAGGGCGAGGAAGCATCACGGACTGCCCCTCCTCCTCCTCCTCTTCTTCTTCTTCTTCCTCTTCTTCTTCGCCTTCTCACTGAGACCTGCGCTTGTCGGCCTCAGCAAGCAGAATCTCATTCACTTCCCGTGCGTCAGCATCCTACCAACGCGGCGAGGAAGCGCCGTTTCATGGATGTGCAGGGCCTGTCGCATCCATGGCGTTGTGACGTCGCTGGCAACGAAATCTCCGAGGATATCCCACTAGAGCCGAGTTCTCGCTTTCCGCCCAATCAGTGATCAAAGCTGCTGCAGCGGAGACAGCTCCAACCTCCAATAGTCAGACAACTGATCGAGTCTACCAAGAGTAACCTATTCCGCTTTCTTCCTCTCTTCCTCTCTTCCTCTCCTACGCATCATTCACTCACTTGCGAGCCACTGGGATATCATGTAGCTCTCGGCGCCCTGCGCTAAACCATCGTACACCAGCTCCCTTCTTGTTTGTCGCTGCGTCTTCACGGAGGGATACGGCAGGTTCCATGCCCTTTCCTGGAACAAAGTCTTTCCGGTCGTGTTCGGCAGACCGAATAGCGTATTCGGGAGCGGTATACCTTAGTGCTGTACATACCTAATCATGTAGCCATTTCCTCGCAATATTTGTATCTTGCCCCACCGTGCACCGCACGTCTAGTTGTGCTTACCTATTGGAGGTACTTGTCTGGCCGAGAGATCTTTTTATTCCATTACAGTATGTGCCTCGCAAGCGCCGGGTCCAGCATAGGAGGGTAGGAGGCTACGGTACCTTGGAAACTTTGGTCCTCATACTGGAGACCATTCCGAATTGCTAAGCCACGCTCACGCCATCTTTGCAGCCCTTTCTCTTGTCAGACCACAGAGCAAGCATCTCCATGTGATACGACCATCAAGTACATGTATTACCGCCCTCTGACTCCTAGTCATTCTTTCGAGTCACTACAACTATTCCACGGAATCCGCGCGACGCACTCTGTGGTTACTGTTGCTGCGGGAGGGCTCGTCCAGGAAATACCTGTAATTCTTCACGGTTTGCTGTGCAGCTGAGATTCGATGCATCGCAGTCGCGGGTGAGGAGCCTCTGGCGAAGAGTAAGGTAGTCACTGTCGGCTAGATTTCTCAGGTACCTAGGTAGGTACCTGAAGTGTAGAGATGGCTACATATAAGGACCATGTGCAAGGCGAACTATTTCCCTGGGAGAGTAAGGTACATAGTATAAGTAAGGTAAGGTACAGTCGGGGACTCTCCAGAGGTATATATAATATATATATCACGTATACAATCGACCCAATATTCGAATTGTCCCCCACTAGTACAACTTTTTTTTTCATTCGACCAATTCGACCGGCTGATTCCCATTTTCTTTCCGAGTCGACGTCTGTCGTTTATAGACCAAGAGACCCTCATATGTTGGACTTGGAATGACTTCAATTGGCAGGAGGCCTTACCTAGCGCCAGCCCTATACCAGGCGACTTTGAGTTTCAACAGGTAAGAGGAAATTTTTTCTCCGTAAGAAGGGGTTGTGACTGTGGTTGTGGTTATGTTTGAGGGGCTTTATCTGATAGGTAAGGACATGGTGTAGTTAGACAGACAAAAGGTTAGGACCGAAGGTACATACCTAGGCTGCATCAGGTATGGAAGGAGATGAGGAGATGGGATTTGCACTAGATACCTACATACCTGGTATAGACAGATTCAAGACGATGTCGGGACGGAGCAATGTCATTGTTGGGGAGAAAGTGAAGAGATGGAAGGAATGGTGGCGAGGCTAGTAGAAACGACAATAAGGTACCTTACGTTTTCTTTCTACGTATGCTACTGTCTGTGTGAGCCTGACAAGCACGGAAGTAGATCACTTGTCTCGTGATGGCTTTCCGCATTACCAATATCTCCCGTTCTGCACTTCGCACTGCTCTGACTGGCGCTTTCTTCTTCGACACTCTCTGCAGATCTTGTACATTATTTTACGAAAACTCAAGCCGCCATACCTCAAGCCGCATGTAGAAGGTGGCTGTATTTGCTTTCGCCTGAAGCATCCCCTGCAGAGCAGAAAAGCTTGGCACTAGCTTCTGCTCCTGGTCTGGTGACATACTGTTCAGGCTCCCTGTCGGTTGTGGTGAAACCATAGTACGAGTCGAGCCCATGTACATGTAAGCAGGCTGAGAGAGCAGAAAGGCCGCCTGTGACGCTGTATGGAGTCTCGGAAGAGAAGGGGGAAGAGGGCTTTCCACGAAGTTTCCCAGAGAAAGCCAGCCGAAGATGGGACCCGATGATGGTGCACTCGTAGAGCCAAACGATCTCACAGTGTACTCTCTGGGTCCTCTGCAGTCTGTCGTACGTTTGGAGCTGTCGGAAGGTAGCTCGCCAGCATCGAGCTGTGTGCTGAAAGTTCAGAGGCTCCGTTCGTGCGAACGTGGATATCGCGACCAACAGCCAACGGACGATGGCCAGCGTTGTCCATGTTTTGCTTGTATAATCTGTACTGTAGCGATGCAGTGTTTGAGGATACGTGACCACCCACCTAGGATGGTTTCTGGTTGCGGGCGAGCCAGAGGCCCACGCTCTCCCTTGCCAGTTCGGTTCCCCAAACGCCGTCTTTGCCACCACGTCGAAACTCCTCGTTGGTTGCATCCTCTCCGCCGCCGCGTGTGGCTTCAGCGAGAATCACCTCAAGATCGCGTTGCTGAGAGCTAATCCATCGCTTGACAAACGTTGTTGGATCCTTTGAAAGACTGTTGTAGAACTTGCGCTTAGCATTGGTCTGGTGAATCTTCTGGACCAGTAACGCAAGGTCATCATCGATCTTTACAATGGTTTGCAGGTCATTGAGATGAGTCTTGGATGTGTGGAATCGCGTCAACTGGTGACTGAGTGGGTTTGGCAGCGGCACGCGAATGTCATACACCGTTGGTTGGCTTGGTTTCAGGTCGGCCCTCGCCTCCTCCTCTTCATCGTTGAGGAAAGCAGAAGGCGAATCGGGATTCTTGGTCCCACTGATGTATGCTTTATCGACCCGGATGGTATATTTCAATTGGATTGGCGGGAGTGGGCTCATGTGGTGCAGAAGTAAATCCGGCACGTATGGAAAGTAAACAGTCTCTTGCTTAAAGATCTGGAATGCATCAGTAATTGTCAGAGCATACGGATTCGCGTACTTGCCTTCTGCAGCGCCGCATCGCAGATGATCTTCCTCTTGTCATCATCTTCCTGAAGCCCCATGGCGCGGCAGTACTCCCAGATGCCCTGCACCGCACCAGCGCGATCCTCTTCATCCGTATCCAGGATCTCGGCAAGCTCGGGACTCAGCCTATATCGCTCGCTTTTCTCGTCTCTCGTCAGGTTGATCGTGATGTTGATGTTCTCGTCGGCCTTGCGTGTGAACTCAAGCTGATCAAAATTGTTTTCGGGATCTTTCGGATCCAGCATTTGACCAGGAGCGACCTGCTTCTTGCGCCATTCAATCTGGCTGTATCCATCTGGATTTAAGCTCGGGTTGCGGTCAAAGTCGATAGTGATGGCTTTGAAGAAGGTGCTCAGCCGAGGGCGATGTCCTGCTGGCGCCTTGTCCGCTTCATCCTCGTCGGGATCTTCCTTCAGTCGACCTTCAATCTTGACCTTGAAGGTAGCCTGATTCTCTCCCAGCTCGAACATGCCATCCTCGTTGGCATTGCCCTCTTCTACTACCTGCCATGGCTGTCCTTCTGCTGTGTTCGAGATCCATACGCGTAGTGTGCCTTCGCGCCGAGTCCAGCGCCTCTGCAGGTTGTCGCTAATATCCAGCCGCTTTCGCATCATGATCGCGTCCAGTCTCTTTTCCGCATCGCGCAGCTTCTTGTAGCGTTCCACGCCATCGCCCACCACTGCCTCACTGACCTCGTCGGGGATCTCGCGGTCCGTGGGCTTCTTCACCTGCCTCCGCGCAAGATCTTGGCGGCGCAGTGCTTCGAGATGCTGCTGCTGAATCTGCGCGGCACTCAGCTGCTGCTGTTGCTGCTGCTGCGCGTGCGCTTGCGGGGGCGCGACCATAGGACCTGCGTTGCGCCACGTGCGCTCTAGGTCAGCAAAGCTGATCTTCCGTCGGTGTGTGCGCGCATGGTCCATGGCGAAGACCTGGATGTGTTGCGCGCGCAAAGGTGCAAGGCTCGGGGCTCACCAGGTCCTCGTCGCGCTTGCTGCGGACTGCGATTGTAATTCCGGTAGTTTGCTTGCATGTTGCCGATCGCCAAGACGAAACTCTGGCTTCGAGGAGGGAGCCTCACGAATGGATACCGCTGCGGCTGCGGCTGATGATGGCACCGACGGGGTTTGGTGTTGGGAAAGGCAGAAAGGCAAGTCGGGGAGAGAGGTGAGGTCGGTGAGGTCGGTGAGGTTGGTGAGAGAGGTGGAGGTTGTGATTGAGTGTTTGACGCGCGCGGTCAAAAGAAAGCGGAGCAAGGAGGACGCGCGAGGTCAGACCGTGCATGGGGGACTAGGACGAGGAAGATTGCTGCACGTGTCAATGGACCTCCGAGGGGCGGGGGGTAAACTTGCCATCTTCTTCAAAAAGGGGACATATATTACCTCCTAACTCCTACCTCCTAGTTCTACCTGCGATGTTTATTATTGCCATTTTTTGTCCGTCTGCTTGCTTTTATACATCTATTAAAAACACTACTTGGTATATCCCGCAATGAATGTTGATGTTGGCGGGCGAGCGAGGCAGCGTTGAAAGCAACCTGGAAGCTGGAAGCACTCCCATACGCCATACATAGGTACTCCCCGCCGTGTGCTGGAGGAAGACGATCACATGCAAGGCTTGGCTGCATACCACCTCACCTCCCATCTGTATGGCCATCATGTGAACGTTCATCGATCAGCTCCCCTCCCCTGTCCCTGAAATCTCTCCTCTGTGAATACCTTGCCACCCTGACAAGTCTATGACAATACCACCCCTGAACTGTTCCGTCTACAGCTGTCCTAGTACATACAACACTCAACATGGACAGCGATTCTCTTCGAGAGCATAGCATGGGCCTGGATGTCCAACTGGGGAATAACCAGACCGTACGCAGTGAAGGCGACAAAGTCCAGACCTCTGAAGATCCGGGTCGTTCTGCAGTGCCAATCGCTCAGAATTTGCCGAGTGGTGGAGCATGTGGATCTGCCCAAGATTGTGGCCAGGAGTTGCATACCGAGATACTTAGCAACGTGTCCCTGCCTGGAACAGAGGCTGGCAGTCGATGGGATGTCCATATTTCCGATGGATATATACACAAGATCGACCGTCACGAGGACCAGCCGTCGAGACTGGACTCAATCGACCGGCATGGCGCGTTGCTTGCTCCGTCGCTATGCCATCCGCACATACACATCGACAAGGCATACCTGCTGGCACACCCCAAGTATGCACATTTGCAGATAGACAAGGGCGATTTCCAAGAGGCCATGGAGCTTACTGGAAAAGCCAAGGCACAATTTGGACACGACGATCTGCTAGAACGAGGACAAAGGCTTGTTGATGAGAGCGTCGCTGCTGGAGTCACTCACATGCGTGCGTTTGTCGAGGTTGATGCTGGAGTGCAGTCGAAGTGTCTGGAAGCCGGTCTTCAGCTGCAGAGCCGGGCTGCTGCAGTTGAAAGCTGCGAGATCCAGTTGTGTGCATTTGCTCAATTGCCGCTTTTCTCGTCCTCCGAGGGCGATGAAGATGGCACCGCCATTCGTGGGCTCATGCAGACTGCAGCTTCAACGAGCGGAGTGGCTGCTATTGGGAGCACGCCGTATGTTGAGTCTGACCGAGAAAAGATGAAGCGTAATGTGGACTGGATGATAGCGCTCAGCATCGAGCATAATCTTCACCTCGATTTCCATTTGGATTACAACTTGGATCCCGCTACTGAACCACTGGTATGGTATGTGATACAATCACTTGTGGAAGCGCGCTGGACGGATCGCACGAGCAAGCGCACAATCGTGCTGGGCCATTGCAGCCGACTCACCTTGTTCAGTTCCGAGATGTGGGCCAAGCTGGCAGCAGAGATCAAGACTGCGCTGTTGCCGTTGTCTTTCGTGGGGTTGCCAACGAGCGATCTGTTTATGATGCGCACAGGAGAGCGACCTGAAGTCCGTGGCACGCTTAGCGTGCCAGACCTCATCAAGGAGCAGAGTCTCAATGCTTGTATTGGTGTCAACAATATCGGCAACGCCTTTACGCCTCATGGCTCTTGCGATCCGTTGAGCTTAGCTTGTCAGGGAGTGGCCTTGTACCAAGCAGGAACGAAACAAGATACCGAGATTCTGTATGAGTGTGTCAGTACCAGAGCCAGAGCAGCGATTGGATTTGGAACACAAGAGAATGTTGGCCTCGCTGTAACCCCTGGGGCACGGGCAGATCTGGTGTTGTTCAGCGCAGAAAGAAACAATTGGCATGCGAGGAGGAGCATATCTGAGGCAGTGTATCTATATGATCATTGTCAGCATCGGAGAGTGTTCACGCGCGGTAGGCTGATCGAGCCGCATTAACTCGGATTGGAAGACTCGAGACCAAAGTGAATGACAGCACGGCAGCCTCCCGCTACCGGCATAAAAGTTTCCCGCCAAGGAGAATAACAAGAACACACGGTTGTCATCGAACGCGTCCAAATCCCCCACCAACTCCTCGACAACGACTTTTTCTCCGCACACACAAATTCGCACTTCGAATAAGAATCTTTTTTTGATCCCGACCATCCAAAAGAAGAAGAGACAGACACAATGTCCTTCACCATCGAGTACGACGAGTAAGTTCTCGAATCGCCCGGCTCTCCTTTCGCGCAAGAACCTGACTCCTTTGCAGAAACGGCGTGCCGGTCGGCGGCCAGCTCCCACCCACCTACCCACTCCCATCATACGTGCCACCGCGAAGCTCGTCAGATCAGCACACGTACCCTTTCGTCTCGAGCGGCAGCGGCAGCTTCGCACCATTCGACATCCCCCCAGATAGCCCTATATATTTGATGGGTCCTCCTCCGTACCCGGAGATGGAGACGGCGCCCCTTGAAGCAGAGCGACAGCCACAAGCTGGCTCACAGTATGGCTTCGACCATGCCACCCAGTTCCGCGGCCATGAGCTGCCGCAAGATGTGCGCGGCTCCGAGATGGATCGTCAATTCGCCTTGCCGATGGAGGCGAGTGCACCGGTGGATGAGGCTGCCAGCAGCCCTCAAGCCAGCAAGAGCAGGAAGAAGAGCGGTCCTCGGGTCCGTCGGTGCGCTCGGTGCATCCAGAGGCACAAGAAGTGCAGCCATGGTCAAGCAACAGCCGCCGCCGCCAGCGAGCCTGCAGAGGACCAGAAGGCCAATTTTCAGGCCAGTATTGACGATGAGCAAAGTTCTGGTCCGTCTCGCAACCTGGAGATCCCGACTGCCAGTTCTGGCACCACGGCCACGAAGCCAATGCCGCAGAAGCGTGCGGGCAAGATAGCACTCTTGAAGGCCGCCGAAAATGGAGATACAGAGTCCTCCGATTCTGTCTCTACGGTAGCTGAGCGCTACGCTGCCCAGGGCAGGACCATTGTCAAGGCAGGCCCGGACCCGGATAGAATGTGAAGCGACCGCTCTCTCTAATATCGGACGGGGTTTCCAATCGCTGGTGCTTCTCAAGTGTGCTGCAAAATAACAAATTTGCCGAAAGAATTGTAATTCTGTTCACTTATGAGCAGTTACGCCTCAAGCGCTTGGTTGTCTTACCTTAGGTACATAGAGCTACGACCAGTACTCACAGAAAATTCCCAAATTCCCAAAAGCAAAAATATGTGCAGGACTCGGGTTCTCATCGAGTCTAGTTCTGACTACTCGACCTAGTTGCTATATAAGTGTAGCTCTATGACCTTCATGTGAGCCCGATTGTCTCCCTGTCTTACCTTATAGAAGGTTTTCAGGTGAGGTCCCTAACAAACAAGTTTCGGGCCCGAAATCCCAAACAAATCCTTGTACCATAAGGTGGAGCTCTCTCAGCGCTTCACCACACCTCTCACACATCTCTCTCATATAAACCCGTCCATCCACCACTCTCTCCTAAACACTTTCCTTTTCCCAATCACCACCATCACAACCACCACCACCACCTATCATGTCCACCCCTTCCTCCCCCCTCACCATCGACCTCCTCGCCCGCGTCCTCAGCAACAGCATTTTCCACCCTTTCATCGCCTGGCTCATCCCCCTCTGCCTCCGCTCCCTCCAAGCACCATACCACAGTTTCGAATTCCGCGCGACAAGCTTCTACGCGAGTATCGTCACGCTGTGTTGGATTTTGTCTATCCTCAACAACCGCATCGCGCATGGCAGGCCGCGCGTCGTGGATTGGGATGAGGAGGTCGTGGTGATTACCGGGGGAGCGAATGGATTGGGGAGAGTGATTGCTGAGACGTATGGGATGAGGGGGGCGAGGGTGGCGGTTTTGGATGTTGATGGGCCGGATCAGATGGAGGGGGAGGAGGGAGAAGAAGGGTTGGCGGGGGTGAAGTTTTATCGATGTGATATTGGGAATGCGGAAGAGGTTGTGGATGTGGCGGGGAGGATTCAGAGGGATGTATGTTTTTAATTTTTCTTCTTTTTCTTCTTTTTCTTCTTCCAATGTGGATCTCGCATATATTTCTTATTTCTTATTTTTATTTTCATCATTACAATTATACCTATATATATAACTGATTCCATATCCATCTCTAGCTCGGCACACCCACCATCCTCATCAACAACGCCGGCATCGTCAACGGCAAACGCATCTGGGAACTCAGCGCGCAAGAAGTGCAACGCAACATGAACGTCAACCTCCTCGCCCACTTCCACACCATCCGCACCTTTCTCCCAGGAATGCTCACCACCTCCCAAAACGGCGGAACAATCGTCACCATCGCCTCCGTCCTCGGCAAACTCGGCGCGAGCCATCTCTCCGACTACTGCGCCGCCAAAGCCGGTCTCATTGCCATGCACACCTCTCTCCGATCCGAACTCGCATCATCATCATCATTGCCATCCTCCTCCACCACCACCAGCAGCAAAACCCTCCGCCACCACCCCCAAAAAATCCGCACCATCCTCGTCACTCCAGGACAACTCTCCACACGCCTCTTCTCCACCCTGCAAACGCCCTCGAATTTCTTCGGACCCGTCGTCGAAACAGTAGAATTAGCTCGAGAGATTATTTCCAAAATTGACGCGGGCGAAAGTGGAGAGATAAGTTTTCCGTTTTATGCAAGGTGGATTGAATGGAATTGTATCTTGCCGAGGGGCGTGCAGGAGTGGATGAGGGTGGTGAGTGGGATTGATCGAGCGATGGGGTTGGCGAGGGAGAAGGAGGGGAAGGGGGAGTGACTTGCTTTATTCTATCTTATAAGTTGTGCTTGCTGGCAGGCCTGGCGGTGGTAGAGTCCGTCGTCGAGTATTGGTGGGAATATGTTGTTACGATACTCTGTTTGGAGAACATATGTAACATCTTAATGTGATATCTTAGTCAATACATAGGTATATGTAGCATCTCATCTGCTGTTGTCTTGAAATATGGGCGCAAGCAGCGTGACTTGAAATGAAGAAACGGAACAACACATGGAAATGCGTGCACGCTTGCTCACGAGGAACGACCATTACATATTTGATACAGTATGTGTACAGCCCACGTCGGTTCCATTCTCATTACAACTCCACACTCCACCTTCGAATGCCGTTGAGCACTCCCACGCCCTTGAGGACGTGCATCGCCCCCGCAGCACCATCCTTTTCTTTGCCACCTCCATTCGCAGCCAAGATTGCAAAGCGAAGAAAGACTTCGGTGCACGTCACCAGAATGGACAATATGATGAGCACAATGATGATCCACGTGATTCTGGTCATCTTCACATCGGCAATGCTGTCTGATAAAATTTCCGCCAAGTCCAAGAAGACTCGGCATCGTTCGTTGAGAACCTGGATTCGAGGTTTGATTTCCAGGTATTCACGGACGGCGGCGTAGAGAGGATGCAAAGTCGGTTCCGCGTCCCAGAAGAAGTTAGGCGTGTCGAGCATATTCGATGCTGTTTACGAGGTCAGTGTGGTCAGAGCGACTGTGGAGAGGAAAAGGCTTACAAAGATTGACATCAACTCTTCCTTCGAACAACTTTCCCACGAGACTGACAATCTCTTTTCGGTCCATGCCTAATCGTCCTTCCAGAGCGAGGCGGCGTGGAACATACTGTGCCGATTCCATGGTGCGCTGCATGCGCTCTTCGAAAAATGAAAGTTTGGTCGATTGCCCGATGCCGTGAGACATTGCGAGCTTGATCATATGATCACTCGTGCGAAGAGTGATCATGTCGTTGTATATTCGTGGCTTGTCAGCTTCCCGATCGTACTGGAAGTGGAACTCTTCAGTCTCGAAATCGCTCTCATCCAGAGGTCGTGTCATTAGAGGTAGTGCAGAAGGAGGTGCGAGGGCTGCACTCTTGGCAGATATTTGCTGAGGAATGCTATGCCGCGCGGATGATGGCATGGCCGCTACGGTCGAAAAGGTCAAATCCGCAAGCAAGTCTCGTTCCTGGTTTTGGGTAAAGTTCCATAGCACTGCGACACCATAGCTGAAGATGAAAAGCTCGGCTACGGTATGTGCGTTTGGATTGATGCCAGAATGTGGCGATGGGAAGCTGAAAGCAGAGTTCGAATCGCTGGACTCTCTGCGTCCCGCTTCACGCTCCTGCTCCCAGCCACCGTCTTCTTCACGTGTGCCATTCTGTTGCTTATCATGGTTTGCCATGTGCATTTCCTCGTCTGGTGGCGAGTTGGCATGGTATGGAGAGCTGCTGCCCCGTACGGAGTACTCCTCACTCTCCTCACCCCATCCTTCCCGATACTGACGCCTCTCGTTGGCCTCGATCTGCTCATCCAGCACACTTCTGCCGCCAGGGTGCTTGACTACCGGACTGCTCCTGACGCGATAGCCATCACTCCCGCCCAGGAGGGGCAGTTGGTATACACAATACAGACAGTCGTCGTATAGCTTCGTCTTGGCTGCATGCTGGTCTCGGACAAACATGGCGGTACTCTTCAGCTTGAAGCTTTGCGCCGTACAGTATGCCGTCACGCGAGCCAGCTGCGGGTCCGCAATTCTCTGCGACTTGGGAAGACGTTCTGCTTCACTCTTTCCCCCTCGAGCAGCCTGTCTCCTCCGCCGTAGCTCGTCGTCCTTTGGCGGCGCGCTGTCATCCTCTTCGCTAAAATGTTCGTCCTGGTCTTCTTCTGTTGTTTCCGGTAACAGCACCAGCTTCTCACTCGTTTTGCTGCTTCGCGCGGGAATATGCGCGCCGCTCAAGGGGATGCCCTTTCCACTCAGCTTCGGGTCGAGGGGATGTCGTCCTGAAGGGGTTCGCGCATGGTGTGCGGGACGCTGTCCGGGCGGTAATCGTCGTTGTGCGGAGGGAATCTCGGAAGCATACTGCAGCACGTTGTCGACGGAGATGATGCGCGTTCCTGTTCGCTGCGGCTGCGGTCGCGGTTGCGGGCGATTATTGTCGGCGCGTTCGCGTGAGTCGGTGACCTTGAGGCCGGTTAGCTGGAGTGCCATGTTGGCCTCTCGTCCTCCTCGTTCTGTTCTCCTGGGAATGAAGCAGCACAAGGGAAGGGAAGATCACATACGAGAACTGACGGGCCTCGTTTGTTGGGTGGGCCAGCTCCCCGTGGACCTGCTATCGACATGCTTTTGCTCGATATCGACCAGGATTCACGACAGCGGACAGCGGACAGGGATGAAAGTGAGACAGTCGTCGACTTCACTTCGATTCGCAGGACAACAAGTAAGGTATGTATGGAGGGAAAGGGGAAGTGCTCGGTTGCTCGTCGTCAAGAAGGGGATGTTGTTGTCCGTCAATGTCTCGTCCCAGATTGAGGTGTCGTTGCTGCTTCCACGTGCCGAAGCTTGCCAGTTGCCAGCTTGAACTCCTCCGACGACGTCACGCACGAAACCAACTTACATGTACATGAGGTACCTTAGATGTGTTTCTACAAATACATGGAGGTATCTCCTCTCTCACAGAAAAGAAAAGCTTAAATTTATTCACTAGCTACAATATGTATACCAAGGGCTTGGTAAACAGCAGACGAAGAAAAAAACGAGCCAGGGATGCCCGGAAAACACTATTTTCGTCGTCACAAGTGTGGCATACCGGCCAGAGAAGGAATCTTCGGAGACAAACAAAGAAAAAGAAAAAAAATAAAATAAAATAAAATAAGAAAGGTCCTAGAACGTGGGTTTGGTACGATGGATGGTGAATAACGTAGTGAATTTGCACTGTGTAGAACAAACATTACACACGGGAACAGTTGTCGGCTGTGGTTGTGGTTGTTGCATCGCTACCATTATGCTATTTAAGGATTGCATCATACCAGGTATTTTGGCGAAAGCAAACATGAAAAGAAGTATCAGAGCACCAGACCATCCCAAAGCTCTCTCAGCGAATCCAGAGATCCTTCGGGGGACTTCTGGTCATTATCGGCTGTTTGTGTGGTCGTCTTTTCAATAATCTCCTTCGCCTTGGCCTCATCAGCTCGCTCCTGTTCTCCGTCTTCTTTTTCTTTTTCTTTTTCTTCATCTTCATCCTCTTCCCTTGTCGATTCGTCCTCTACCGCCGTCTTCTCGTCCTTGTGCTGTAGTCGTTCTTCTTCCAATCCCCTCCAAAACTCCTCAATCTGCCTCTCATAATTCGTCTCCGAAAGGGGCATTTCCCATCTCGTGCGATTCGCCTCGAGCTTGTCAATCCAATCACTAATAGCTTTACTCTTATCCCCAACCCCAGCGAAATGTACAAGCAACTGTCCCGGTCGATGATCAAAGTGCACATCGCCTTCATCACCATCACCGGGATACGAGTTGAACCACTGAGGGGGGCATTGTACAGCCCCTGCTTTGTATTTATCCATTTGCATGACGTTTTCCATGGCGGATTGTTCTGTAAACGGTAGATCGTCTTCGGGTCGGAATGTGCGGTATGCTAACACCGAAGACAACAATTCGAGACTCCATGTGGACACTCGGAGCATGAACACGCCGTTGTTCAGACCATTCCAATCTTTCGTGTAGAGGAGGTGGACGTCGCTGCGTTCTTCAGGCGGCAGGAATGTTTCGAGTGGGATGAGCTTGTTCATGATGACTGTGTCGGCATCGAACCAGACGAGCCATTCGAGTTGCTCTGGCTTTGGCTTGGAAAGTTCTTGGAGGAGGAGTTCCAAGAGTAAAGACTCCTTCGACCAAAGGCCATCGAGAATAGGATGATCCAGTAGATATGTTGGGTACTTGTGGTAGTCGCCATGGCTGATGTGTGTGCTCAAAGCACGTTGATACCCTTCCTTGTGCTCCCCGTGAGCAACAGTGCAAGTTGCTATTCGTGGCTTCGTGACTCCAAGTCGTATGATGGATTTCCAGGATGCCCCGGACGTATGGCCGATCCCTAGGTCGGTAAAGGCTGCTGCATTCGAGTATCTTCCAATCGTTTCGAGGGCTGACTTGTGAAAGCTATCGTAGGCGGTGGTAGCGTGGAAGACCACGACGGAAACAGTGATGCTGAAGATGAGTACAAAAAAGACCCGGTTGATAGGCGACATGCCTGGTGTTGGCGCTGGACGATGATATGTTACAGGTACGGGAAGCCTGTGGTAAGATGCGAACATGTTGGATGCAGCTGTATACTCACCACGTGCGTAGGCATCTTATACCAAGTCAGCGAGGACCCGCGGGTTGTGCTAAATAGGGTCCCGGTGCGGTGGTGTTTCGCAATACTCTTGCCAGACGAGTCGAGCTACTGTATGGATACCAAGCACGCTGGGCCGCCAAGATGCTTCGCGCGTCAGCTTATGAACTTACGCATCGGCCGGCCGATGTCCTCGCGACTGCTCGAGCAGAATTCTTGGCCTTGGAGATTCCTAGCAATATGATTACGGCGACTCCTGAAATATGACATGGCATCAATGGCTGTCTGTCTTCATCCTGCTGGTTGCGCCAATAAAGACGCCTCGTCGCGCATCCTTGGCGGCAGTGCTTCGAGGCTCTGCGGCATCCATGTTATTTATTATTGTTGGTTGTCGTAACCTACAGGTACCTGTGTTGGCGCAGCCAACAGATGCTGGACGTAGTCCTTGCATGTTCCTGCCCTACCATCTATACACATTTTTTCATACTTCAGGTTGTCGTCACTACACATGCTCTATTAGCGAGATCAGGGATCATCGACAGGAGAATAAACGGTAACATCTGCCGTGACCCTCTCCTCCGTGACCTGCTATCTTGACCGCCTCAGCCCTCTCTCTAAGAGGCTCACCAACTCATCGAGTGTCCCGATGGTGATATCGGTCCTGTGATCATCCTCCAACTCCTCTTTGCCCTCACTTCTGAGCAATACTGTCAAGGCCCCAGCATCGCGACCAGCGGCCATGTCATCCACAGAATCACCCACCATCACGACAGGAATCAATCTCTGATGCGGTGGTGTGTTTGGAACTTCTATTGTATCGACGATTCCCCAAGCTTTTGCGATATGCAAGATTCCCGCAGGACTCGGCTTCGATGGCCGAAAGTCTCTCGTGACAACAGGTGCGAAAGGACGCAAATGGCTTGGAACGTGCTTCTCCAGTAGGTGGTTGACAGGTGCGTCAAAGTTCCTGGTGCAAATACCTTTTCGAACATCATGTTTATCCAAGAACTCCATGAGAGTGACAAGTCCAGCTTGAGGGACTTGTTTCGCCATTGCCTCACTTTCGATGGCTCTGACTTTGTCAAAGGCGTCAGTCTGCTGTGGTTCAGGCAGACCGTGGATATGATCCAGAATGTCAATGTCCTTGGTGATGCCGAGGGCGGTTCTCATCTGGCCAAACATCCAGTTCTGTGGCTCGCCTTTGTGCCGCATTCAATCAGCGTCGGGCATGCGTTGGCGAACAAGTCTCTGCGATGGACTCACACAGTGTGCCATCCATGTCGAAGACTACGCCTTGGAGGCGCATCAGACCAGTGTCGCTGCCGCTACTGGATGTACCCAGTGGCGCGAAGTGGTGGCGTTCAGCACTCATTTCTGTGGCGAAAAAGCGGCGATGTGGTGGTTGTGATTCTGTATACCTGTAGATAGTCCGGGTCTCACAGACATGCCTGGCGGATCGCGCCGATGTTGTTACCGAACCGCGCGCCAATAATGTAAACATGAGAGATGAGGAGATGAACTTTTGAAGATGGGTACAATCCAATAGTGATGCCCAGACTTCACAGGGTGGAAAGGACAAGGATGTATATTTATCTTACATTTACACTAAGAAAGTTTACACGAGAAATTCGAGAATTATACCACTTTATACGAGTTTCACAGCCACGCCACGTAGGTCAGTGGAGACTGGAGACTGTGGAGGCTGACATTCATGTTCGGCTCACCATCCGAGTCATCTCTCACATCAATTCCGCCTCATGCCGCCCGCACGTCTGCCCCAAGTTTCGTTCCAAGACAAGAAAGATGTGGACTACATAGATAGCATGCACCCTTTCAGTGAGAATTGAACAGGTTTCATATGAGGTTCTCCGTCAAGACATTTGCCCATACAAGTGGACGGCGGCATTCGCCTCGTTCGCGATACTAGTGCCCTCTACCGATGTGGTAATGGTATCTCAAAGGAGCGCAAGGTCGCTAAAGCGCCAGACAGATGTTCTGACATATGAGTACAAGTCCGCTGTGGTGTGATCCTTGATCAATTTTCCCATCCCAAAACGCCGTGTGCCGGAAGCACTCCTGCTGCACCTCGCCCGGTTCTGCTATCTGTCTCCTTCTGATGACCCGGGAGGTGAATTGAAGACCGCGAGGCGCATGCGATGGAACTAGAAACCACATCAGGTTGTGTCGAAATTCTCGCACCGGGGGAAGAGTACTCACCGCTGGTAGCTTCGGTACCACCACCGCTAACGTCGCGAGAAAGTTGATCATAAAGTATGCCAGGTCGTAATGCGTGTAATGTGTGCTGATCAGGAACAGTCCGATCGGCATCGCCAGTAAAAACTTCTTTGCGGGCGTGTATTGGTCTTCGTTGTCGATTTGTTCCCACATGTTCAGATTATCATAGGCTCCAGCGTTGAACTCGAAAGGGATGCCTCGCACATAGTGGAACATGAGGTATGATCCAGCCATGTATGTGATGTTGACCATAGTCCACGACGTTTCTTGGGTGATGGACGGCACGATATCGTAGACAATCTTCAACAGGAGGATGAGAATGATGTGAATCATCCATGCGCCTGCAGCAAGACATAGTGTCAGCTCACACTCACATGCACCCGTATTGCCTCTTTTTGGTAAATCTGGCCTACTCCTCCTCCGGACTTCTGTTGCTTTTCTTGAGAGCGGAAAAAGCTGGACTCACCCTTCGCATTCACCCACTGAGCGTTCAGGTTGGGCAGCACGGCCTGATCTGACTGTTGCTCGAGACTCTCCGGAGGCTCATGATACATCAAACTGCTACTTCTCCGCCGCCTCTGTTGATCCTTGTCCTTACTACTGGTGTTCATCCTGCGCTCGGCGGTCTGCACGCACGGTGGCGGGGCTGTGTTGACTCCCTCCGCGAAGGTGATGCCGCCCCGCGACTGGAGTAATGTGGAAGACAGTTTGGCGGCGGTGTCGGAAGACCGGTTGCGATGTGGTAAGAATAGGAGCGGCGCCAGAATGGCGGTATGGAGGCCTCGGTGGCTGTGGGAGGGGAGCGTGCGGTAGCAAGGCAGTGCGAAGATGGCGGTGGTGAGAGCTGCGGGCAGACGTATCGGCAAAGGAAGTGCTTTGTTGGTGTTTGTGTTTGTGTCGTGGAGAGAGTTGAGAGCAGCGGGCGGGCAAGGAATGGTTAAGGTGTGTCTGGCTAAGGTAGGTTGGGAGGCACTTTGTAAGGTACCGTAAGGTAAGGTACTTGGCGTGGCGTGGATTCCAGACCCGTCGGCAGGCACGGTCTTCACTAGGTACTCTCGGTACAAGATTCAGCACCGGAGCACGAGAAGGGCAGGTGACCGTGGGAGTGGTGATGGATGGGGTGGGGAACAAAGACAAGAGACAGAGAGTGCAGGGGAGTTTGGGAGGAGGCTTCACTGGAGCGGGCGGGCGCTGCGGTGGTCCGAAGTGAATGCAATGGCAACGTACGACGTTGTCCGTGTGAGGTGGCAGTTGAGATACTGGATACACAATAATGACATGTAATAAACGGTCTATTATCGCGGGCATCGTCACAACTGGAAGTTGAGCGACCTAGTACATAACTAGAACGACCTAGTACCTCCTACCTCCTACCAAGACTGGAACTAGGAGACCGCCAGGGTCCAGTCCACACTCTCACATGGACTCTCTCCTACTTGTGCTGGCTGAAAAGCCTGCCCGTTCCTCGCTGACTACCTAGCAAAAATACCTACCCACCTGGTACCTCAGGCTACCTGTACCTACTCTTACTCTATACCACGCCGTACTACTGCCCATTGAACCGAACATCGCCCACTACACCACTGTCGGACTACTACTAGTGGTCCGGATGCAGTTCCCGCGTCCAGAGGAGACCGCGCGCGTCTGCTGACATGACAGCTCATCCGCCACCGCCAGGCTGCAATAATGTTAATAGGTCCTCCTGGAACTGGGCTCACCTGTGCTCATCACCATCTCATCGGCATCATCGTCATCAATATCATCATCATCGTCATCTCGGACTCCGTGACATGATCAGTTTCTCGACAACAATCCATCAGCTTTGCGTGCGGCCTGCTCTGCACTCGTGTAGCGCGCGCACCCTTCGAACTAATTATTATACTTGATAGCTCCCGCTGACCGGGAACCTGAAACAAAGGGTCTGTCTTCACTCTCGTGTAGACGGGAACCTCTGCGCCCTGCACGTGTTCAGGCAAGATGCCTGTCGGGGACGCGAGTCCGCAGTCTGCCCTATGCCAGCACACTGTGTCCTCAGGCAGAATAATCAATAACAGATGCTACCTTACGGTACCTGATACCATACCTCCTATCAACACACAAGCGCAACGGCGAGAGCATTCGACTTCAGCATCGGCCCTCCGACGCCACATCACATGCCACGCCTGACTTTCCACTCTCTTCGGACCCAGCCGGGCATGGCATACCTACCTCGAGAGCACGGAAGTACGAGCTGCGCCTGCCATTGCACTTGAGAGCGCTTTCCATTGCAACTACGAGCGCCTTCCCGACATGTGTACGCGTGGCCAGATCAGTTGGCATTCCTGTTTGGCATACATGTACCAGCATTGAATACTGGTACATGTATACATCACCATCACCATCATCATTCTCCGCCGCTACATGCCTCGGCCACCGCAATGATATCAGCAGGATCGAGTACTACAGGTAACAAGGAATAATAGGAAGAAGAACATGCTATAGCTCTTTGAGCGCCACACTGACGCCTCCGCCTACCGACCATCTATCTATCGCATATTGCTACTATACCTAGAGTCATAGTGTGCAGTCTAATACATGCCAAGCTAATCAGGAACGACAGTGTCGATGCAGGAACGGCTGTAAGTCCAGCTCTTTTCATTATGGGTATCATATCAAAAATGCTTCGGCAATAAGCCAAAAATCACCACCAACGCCCGAGAGCCGCTCGAACGTCTCAAGATGAACACAGACGGCAAGATGGAAGAATAAGCGGATGGAAACACGCCTATGCCGCCTTCACTTGCCAATGTCGAGCTGTCTCCATCGTGGGCATGCGACTCGCGGTAAAATCATCTGCTGGCCAACCTTGGCTTGTCGTGCCGCCCTCAACCACATCTCCAGCCATGATGAGAGTATGCTCAAGTAAGCACGAATCCTCTTCCATTCTGGCACCAGATAGGAGACGCGATCCGCTGCGCAGCACAGACCTCGCGCCAATGGACAGCGGATTGAGGTCGAATCTGCCTCGCGTATTGATATGGCCAACGACAGAACAGTCGTCAAGAGCGACGCGGTCGCCAAGGGTAATCAAGTCTGGTTCAGTGAACATCAGAGATGGTAGACCACCGGCGAACAGAGCGCAGTCCTTGCCAATATCTGCACCCAGAGCGCGGAAATACATTGTGATCCACTGAGTACCAGTCAGAAGACCGAGGATGCCCTGGCTGCCGTAGCAGTGTCTCCGGAAAGTCTCGAGCTTCAGGAAGAGTTGCCAACGCTGGCAGTACGAAGACTTGTCCCAGTCGTAATTTCCAGGCTTCCTACGGCCCATGAGAATCCATTTTGCAGCGATCGTGGCAGCAATAACGATAATACTTTGCAGAGCCATGATACCCATAATGAGCGCCAGGAAGAAGACGTAAATCGCGATTGGGCGATAGGAGGTCTTGCCCAGAAAGTTTAGGGCCACGGAGTTATGCTCTTCATACAAGCGCGCAACAACCTGGACCGCAGACACTGAGCCCACATTCCAGTAAACACCGTTGATGACGCTGATGGCAGTGGAGTACAAGTAGATCTCGAACTGGCTCCAGACCCGATACGATGCCTTACCCTCGTAAAATGCCCGTCCAAAAGGTGTCGACTCTTCCTCGGAGCTGGAGGACTCTCGTCCTTGATGCTCAATAACACTTTCAGCGGAGTGCTTCGACTTGTCGGTATAGCCGTGATCGGCCTGGAAGTCTTCTTTGCTACCCTTCTCGATGACGCTGCTGCTGCTACTCGATGATCCAAGATTCATCATGTTGGTCAAGGTTGTGGTGGTAGAGTTCATACTCGACGTGTTGGAGAAGGGGCTCTGCTTGTCGTTGAAAGGAGTTTCTAGCTTCGGTGGCGTAGCAGAGGAAGCATCGGCAGTGAGGCAGATCGCTTCACCTTTCTTCGCACCGACCCATGTGGTGGCGTCGGCATATCGAGTATTGCGCTTCGTAAGCGCTCCACTTCCCATCACTGTCTGCTCTCCTAGCTCAACACCTGGAAGGAGAACAACACGATCTGCCACCATGGCACGGGCTTTGATGCGAACATAGTCACTACCGCTGCCATCCGAAGTCACTAGATGTGAGCGGGAGCCAAAGACAACATCATCACCAATGTCGAGCAGGTCGAAGTCCTGGATCGATGGACCAGTACCTGGCCAGTATACCCTGTTGCCGACCTTGGCGCCCATGGCCCTCGCAAAGTGCGAGGTCGCATTGTAATGGGTGCCGAATAGCTCAGTGAGCTTATGAAATCGAGCCGACGGCATGACCATTCGGATCCATCCCATCCTGAACTTATCAATCTGGCTACGTTCCTCGCTCGTTGGCTTCACCTTGCCGAGGCAGAGATCGAACATCTTCTTGAATGCTAAGACCGCGGCGAAGAAGAACATGGGACCAAGTGCAACGTTGGCCGCTAGGGCCAAGTAGTGGTAGCCAACCCGGTTTTTAGAAGCAAACCAGAGGATCGTCGAATGGAACATATCTGGACTCGGAGTCGGCTTCCGTTTCACAAGTGCCAGCAGACAGGCGAGCCATGGCACAGCGCCGCAGAAAGTACAGATGAAGCCAAGTGGTAGTCCCAATATGTACTCGAGCGTCCAATGGGTCCCCTTGATTCGGCTCGACGCAAGATCACGGTTAGCCTCGTCGAAGGCTTCGGTCTCCCATGATGATGAGTTTGGACCCATACAAGCTCCAGCCGGAACAGACGTGCCAGCGGCGACAATTGAGGCAAGCCCAATTGAAGCATTCGCTCCAATGTGGATCTTGCCCAAATACATCGAAGTGTTCCTCTCTGCAGCAAAAGGCCGGATAATGCTTCGCTCCAGGATGACATTGTCTTCGATCGTGATCAGATCCCACTCGCCAGCAATGACTCCCTTTTGCACCGTTACGTTCTTCCCAACCTGAGCGCCTAGCAACCGAAGATAGAGAACGCGGGACCAATTGAAGAGACCGAACACACCCATACCCGCCACCGCCGTGGTCTTTTGAACCAACCACCATCGAGTATGATACGATCCCCACATTGGATAGAGACCTTGCCTGTACTTGCCGATGACCAGCCATTTGAAACAGATAGCGACCAGAGGTGCTATGATTCGAGTGATTATGCTGCCGATTGTGATGGAAAGTACCAAGCCGAAAAGACGACCTGGAAGATATTTGCTGGTGATCCAGTGGCTGGTCTCGGTAAGCATGTACATGAAGATGGTCCATGTCAGGGCCCGCTTCATGGGATAGAATATTCCCATAGGGACGAGTTGGAGCAGCATTAGCGCAACGTTGCTAGAGCTGTAGGTCTCTTCACAACCTGGCAGATGTTCTGGCTCTCGAGTAACGATGTTTTCTTCTTTTGGGACCGCGTTCTTCGGCATCTTCTCATCGATGATCCGTGCAAGTTGGGACACCTTGGGATTCGTGAAAAGGGTGTTGATTGGCAGGCGGAGAGGGTATTCCTTGCGCAACATGGTAAGGAGTCGACCTGCACCCATGGAGTCGCCACCGAGCTCGAAGAAGTCTGATGAACTTGAGACTTCCTCGATGGATAGTGATAGCACCTGCGCAAAGATGCGGCTGACTGTATCCTCTGTTGACATCGATGGTGCTGCTGGTGCTGATGCCGCGACAGTTGGTCTTGGTCTGGTCAACTTCGCAGCGACGGCTGCCTCGTCTATGTTGCCCCGAGTATCGCGAAAGAAAGGCTCCTCGAGCTGATGGATCTTGACTGGAATGCTGTAGCCATCGACGCGCGCAGCGATGCTGTTGGTGAGTGAGTCCTTGTTCACCGCCCCGTTCTCGCCTGCTGCCTTGGGTGCCAGAACAAGTTCGGCATAGAAGTCAGAATGCTTGATCCAATACTCGAAGCTGGCTGGCACCTCGATCTTGCAAGCATTTGCCAGCTTGTCATGCGAGACTGCAAGCGGCCGGCATGCGATAGAGACGCTCAGAGCAGTATTCGGTGGTGGACAGACTGCTTCAAAGTGTCGACCTGCTGGTGCCGTGCTGTCGGAAATTGTCGGTAGACCAAGACGATCAGCAAGCTTAATGCGAAGTACTTTGTTGTTGTTCGTCGGCACACCACCGTCCATATAAACAACAGCAACGGGGACCTTCACCTGTCCCAGGACGTTCTTGACTGATTCCTGTATGGTGCGTAGGCATGGTCGAAGAGCACCTTCGGTCGTAGCCACGGCAATGCCGACGACTTCTTGCAGAACATCGTGGTTGACCGAGAAAGCGAGAGCCTTGGTGATTCGTCCATATGTTGGGGACCCTGGCTTACTGGCAGCACCCACCACAGCCTCTTCCACCTCGAAGGGAGATATCAGTTCACCTCCACGATTGATGACCTCCTTACTACGGCCTGTGATGAAAAGGTATCCGTCGCTATCAAGATATCCCATATCGCCAGTGTCGAACCAGCCGTTGGCGTTGAAACAAGTCTTGTCGATAACATTGTCTCCCTTGAGATAGCCACCAAACACAGGTGATCCCCGAACGCAGATCCGTCCGACCTCTCCAGTCGCTTCTGGCGTGTCTCTACCATTCAGAATGCAGATCTCTGGTCCGACTGTGACTCCTGACGTACCAGTCCGATCGAGCTGGTAGTCCAGAGGTGGCGTGGAGATGGGCATACACTCCGTCATACCGTAGCTAGGCAAAACAATACAGTTGACAGTGCTGGTAGAGAAAGTGCCCCGAAGTTGAAGGGCTAGACTCGGCAGAAGCCCGCCAGCGGCATTGCAGATGAGTCTGATCTGACTCTTGGCTACACTCTCTGGCCTTTCACGCCCAGCTTCGAGGATCATCTGGTGCATCGTAGGCGAAGCATAATACCACGTTGGGCTAAAGTCTTCGACACAATCCCAGAAGAGTCCCGGATCGAAAGCACTGCAGCAAATTACGGAACCTCCCGAGAAGACCGGCGCAAAAAGATTCCGAATCAGGCCACCGACGTGGTTCAGAGGCATCTGATTGAGACATCGCATCGTGGGAGATAGCCCCCATGATTGCTCGACCATGGCGACACCGCATACCATGGAGTGGATGCTCAAAGGCACCAATTTCTTCGTCCCGCTAGTTCCACTCGTGAAGAGCATAATACCCGTATCATCAGCAGTGTTGCGGACCGGTGGAAGGGATGTATGCTCCTGGATGATGTCGCGGCCATCTAAATCTGCGATACGAAGCCTCATATCCTGATCTAGATCGACGAGTAAGACTAAAATGCCTGCATCGGCAAGCCATGAGTCCCGAAGACCAAGTCGCGCGACGTCGGCGGATGTCGCAAGTACTGCATTGCTTTTCGACTGAAGCACATCTGCTTTGAATTGCTCCGCTCCCACGCCACTCCCGTGTGCTACGGGGGCGGCTGTGTAATAGGTGGCTGTAGCTAGTACTGTCATCGCTAGTAGTGGTCCATTGGGGAGAGATATCGCGATCACGGGCTTCGGTCCGCCTGGTGAGTGTGCTATGGGTAATCTAAAGGTACTGATCGTGGAAGCCAGATCATTATGCTGAATCGATCGGCCTGTGTCCGGGTCGAGAATCGCAGCTGCTGTCGATCCAGGATGGTATAAGTCGAGCAGACTCGAGTACGTTGATTTGCATTGCTGGGAGACGTGTTCTAGCAATGCTCGGATTGCTGGAGGTCCATGGCCAGCTTTTGCTTCTTCCGGTAGGAGTTTCCACAGAGCTGTGTGTGCTCGTTGTATACCAGTTACTGGCCATGGGCCTGACTTGGTATCAATAAGTGCTGATAATGTTGCTAGGGGTCCATATGATGGTTGTGTCGGTCGAGGAATCTTCGACAACAAAGTCTGGTGGTCGAATGGCGAATTCACGGCATCATCCAAGAATTGACGGTATAATGGTAGCTCCTCCTGGTCGACAATCGACGAGTCGAAGAGGAAGGTTGCCATTGCAAGGACGACACTTTCCAATGATTGACGAAAGGAGGTGAGGCTATGGGAGCTCATCCTCAGATAGTGACAACTCCAGGTTATATGTCCATTGAACGCGGCATCGTGGCTAAGCACTCATGCACATCGATAAACAAGCACGGCGTTCGACAGCGATCTCAGCACCACGGGCTCAACGACCCCCACATGAGGATCAAGAGTGAATGGCAGAAGATCGGGGTGTGTGATACGGTTTCAACTGGTCTAGGGGAGTCGTATGTGTGGGTCGGAACTAAAGGAGCGCAGTGAAGCTAATGAACGAACGCCCGCTAGTTGCCTGTCGAAGAACCATAGACCTCTACCTACGGTAACCTACCTACCTTTGACGCCTGTCTAGGCGATACCTCCGCGAAGCTGGGAATATCAAACCTCAGGTACACGATCAACATGAAACCGACGAGGGTTCTCACCACTCGAACGCTCCCAGTTACACACATGGGACGCAGGTATACACTTCCAGAGACTACAATGAGATCATCATCTCGTTTGGTCCTTTCGCTTGGTTGCAGAGATTCGTTAAATAGTGGGTCTGCTGTGTAACGACCTACTTTTGAGGCTTAGAAAGCGGATGCAGTGACATATTACTTTGGACTTAGGGGCACAACAAGCGGCCCCACATTTAAAAAAAAGACTAGTGGGTCCAACCTGCAGGAGTTTGTGCATAATCTTCTTCCGCCAAAACTCGCTTGGACTAAAAGAATAAACCCCCGTCGTCGTTGTCGTCGTCGATCTGCGTTGCGCTGCGCTATCTCTTTTCGAAGTTGCTCGGATGGTTTTTTGATTGAGACAGAGAGAGAGAGACGGTCGGCTAGCTCTCTGCTCAACAAGTCTCATATTCACTTACTGCCCGACGAGAATGATCCGGGTTATCTCGCCACATGGTTGCAATGGTCTCTGTCTGTTGTGATGGGGGTTTAGTTGGGCATCGGTGGCTCTCTCAGTTCAGGGACACCGATACGTATCCACAGCGGAAAAGCAAAAGGTGTGTTGATTCATCAGCGTTCTGGTTCTTCACATTGATTAATCGTGCGAACGAATTCTCCTACGGGCTATATGACGGATATGGGTATCTGATGCATGTTTTTGTATAAGGAGCAGAAGAAGATGCGCTCCGGATCTGATAAGAATGCTATAGCTGTCTAGCTAGATTGCTGATTTTCTGGAGCACATCTGATTTTCAGGAGATATGTCCGCAATCTTACCGACATATTTTCAATTTATCCAAAAAAGAAAGATACTTCATCGATCGATTTAAGCTTTGGTGTTTTTGTTTTTCTGTTTGTTTTTTCTTTTCTTCTCAACAATATCTCGAAGCCAAGCATAGAAGCAACTCTTGTTCAACTCAAACAAGCTCAGACAAGACATAATCTTAGCTTTCTAGTAGAACGAAACTAGAATGAATTCCTTTTACTAGTCCGTCCTCGAGCGTGCCTGTCTGTTTTAGGAAAAAGGTACGTTGTATCAAGTACCCCCGTGCCCCCCGTACCTTCGTACCTCCGCTGCTCCGTACCGCTCTCTCTCTATCTCTCTCACTTCTACTTCTCGGAGACTCCGAACCCCGGACCTCGTTCCTCGAAACTAAAGACTAGTCGAAACCTCACTAAAAAGGAAAAGGAAAGAAGGGGGGTAAGAAAAGAAAAAGGAAAATTGTCCTATCGGTACACATGTACCTTAGTTATGGATCTCGTAGACGGTAAAAACGGTAAAAGGGCCGTTTTTCGTTTTGTGTCTTTCCCTATCTACGATGGGACTACCTACTAGAAGGGGAAGTGAGAAATAGGTACAAAGATACAATGGGTACTGGAGGTACTGTATCTTTGTAGCCCGCTCGCGATGTTTGTCTCTTTTTCCTAACGTTTTGAAAAGAAGGAAATATATCTGGTCTACGGGTAGGTAATAGAGGTAGATTGTAATTGAGATTGACCGACGAATTCTACGAAAAGAGGAAGAGAGAGAGAGATACAGACGGATAATTTCCTATTTAATTAGGTATCGAAAAGAAAGTTTTTTGCATTGTAGTCTACCTTGGTTACGAATTACGCTATAGCCGTTGATTTTCCCTTTTTTGTTGTAATCCTTCTTAACAGCAAAAAGTATCTAGGTCAGGTACGTACGTACATACCCTCGAGCAGATAGTCGGTCGTCTCTCTCTCTTACACATACCCTGTCCAAGACCTCCTACTACGGTACAGTATAGTACAGTACACTATACTATAGTTCTTACCTCCTCCTGCTAGTCTACCCAAGTTTATACCTACCAGGTAGCTTCTAGGTTACCCCCCAAAATCCTTGACACCTGCTATTCTAGGCTATCGATACCGTACCCGGCGAGCGAGAGGGAGCGAGGGTTCTCCGATTTTTGCCTGCTTTGCCAAGAAAAAGAGAAAGGAAGAAGAATAAAAAAGAAGGAAAAAGAACGGTACGTAAATGTACAAATGTACAAATGTACAAAGGTACGTACATGTACCATTTTTTTTTCTGCACAACTGACACTACGGTAGCTACCGTAGCAGTAGTATATGCACAACATCTTTTCGTGTGTATAAGGGATGCATTCCAACATTGCATTTAGACTTTTGACGCCGGCTTTTTTCTTTTTTGACGATAAAAGATAGCCCTCTTTGTCTTGGCAGCTTTTTGCTGCGACGACGCTAGCTAAGGTACGGTACCTAGGGTATATAGGTTAGCCAAGACTAGCAAAAGTGGGATTGTGACCAAAGTAGGTAGCCCGATCCAGGGGTTTCATAGTATACATATCTTCCGATGTCTTTCTTTGTATGCAGGCGGCTGCATAGGTAGGCAAAGCAAGTGCCTGAGCGGAGCGGCTCTGAACATCATTGAAGATAGTAATATATTAGGAACTGGCGAGAACGTTTTTTTTATTAAAAATCGAAAAAGTCGATCTTTTGATTTGCTAGCTTGCTAGCTGCGTGCGTGCGTGCTTGCCTGCATATCGGCATATTTACCGGAGATAGAGAGGGGGGGCTCTCTATCTCTATCCTGATTGATCCTATCCCGGTCTTTCTGTTGCATGCAGGTCCCGGAAGGGTCGTGTTGTGCAGTGTCAGCATAAATGGGAAAGAGAAATAAAAAAGAAATCAATGACGATCCATCAATCCATTACTTCCTTTCTTTAACTCCCCGGTTCAGACTTCTCGCGCTATTGTAGCACTCAAGACCAGGGGGCAGGGGGCCTGGCCGGCTGTTCAATCAACATCCGACGAGGACCCGTCATATGGATGCGACGTCCGTATCGCGTGGCAAACAATAGATTCGCGATGATGATATTCTTTTTTTTCTTTTGGCGCCGGGGGTGTAGTCGTAAATTCGGATAGAGAGTGGCATTGTTTCCGTACGGTTTCATCTGTGCTAGACTGCGCCATGTCTTCTGGTTGGCCCTGGTGTGTGTGTGTGTACCTCCTATGTGAAGACAGACTGAAGAGGAGTTGTGGACCGGGGAAATGAATGCCCAAAGGCTTTTAGCGCTTCAGCCACCAGGAACGGGCGAAGCCACAAGTGAAGTACGGACCAGTCGATCTCAGTTCAGGGGCGTCGGCCGGGGCTGGCCGAAAAGCCCCAGGCACGTCGCACCCACCAACCACACCTGCGCTCCTCTCCTGCGCCAGCCGCACGTCGTCATCTCTTGGCATCCGACGACATCACTTCCTTATTGGGGGGCTCTATCTGACGTGTCTGTCATAAACTTCTTTTAGTCGGCGCAATTCCTACATGAAGCTAGAGATTGATACAGTAGTGGCGCATGGTACTACTGTAGTGTTAGAGAGATGCAAGACATGAGGGAGACACCTGTATCAGACGTACCTGTATGGAACTTATTTGCCAAGGCGCGCGGAGACGGCAGCTTCAACTCAACGGTCAAGAAACCCTCCGGATACTAAGTTTGGTATGCAGAGAGAGCGGCGCTACCAGAAGAATTTCAACATGTGAAGCTTGGCGTACATGTTGGAACTGCTTGTTTGGGCGTGAGGAGTGCAGAATACGCTTGGCATGCATGCTTAGACCAGCTTGGAAGGGCGTCAAGAGTTGCAAAGATCGATGCGGAAAGCTTGAAGCCCTGTCTAGATTATCGTAAACTCGTCAAAGTCTCTGGGCAGCGCGCTCAACCAAATGGCGTCAAGTCGCCTCTCCACGGCCGCTGTAAACTACTTGCGGCAGAAGGGTTGAACCTCCAGACACCGACGGTGCTTTGTACTTCCAGATTCTTGCCAGCTTCAGCAAGGAGCTTTTCCGCAATTGGGTGACCAGTCTCTTTGGTGAAGAACAGAGCTCTCCAGGACTCCTCAGCGGTCTCAGTTCGTTTACGCAGCTCCCTTTGTGCACTTTCTAGCTTGTTTTTCGAATCCGCAGTCTCCTGCATGTTGCCCGCTTTGATGGCTGCAATGACACCTTGCCAGGCTTTGCGTGATTCCCATGGATCCTGTCGTTCGATAGGCAACGTACGGAACTGGCTTGCTGTGGCAGATGCTACGCTGTACGTGTCAATCACGGTTCCAGCGTTATCTTTGATTTCGAATTGCTCCGACCAATTACCCTGAGCGGTGAGCCGACCAGAGTCAGCGATGATGTTACATATGTCGTTTACCAAGGGGGCGGGGGATGGCTTGCGGAGACTGACCTGCGCAACATAGATAGGCTCTTTGTGTTTCTTGTCCTGGGGTGGGTATACTGCTGCAGTCACATGATTCTTGTCGCCCGCCAAGCCGAACATCCTCCTTCCACTGAAATCGACCTCGGCCACATACCCATTGGAACAGACAATGGAGTAGGAGCCCTGAAGCTCTGGGTAAGGGCTGCCGGTGAGGATGCCCGTTACCTTCACGTTGGGCAAGGGGATCAGGTAATCCTCGTCAAACGCATCAAGGTGCAGAATTGCGTGACCGATCTGAGTGATATTTACTGTTCCCGTGAAGCGGATATCCTGCGCCCAGACATCAGCGCACTGCTGTACATGCTCAGCGTGGGATGGGGAGAATCTTACCTGCCGAGTGTAGCCTTCTGCCCGCACACCATGCTTATCGTTCCACAGGTAACATGCGGTCACTGGTGGATGGTGGCTCACTTGCTCTGCAATCAGATGGGTTTGGTCATCTTCCGTTGCGCCCACATCGCCAATGAAGACTTCACCGAGGAAGGCATTCAGTGGTTTCTTGACGCCTTGGCTGGGCTGCCGTCCGGCATACTGTTGCGACTTGAGGCTGGCTAGGAACCATTTGAGCACCGCCAGTATACGCTTGGCAGCGTCTTGTTCGTGTGCAGGAGCGTTGAAGAGCTCTGGTTGCTCGATCCAGTAACGCGGGAATTCAGTGGTGCTCTTATCGGCGAGGACGAAGGGGGGAGCAGTGATGGTTGAGAGATCCCCCTTGATCGTCGCTATCGACTACATCTTTTGCATCAGCCACGGCCCACGGAAATACTGTCCAGTCCATACAGGACTCGGCCACGATGTTTGACCTACTGCAAGGAACTGTTTGAGCCCGCTCTGTTGCTCGCTCGTGTCTGCCATGTTTGGTGTGCTGGATGGAATAACGATGCTCTACCGATCGGCTGACCCGTCAATATATCTCCTTTTGTACGAAGCCACGCAACACTTTGGCCACGTCGGTACCGTAGTGACGCTTGATTGCGCTGCTGGAGGCTGTGCTCGTGGCCCTTTTCTTGGAGGAAATCATGACGTAGGCCATATCTAAGCCCACTCTCTCACATGCCATGCAATCAACAACATGGACTCATTGTGAGTGCCCGATTAGATCGAGACTGCAATCGCGACGCTGTGCAGACTATAGGATGACTACGGATGTTGTTCTCTCAGCACATGTAGACGCAGTAGATTCATGAGCAACCACGCCAAGCATACCATCGCGAAGCTGCCCACGACGGGATTGCTGTGCTGATCGGCCAAGCGGCCAAACACTCTGCGACAATCACATTCGTTTCGACCATACCTTAACCAACACTCCCGCTTCGAACTGACTGACTCTTGACAGCATACCGCCGCCCGTCCATCATCACACACAGGCTGGGCGCCATGGCGAAACTCCTCAAGCAGCCGCTGAAGCTGGCGTTGGTGCAGCTGGCGACCGGAGCAGACAAGGCGGCCAACCTCTCGCGCGCTCGCTCCAAAGTGCTCGAGGCCACGTCCAAGGGCGCCAACCTCGTCGTGCTTCCCGAGTGCTTCAACAGTCCCTATGGAACGAAGTACTTCCCGAAATACGCCGAAACGCTCTTGCCATCGCCGCCGACCAAAGAGCAAGCACCCTCCTTCCACGCCCTGTCCGAGCTCGCAAAAGAGGCCAAGACATATCTGGTCGGCGGCAGCATCCCCGAGTACTGGGAGGAGACGAATAAGTACTACAATACCTCCCTGACCTTCGATCCCAATGGCAATCTGATCGGCACGCATCGCAAAGTGCATCTCTTTGACATCGACATACCGGGCAAGATCTCGTTCCACGAGAGCGAGGTGCTGTCGCCAGGCAACAAGGTCACTCTCATCGACCTGCCAGAGTATGGCAAGATCGCTGTGGCTATATGCTATGATATCAGGTTTCCTGAGCTGGCCATGATCGGCGCGAGAAAGGATGCCTTTCTGCTGGTGTACCCAGGCGCATTCAACCTCACAACGGGCGCCATGCATTGGGAGCTGCAGGCGCGCGCGCGAGCTATGGACAACCAAATATACGTCGGCTTGTGCAGCCCTGCGCGAGACATGGAAGCGGACTACAATGCCTGGGGACACTCGATGGTGGTCAATCCAAATGCTTCGATTCAATCTGAGCTGGATGAACACGAAGGTATCACGTATGCCGACTTGGACAACGCTACACTTGCTGAGTCGAGGACGGGCATTCCCGTCAACACTCAGCGTCGCTTTGACGTGTATCCAGATGTCAGCGCTGGTAAGGTGCGCTTTGAGGAGTAGTCGTGCGGAAGCAGCAACTGGCAGAGGCACATAATGAAGGAGCAGGCGAGGTAGGAAGTCATACGTAAAAGACGCACTTGCTTCGAATACTTAGCATCTTCATTCTCAGCCGTCTTTCGGGTTCAACACGCAAATCCTCACTACCTTACCCTTACCTTATCCTTCGCCCCTCTGAGCGATCACCTGGACTATTCCCTGCAGCCTATCACTACTCCATTACACGTTCCCTCTCACCCGCCACTACCCAGGCTTGAGAGCAGTCTGATTTGGCCACGAAAGCTGGCCATGGCCCGTGGAGACACTACCACGAGGAAGAGACTGCCATGGCTCGAGCCAGTACGCTCCACTGATACTCGCGATGAGAATAGGAGCGCGCCGATAACATACATCTCGCCCGCCTCCTTGAGCAACGACTTGAGGTACCGACCTACGGGCTCAACGCCCGAGATCAGAGAGCCGACACTGCGAAAGCATCCTCGATCCTACTCGGACAGCTCACAGCGACCTTCTGGTGTGCGATCGCATGCTATTGCCAGACCCAGGCGAGAGTTGAGCCAGCCGGAGATATCGTCATCTGAGTACAACTCCACTACTCCAAGCGACAAAGATCCCCTGCCGCCGGGCTTCCCCAAGAAAGATCCCAGATCATACGAAGAGCTCCTCAGTCCTGCTACCACAACGCTGAAGAGCCCGCACCCACATCTCGCACAACCAAAGCTCGAGCGAAAGCCGGGGACACGTAACTTGCAGCCGCGCTTGGCCGCGCAGTCGAGCCCGTTTCTGCTGCGCAATCAGCAGCCTACTTCACCTAGAAAAGGCACCAGGACACCTAAACCCAATCCAAATCCATATCGCTATGCCTCAAATACACCTCCAGCACTCACGCACACGACGCCGACCATAAATGCGCTTCCAGCGCATTTGATGGCACAGTCGACGAGCTCGTCTTCCGACAAACAGTCAATTTCGCCGACACCACCTTTACTGTATCGCTCTGCGAATACTCCACCGGCTGCGCCAACGCGTACTCTGCGCTCAATGGACTCGCTGCCCGCTCAATCCAAACAGCTGCACAGTTTTCCAGACCGCCTGGCTGCCCAGGAATCGGGCTACAAGCGCGAGTCTGGGAAGCCTGAAGCCATGTAAGCATCTCTGTCCTGTTCACTAGCCGTTGACTGATCGCCGCCTCGACAGCAACATCAGCTTGAAGCATCCTCGCCGGAATCACGTCAGTGTCAAGGACAATTTCCATCATCATATGCACCGTCCTATCGCTCGAGAATGGAGCCTGAGGCGCAAGCGTCTCACTTCGGCTATCGCCTGCCTAAACACCATATTCGTGGGCTTCATCGCGGGAATCTACGTAGGTGCACTGTCACCCTTAGCTTGAACTCGCACTGACACATTTACAGGCAGGTGAGGTACCCCGCATACAGTATCAGCTTGATGATGAGTCGCATTGGGTGATTCTAGGCAATGTCCTACTATTTGCAGGACTTGGTCTGAGTACATTGCTATTCTGGCCGCTACCATTGCTCCACGGCAGGCGCCCCTACGTACTGATCGCTTTTGGGGCCATGCTGCCGCTACAGATACCGCAGGCGATGGTTGTACAGCATCCGCACGGCTCGCACATGCTATACCGGACCGGATTATTGCTGCCTCGTGCCTTGACAGGGTTCGCTCTGGGCTTTGCCAATATCAATTTTCTGCCGACCTTATGGGACCTATGGGGAGCATCTCTCATGTCTGATCGCCCTCATCAAGAGACTGTAGCGTACGACGATGTTCGACGTCAAGGGACTGGAGTGGGAGCGTGGCTTGGCATGTGGACTTTCTGCTTCAGCAGCTCTCTCTCCGTCGGTTTCTTCACCGGCGCCTGTGTCATCTCCAAGCTGAATCCGAGCTGGGGCTTCTGGATTACAATTATGCTTTTGACCTTCTTCATGCTGGTGAACACGATCGCGCCGGAAACCAGAAAATCAGAGCATCGAAGAACTATTTCCCAATTCTTCGAGGACGAAACCAAGCATTTGAAGCGACGCGTCGCGCGAGGAGAAGTTAAACTCCACATTTCAAACGATGGACCCAAATGGTGGTTCGAGGAAGTGTGGGCGGGTGTCATACTCACCAAACGCATGGTTCTCCAGCCTGGATTCTTTGTTCTCATGGCCTACCTGGGCTGGATACAGGCTCAACTGACGCTTGTGATACTTCTGCTCGGAGCATTGCTCTCCCGCTCATACCGCTGGCCGTCGCAATGGGTTGGCCTGGCTGTGCTAGCTATTCCCACCGGAGCCGCACTCGCCATGCCGCTGACGCAAGCTTCGTTACTGAGTCGCGCTCGTGTAACACCTGCCCGAACAGACAGCATGACTTTCCAGCCCAGGGTTACCTGGAGCTCTCACTTGCTTCGAAGGGCCATCTTCACGTTGTTACTGCCATTCGCCGGCCTGGGCTTCTGTCTGTCGTCTTCTGGACCACCCGTGCATTGGAGCGCCGTGATTATCCTTGCAGGACTGGTCGGCTTTCTCGCAGACCTGGGGATTGCAGAGTGCGTGGGACTCATCATGGAGACATTTGACACGTGCGATTTACAGCCTGGAGTGAACACCAGACATCGTGTCCAGTCCATGACCATTATCGCAAAGAAGCGCCGCACCAATTACTCCTCGTTTCCACGCGTATGTGCGGGATGGTTCGCTGCACAGTCTCTGGGATTCTTCCTGGCAGCTGGCTCTACCGTTGCGGCCGGGCGAGTCACTGACAACTATGGTGCTCAAACGGCTATCTCTATTGTTGCAGCCATCCTATTGGCAGTCACAGTCATGCTGTTGATTGTATTGTGGAGATGGAAGGAGGTTCAGGTCATTCCCAACTTCACCATGGGCACTTTTCGGAGCAATAAAGAAACGGAGATGGGGCAAGGCGACCCCGAATGGAAGGCTGTGATCATTGGTCATCCCTCAGGCAAGATGAGGCGCATGAACTTGCTGGAAATGGGCGCCTGGTCTCGATGGACGGAGATACGGAAGCTGAACAAGCTGATCAAAGAGTAACGCAGAAGCGATTAAACAGGATGGAGTACTGGCTGTTTTGATCCTGCTTGATCCTGCCGCTACCGCAACTCCGAGTATTGTGGTCTCACTTCGTGCTTCGTCTCTAGAAATGTGTCGTATAATCGACGAAATGTGGTTCCAATGCTTGAAGACACCCTTGTATCGCAATGAGAAGTGCATTTTACCATGGATATGGATAAACCCACTTGTCAGTAGCTGCACTCTCAACTCTTTTTTCTCATCTCACATCAATATATCTTCTCCACAAACAGCTAATACATATAGCCCGTCTTTCTCTCTTTCTCGCTTCCTCCCTTTCTCGCGTTTCAGAGCGCCAAATCTAGAAGATGCGGTTCAATTGTCTACTCGAGGAAGAGGCAAGAAACAGCCCTCATCGCCTGCTGAGGTGCTGGCCCGAGGTGTATATATACATATATATATATATATCGGCGCACCGTCTACACCAATCTTCCCTTCTTCAATTCACGTCCAGTGAGTGAGTACACACCACTCTCCTTTTGCGGCGAGAAGAGCTCTCCAAAAAATCCCCTTGCTTCCCTTCCATTTTCCCATTTCACATTCCCCTTATCCCGCAAATTCCCCCTTCGCACCTCCTCTCGCAATCCCCGGCGTAAAACTATACACATGTCCTCCTAAATCTCCCTCTTGAGGAGGCTCGGAAGTCCCTCGATGCGAAGCCGATGTAATATATAAAGTTTCGAAATTGGGCCCGCCCCAGGTTGGACAGGTGATGTTGTAGGATGGAAGGATCTGTTGGAGAAGAAGAAGAGGAGAAGGAGGGGCAGGAGGGTTAGACTTTGTTTTTTCTTTTGGTATCGGGAAGGACGGGAATACAGCAGTAGGATACGTACAATTTCGGCAAAAACTTCGCCTTGTGGTGTAAATGCCATGATGCGCCAGGTGGCGTACATTGCTATCCAGAGATTTCCGTTTGTGCTTTGGGTAGTTTTTTTGATTCTTGTCAATTTGGGTGTTTTGGTTTTTTGTGATTGGGAAAAGGGAGAGGGAAATGTTGGCTTGTACTTACTCTATCACCATGCCATCGGGTTCTCCTCCTGGTGAGTTTCTTTTATCGATCAAGAGACGCTTGTGGGAGATGGTACCGGATTCGAGATGGAAATTGTAGGCGAAGACTTTTTTTCCGACGGAGTCGTTGAAGTACACTGTTGTTTTTGGTTTTTTTCACCAGAGTCAGTTGGATATCTTTATAGGAGGTAAGGTGATTGGGGTGAGTACGCATTTTTCGCGCCTTTCTGTCTTTCTCTCTCTCCAAAAAAAAAAAAGAAAAGCATTCTGGGAAAAAGAAATAAAAAATGAAAATAGAGTAGTAGAAAAAAACACTCACTACTCTTCCAATCCGGACTCCACCCTACTCCATTCCCACAAATCACTCCCCGATCCATCAAATGCAACGTCCCATCCAAATCATACCTCCACAACCTCCCCACCGGCTCGCCCAAATCCTCCAACACGCGTTCCTTCCCTTCATCAGACGCAACAGCATCAACAGCAGCAGCAGCTCTCACATCAATTTCCGCCAGCCATAACCTCCCTTTCGCATCCACTCCCCCATCATTAAATCTCCTCAACCCCCGTTCCTCAGCCGGAATAATCTCCTTGACAACTTCCAGTTTTCCAGTGTCTTCGTCGAGAAATGCGATTCCTTGGTAGTAGGCGCAAATGTAGGATTTGGGATGGGATTGCCGGAAGAAGAGGACGGAGACGCTGTCGGAGAGGGAGATTCTCTTGCTCGGTCCGAGGGGTTGGTGGGTGGTGGGATCGAGGTGGAGGATGTGTAGTTCGGGAGGAGTGATGAGGCAGTCGACCCAGTGTAAGGTGGAATCTGAGGCGCGGTAGATGGGGGATTCGCCGAGGACCATGGGAGGGTTGCATTTGTAGAAGGGTTCGGAGGGTGCTGTGAAGATTTGTGGGGTGGGAGACATTGCTGGTGTTGTTGATTTTGTTTTTTCTTTGTAGTTGTTGTGGTTCCTTACTATCGTCGTTCTTGTTGTCGATGATATATTTTGTTGTTGTTATTGTCAAGATCTGACAAGGCTTGCCGTTGTTCTGGGTGCTCTGAAGAGCTTCGTGCCTGGTAAAAGCTTGATATGCAAGGATCATATTTATCGTATACGCGCCGCGGGCAACTCAGCTCGCCTCGCATCATGTTGTAGCGAGATGTCCGAAAGAAGTCTTCCAATTAATCCTGAGAGAGCGTTTACAGAAGGTATACCATTAAACCACTTACTGAGTACAGGTGTTATTGAAGATGTCAAGTCCTCAGTAATCGGATACTCGATAAAGGCTACTTTACGCAGGAAAATATCATACTCACCACCCATTCGACAGATTATATATCCTTCCTCAATCCCTGCTCACTCTTCAACCACTCCCTCACTTCATTCGCACTCTCATTCGGAGGAAAAACGGGATAAAAGACCTTCCGAATCCTCCCATTTTCAATTACCATACTCAACCTCTTCATCAGTATCTGTCCCTTATACTCAAACGTCGGCAATTGAAGACCTTTCACCAACTCCAGCCCCTCATCACTCAAGAGATGAAAAGGTAAATGCGTTCTCCCCTTCAATTCCTGCTGATATGGCGTATCTTGCGTACTCGCGCCAAAAATCTGACTGACGCCGAGCTCATTAACAAAGTCTTGAAAGGCATCACGGAACGAACATGCTTGTGGTGTACAGCCTCTCGCGCCGGGAATTGCGTTCCAGTCGTCGGGGACTGTCTCGTTGGGGGCTGCGGTTCGAGGGTAGCAGAAGAGAATGGTTCGGCCCGAGAGAGTCGAGAGGTTGATGGAGTTGCCGGATGTGGAGGCGAGAGAGATGGAGGGAATGGTCAGGCCGGTCAGGTGATTGCTTGCTCCGTCGTCTTCTGGTTGGGGAATGTCGGATGGGAACGTCGTGTCTGGTTCGGTGGGTGAGCTTTTCAACTGGATTTGGGTAGATATTGTATTCAGTATTCACTTACGAGCCATGCTGGGCATTTATATCTCAATTTTCGCTGATTATCATTTATCGATGGCCTGTATTCTGGCGACAATGCGCAGTCCGTACACCTTATACACAAACCTACCCCGGTATTTCGATACGTTACTAACTTTAATCTGTAATCGCATTGTCGCCAGAATACAAAGGGCCCCGGCGTGCAGGTCTTTGACGACATCCATGACGCGCTTTGACGCGACGCGTGCAACATACAGGTCAGGTAGTACACACAGCATACATGTAATATAGGTAGAAATATCATGCCAGAAACCCAAACCAGAAGAGTGCATTAGCAAGATTGAGCAAGAATGCCGTCCCAAGACCACGCCTCCAACATGGAGAAGAACTTTGAGCCCATATCCGAACCGCAAAAGCTCACTTACAACAAGGAGAATCCACGCCATAACGCTCCCACAGACGTCGATTACGAACCTCATCCAGAATCTTCCCTCCCGCTCTCCCCTTCCCGTCAAGCAATCGTTACGTCCATTACCAACCTCTACTCCGGCTCCTGCCAAGAAGGCGGAACAGGCGAACAAGACTTGAAAGTCTACGCTGCCGAGTCCGTCTACGACGATCCCTGGTCCTACTGCGATACGCGGTATAAAATAGCCGGACAATGGTACGGTATACCCAAGCTCTTTGACTCCAAAACGCTCGCGACAGAAGTAGTAGAGAATTCTGAAGCCTCCAGCAATCCTCATGCAGCCCCTGGAGAGGATGCTCGAATCGTGTTCAAGTTGAGACAGGAGTATACGATCAAGGCGATCCGAGTCAGTAAAGCTGTGAATAGTCTGGTGAGCTTGACTTTGCAGAATGTGGATGGGGAGGAGAAGGTGCGATATCATAAGGATCAGTGGAATCATAAGGATTATAGCCACGAGGGATTGGGGAGAGTGATGAAGGAGTTGAATGGAGATCACTTGACGAAGATTACGAGGCCACCTGGTTGGTTGAAGGAGGGTGCAGAGACGGATGGAGTTCCGACTTCGTAGGCATTGATACGAAGGTTCATATGAGGGAAGACGTCAGTATAGATTCTCCTTGGCAACCGAAGTCGCATTGTGAGAGCTCTCGTTAAGGTTGAAGCCAATGGCTATGCTATGCTTCGTGACGCAATTCGCAACTGCTTCGCCATAGGTACAGGTACATGTGAATGTACATTCGTGGGGTACATATATACAGGTATGTGCCTGTACTATAGTCTCCATCCGACATCCTCTCTACCGCAACCTACCTACCTGAGAAAAGACTCCTCAACCAACCCTTCCATACCTACCTACCTACCTACCTACCTACCTACACAAACAACAACCACCACCACCATGACCGAACTTCCCCGAAAATCCCAAACCTACAACCCTCCCAACGTCCCCGCACCCCAACCCCAATTCTCCCAAGTCAACACCTTCACCTTCTCCCCCGGAGACACTCTCGTCGCCGTCACCGGCCAACTCGCCATTCCGCCCCCCAACAACAACCCCAACAAGAACTCCGAAGCAGAAGAACAAAGTACACCCCAAAACTTCGAAGATCAAGTCCGCCTCGCACTTTCAAATTTAGAAAATTGCCTCAAAGCCGTCGGAGCTCGCAAGAGAGACATTTTTAAAGTTACACATCATGTTGTAGATTTTGATCCCGTGAAGCAGAATCCCAGTCGCGTGTTTATTGAGTGGTTGGAAGATGAAGATGGAGATGGAGATGATGTGGGGGAATTTCGACCCGCGAGTGCTATGTTGCCGGCGTGGAGGTTGGCGGGGGAGGAGTGGAAGTATGAGTAAGTCTTTTTTTTTTTTTTCTTTTCTAGCGTTAGAGTGGATAGGGGACGTTTTGATCGAATGAATGTGTGGAAAGTTTGGTCTAGGATGTGTGCGCTGACTAGTTTGGATTGGTTCTTGTTTGGGTGCGTGTGTGTAGGATTGAGACTTGGGCGATTATACCCGGTCGTCGATAGGGATTTCATGAGCGGAGGAGGTGTAGGTTCAAAATGTGTGTAGATGTGACTACCTACTCAAGGTACCTACCTGAATATAGCACGAAGTGCGTATCTGCCACGTTTGACTACCTGTACTTACCTACAAGGTAAGGTGTTGTATACACGCCCGAGCTGAAGCACTTTCTTCGTCAGCAGAGCGCGTAGAGTTGTATAGGTAATGCTAGTTCTTTTTGATATCGAAACAACATCCTCTTATCTTATTCTCAGTCAGTATTCCCGCTGATAATAGTAGCACTGGAGAGAAGAACGATACTAGGTAGGTACCTTATCACAGCATGTGAAAGAAGAGGCCGAAGAAGAAACCGGGCCGGCGGCAGAGGCCGACAAAAGCCAGCACCGAGACGACTGCCAAGACAATTAGCTAGGGCAAATCAAAATCGACCGGACCGGCAAGACAAAGACAGATAAAGTTAGGGCAAAATCGAAAGGAAAGGTCATGAGTCCCCTGCTAAAGAAAACTCTATTGCAATGTTATCTGGTACCTGTACCTTAGGTACTGTTACTACGGAGAGAAAGAGAATCACCAAAGAAGACTACAAGCATTTGGACAAGAAGGGGAAAGCAATAAGTGGCAATAGCTTGGCAATAAGAATCGCTCGGCAATCGAAATCGGGGCGATACATATACCGATCAGTCTGCCGAGTGCCGGATGTTCTGCTCAAGGAGACGCGGTATCTATTCACCCGAACCCAGCTGGAAAGTATTCGGGAGATAGGAGGAGACTTTTTGCTAAAATGAACGATGGATCGAAGCCAGATCTCGCGACGCGAGGAGTGCAGTGATTGAAAGAGGATTGTTGAAATGGGTCTGGTCTTCTATTGTCAGGGTGTTGTTTTACCCAGACTCAGCCTGGAGAGCTATGAGGAAGACAAAAAGCTTCGGCGGCTTGGTGAGTCCCGGCTAAGATGGGACTCGCTGATACGTGAACTGACCCCTGCGTTCAATGGAGAGTTGTTCTGCCAGAAAGTGAAGCTCCTCCTCCTCCTCCACGCTTCTACCCCAATAGGTAATTCTCCTTTGCCCAACAACAATCACCAAACCACGACTGGACTAGGCTGCCCACTACCCCGCCGCCTCTCCACCTTGTAATTTCATGCCATCCATGTCGCCCACGCCTCTACTAGTACGGCCATGGCGGTGAGGTTGACCGAGAGTGGAGAGACGGCGAGTTAGGTGAACATGACGCCGCTGTGTCACTCGACATCCTACCCTGTTGAGCAAGGAGGAACTGTAGATATATCGTATCTTCTCCGCTGAGTGCTTGCAGGGCTCTCCTCCTCGTCAGGAAAAGCAAGTATGAAGTCGTTTCTTCTCAACGCAGGCGCCCTGCTTTCGTGGGCCTCGACTGCCCACTCTCTCACCTACACCAATGTTTCCGAAGTCCCACTGTACGGACAAAGCCCACCTGTCTTTCCATCACGTGCGTTTCAATGGTGCAGCTCAACATCTTACCATTGTACTATACTGATGTTGAGTAGCCGAAGGTAATGGAGGGACCGACCCGGCATGGCAAGCTGCGTACGCGAAAGCACGCAAAATTGTCGAGCAGCTCACATTGTTGGAGAAGGTCAACATGACCCGCGGTCATGAAGGGCTATGCGTGGGTAATGGTGGAAAGGTCCCCAGACTGGGGATACCCGCCGCATGTTATGCCGATGCTCCAGATGGCATCCGAGGGCAAGAGTTCGTCTCGGCCTTTCCAGCACAGCTGACGGTCGGTGCCACTTTTGACAAGCAGCTCATGTACGAGTATGGCAAGGCGTTGGGTGAGGAATATCGAGGCAAAGGGATCAACTCGGCTCTCTTACCTGTCGCGGGTCCCTTGGGCCGAATCGCGCGTGGGGGCCGCAACTGGGTGAGTACATGGACCTGATGAAAGCATCACCAAACCACTCATTTACCCATATCTGACCATGATCACAGGAGGGCTTTGGCGCGGATCCGTTCTTGTCATCGGTTGGCATGTACGAGGTTACCTCTGGGCTGCAGTCCGCTGGGGTCATCGCCACAATGAAGCACTGGCTCCTCAATGAGCAAGAATATCGTAGGATCCCCGGAGACTTGGGGGAAGCCATTTCCAGTAATGCAGATGATCGGACCATTCACGAGTTATACGCATTTCCGTTCATGGGTGCTGTGAAAGCAGGTGCTGCTTCGGCTATGTGCTCTGTATGCCTCCCCGCGCCTCCTTTCCAACTGATCGACACAGTGTGTTAACGATTCTGTTTTTCTTCTTCTAGTATCAACGCGTCAACAACTCGTACAGCTGCCAGAATTCCAAGCTGTTGAACGGCATCCTGAAGGGAGAGTTGAACTTCCAAGGCTTCGTGGTATCCGACTGGGATGCTCAAATGTCAGGCGTTGCAACCGCCAATGCCGGCATGGATCTCGTGATGGGGAATGGAGGATATTGGGGTGACAACCTGACGCAGGCCGTCACTAATGGCTCCGTGGCAGAGACCCGCCTCAACGACATGGTGACTCGAATCCTCGCGGCGTGGTATCACCTAGGGCAAGATGCCGGTTTTCCAGAAGTGGGCGTGTACTCTTATGACGAGCAACATCCCATCATCGATGTTCGTGGCGACCATGGCGCGCTGATTCGCAAGATCGGGGCCGCTGGGGCAGTTTTAGTCAAGAACGTCAATCACGCTTTGCCACTGAAAAAGCCAAGGTTCCTCAATATATACGGCTATGATGCCAAAACCCCCGACTCTCCCTGGACCACGCCTTCGCGATACGGAGGCGGTTATGATGTGAATTTCGGCAAGTCAAGTTTTCCACCTATGCCACATCTCGAGACGTCTGCTAACTGATCTCGTCTCTTTGCTTTTTCAGGTTGGGAAACATTCAATGGCACTCTCGCTACCGCCGGGGGCAGTGGCTCGAGCACACCTTCATACATGGTCTCTCCCTTCGATGCCATTCAGCGCAGAGTCATGGCAGATCGAGGCATGGTTCGATGGGACTTTGCGAGTGAGAATCCAACTGTGTACGCCAACGCAGATGCGTGCCTGGTCTTCATTAATGCCTATTCATCCGAACAATTTGACAGGACTCGTCTCACCGACGAATTTTCCGACAATTTGGTCAACAATGTTGCAGCGAAATGCTCAAACACCATGGTGGTTTTGCACACTGCTGGTACTCGCGTCGTGGACGAGTGGATTGAGCATGAGAATGTCACGGCTGTGATCTACGCTTTGCTGCCTGGAGAGGAGTCGGGAAACTCCATTGTTGACGTTCTCTACGGCGATGATGGACCGTCGGGACGTCTGCCCTTCACCGTCGCGAAGAGTGACAGCGACCATGGAACTCTGCTGAACTCGACCATCGGATCCGGTCCCTTTCCCCAGTGTGACTTTGCTGAAGGGCTGTACATTGACTACCGCCACTTCGAGCAGCAGAACGTAACTCCTAGATTCGAGTTCGGATTTGGCTTGAGCTACAGCAGCTTCAAGTACTCCAACCTCGTCATCACTCCCGTGAGCAGCAACACGCACGAATGGCCGACCCCGAACGTGCCGATTCCCCAAGGCGGCCATCCTGAGCTGTGGGAGACGCTCTTCCATGTGACACTTGACATTACGAATACTGGAGGTGTCGCAGCAGCCGAAATCCCACAACTCTATGCTTCCATTCCGACCGCACCGAAGTGGCAACTCCGTGGCTTTGATCGTGTTTTTCTGGAGCCTGAGCAGACCAAGCGCGCGACTATGAAGATCTCGAGGAGAGATCTCTCGGTGTGGAACGTGGTTCATCAGCAGTGGCAGTTACAGCAGTGCGAGTATCCTGTTTTTGTCGGTTCTTCTTCTCAGACGCCGCTGCTGGAGGGCTCGATCACTTTCTGAAGTGTGTGATGTGGTATGGTGTTTTTTTGTGTTCATATAGCACTCACTGGAGGAAGACATGGTATGTCTCGGAAGCAGCTCTGACGTTGCTGGTGAATGAGTCATATACAGGAAACAAATATTAGAATCAGACACTAGGGGAACTGCCCTTGTGTAAAGTGATGCTACTAGGAATTATTGATGTCGCTTTTATTTTCAGTCCATCTCAATGATAATGTCGTTCCTCTTCCATGCTGTTTTTCGGCACGGCACGCCGCTCCGAGACACATACACCTCACTTTGAACAGATTTGCCCTCTCTTTGCTTCGTTCCCACTCAGCAACTCCAACTTTCTCATATTTCGCAATCACTGACGACAAAAATTGTCGGAGACATCAAGTCCAAGGCAGACAGCGTATGGCCACGTCAAATGAAGAAAAACAGCTTAAGACAGATGACGGCCTCGCACTCCTCGACAGCTTGAGAAATCACATCCTCGAGCAGCTCGACCATGCAGTACCAAACGACTGCATTCAACTTTGCAAGCTCAGCACTCTCGCCATTATAGCAGATCGTCCCGAAGATGTTCTCGAAAAGGCCAAGGAACAGCTGCACGCCTACCCCTACGAGAAGGTGCCAACTCATTGGCGGCGACTGTACGAAGATGCCAGTCTTCATCTTGCTGCAAAGCTGCTGAAAGAGCGAATCACTCAATTACAAAAGTTCGCTTCACCTACAGCATCATTTGCAACATTCAATCCTGCCAAGCGTCAAAAGCTCGATCGGGATATCCCCCGTACCAACGACTGGCTGGCAGAATTTTGCAATGTCGTAGACAGAGCCGTCATCATCTCGGGCGCACCTGGTCGCAAACATCTCATTGACGATACCTTAAAGCACTTGGAAGTTTTTGTCAAGTCTGAATGGACCGACGCTCCCCCTCGAAGACTTCTTACCCCTCGACCTCCTCCTCTGGACACGCCTTACGCTATTCTACGCACACCGCGTAGCTGGGACTTTGAAGAGTTTCAATTACATCTCGATACTACAGGCAGTCCTGTTATTATCCCTGATACATTTGAGCATTGGCCTGCACGAACACACTGGGACGATATTAATTACCTTTTATACAAAACTCTCGGTGGCAAGCGTGTTGTCCCTGTCGAAATCGGGAGTAGCTATACTGAAGCTAATTGGACGCAAAAAATTATGCCTTTTGGGGCTTTTGTTGAAAATTATCTTCTTGCACCTTGTCAACAAGAACAAGAAGAACAACAAGAACAAGAACCTTCTCCTCCCATCGGCTACCTCGCCCAACACAACCTCTTCACCCAAATCCCCTCTCTCCAATCCGACATCTCCACTCCAGACTACTGCTACACCACCCCTCCACCAACAAACCCCTCCTTCTCCACAACAAAAACTTCCACCATCCAACAACCCCAACCTCTCGACTCCCCCCTCCTCAACGCCTGGCTCGGCCCCCCAGGAACCAAAACCCCTCTCCACACCGACCCCCATCATAACATTCTCTGCCAAGTCGTCGGATACAAATACATTCGATTATACAATCCCCTCTGGACGAAATACTTGTATCCTGCGGGTGTGGATGCGGCTGGGGTGGATATGGGGAATACGTCGTTGGTGGATGTGAAGGTTTGGAGGGGGGATGTGGATGAGGAGGAAAAGAAGAAATTTCCGGAATTTGGAAAAGCGGAATATTTAGAGGCGGTTTTGGGGCCGGGAGAGTGTTTGTATATTCCATTGGGGTGGTGGCATTATGTGGAGAGTTTGACGGCGAGTTTTTCGGTTTCGTTTTGGTGGAATTGAGGGGTGGGGGGTTGTTCTTGTTTGTTATAGTGGAGGAGAGAGGAGAGAGAGAGAGAGAGAGTGTGTGTGTGTATGTGTGTATTTTCTTTCGAAGCGCTCGAAACAAGAGGTCTTCTTCTCTCTAAAACTGCCTCGCACGCTTCGACTTCGCTCTGAGCGTAGGACCAAACTTAAACATGACAAAAGCAATCATACTCAACAGCGTGCCCAAAATGGCCAAAATGAGTCCCGCATACTGACTGCCCACATTATGAAAAAACTGACTCGCAAACAAGGGCGAAACGGCACCGAGCGTATTCCTCATAAACCCTTGCCCAGCAATCGCCGAACCCGAATTCTCGCCATAGCAATCCGCCGTGTACGAGTAGGTCGCCTCAAAGACGAAATAGATTCCAAAAGCAATCGGAGCGAGAGCGATGGTGGGAGCGATCCAAGGGAGATAGCCGTATTGCGTAAAAGAGTAAATGAAGAGACCAATGGGGAACCAAATGGAACCGAACATGGCGCCATAGAGACGTGTTTCGGGAGTTGCGACGCGGTCGGGGTCGTCCATGATTTGTTCGTATTTCCACATTTGGAGATGATGGGCCGCCCAGCCGAGCGTGGTGCCGATGGCGAGACTGAGATAGGGTAGACCGGATACACCTTCGTTCCAACCGCGTTTTTCCGAAAATGTAATGGGGATGACGGAGAGGAAGAGAAAGACGACGAACCAGCAAAAAGAGATCCAGAGGCCGAAGGCGAAAACTACGGGCTCGGTGGCGAGCATCTTGAAGGCTTTGACGGATGATGCTTTGAGCATGCTTTTGAGAGAGGGTGTTTCAATGTCATCTGGGCCGACATAACGCTCATCTCCCGTTGCTGCACGAAGCTGCTTCGCGCGCTTGTGGAGGAATGTTCCACCGCGAGTTTCGGGGAAAAAGGCAAAGATGCAGAGCAGGAGCGGGATGTTACTGAGTCCTTGGATGCCTTCGGTCCATCTCCATCCCAAATGTTGATCAATGAAGCCCGCGTACACGGGCGCGAAGACGGTGCCGAAGATGGCGATGAAGGCAAACATTGCCATGGGCCTGCTGCGATCGCGAGGCAGATACATATCGTCAAATGTCCCTCCTACGAGAATCGTCCCGACACAGCCGAAGAGACCTGATCATCAATTGCATGGTCAGCAGCCTGCGATGATGACAGCAGCGGGGTGTGTGGTTTGATGGACTTACCGAGGAAAGCCCGCATGACGAGAATGGTGGCCATATTCTTTCCCAACGCCAGACCAATGAAGCACAAGGAGAAGCACAAGTATGCGCTCGCATACACGACCTTGCGCCCGACGAGTTCGCAGAAAGGTGCCAAGAAGAGCGGCGCGATGGCGCAGACAATGTTGAAGAGGAACAAGCCCAGCTGGCCAATCTCGGTTGATACACCGAATTCTTCCGTCATGCCATTGATGGTCGAGCTGTATGCTGTTGTCGCCAGTCCGATGAAGAGCGTCATGAGGTTCAGCATCGTCGTGACACTGCCTTTCCACCAAGGACTCCAGTTGAAGGGATTCACAGGATCGCCCATGGCATATCGTAGCACAATGTACTCTTTCCCATCTTGCTCCACGATCTCGGTCAAAGTGAGTGGCATATCGATGTCGACTTCGGTGAGCGGGCCATGTCTGTCATGCAGACCAGCTTCTTTGTTCCCTTCCTTGAATCGCCCTCCCACTATTCTCCCCACTTTCGGCGGCACATTCTCTGCTCTGTCAATCTCTGGTTTCTGGTTGACCTCTGATCGGGTATCTGGGGTGGCAGTATAGGGCGTCCTGGAAATCTTATCTGTGTATTTGCTCCATACACTGGGGGTTCTCGAGGCAGAGGGCCTCGAAGCTGTTTCCGGCATGATGAAGAACAGTAGTGGTATAGAGCAAAGTCTATTGGAGGAAAACGTGTATCATGAAATATGTAGCAAAAGAGGTGAGCCTACCTTTTGTGCTTTTCACGCGGCACACCGGCCTCTGACGATGCGTTTGGCAACCAAGACACTATGCTGTCACGGTTCCGCGCAGGTCGTCGTCGTTGAAGATGATCTCATATGAAGGTGGACCAGATGGAGAGGTCCGCAAAGTGGCCGTGAAGTGACCGAGAGGTTGGCGACGCCACAGGCCGCGGTTCCGAGAAGTGAAAGCTAAATTGATGCGGTCGGCGTATACTGACCTCGTAGGAGGTAGAGTGTGATGTCGTCAGCAGACTCGTCCTGAAGCTGCCTTAGCCGTGACATTGCCTGCCGTCGCCGTCATGAGAATGGTGTCAGCAACATGAACGTTGCCAATGATGATGAGAAAAGGCCGGAAGAAGAAGATGAAGTGAGTGAAGGCGGACGTCATCGCTGTAGTAGTTAGACTAAGTCAGTGCTGTCCTTGCAAAAAACTTCTTAGCGCCTTCGTCTTTTCTTCGGCGTCTGACGGCGCGCCAGATTTTATTCACTGACGACCTACACGGACCGCGCCGTGCCTCCCGCTTCGAATTTGACGTCGTAGAACAAATGACCCTGCATCAGAGTCTTCGCTCAACCATTTGTGTTGTTATGAGTTATTTCGAATACGCATCTCTCTCCGACGTCTCACCTGCGTTCTTCTAAAAGTGCAAACTCAGAACTCCGGGTTTCCACTTTTCTTTCTTACCGCTTTCCTCCTCCAACCATCCGAATCTTATTTTTTTTCTCTCTCCTCCATCCTCGGCGCTCATGCCGGATCCTCTCATATACATAATTCTGTAGCGTATAAGCATGCCGGAAATACGCGAAAGATGTGAAGTTCACGTGGGAACAAGTCCATCCGCGTCTCTTCGCAAAGTTCACTCGCGAGCGCCACCTCGCATAGGACTTCCCGTTCCTCTTCCACCGAGGCACGCGTGGCACGGGTTCGGCCCTCTAGAAAGACTTTAGAAGGACTCTAGAAGCCCGACCTACACTATACATGTATGTACTGTAGTACTTGTGCACCTGCATATTAACGGGCGCCGCAAATCATATCGTGCGATTGTTCAATGTATTTCAGGCAGTGCCAAAGGGGGAAATATTTCCATCCTACTTCACTCATTCAATGTCTAGCGATGTTGATGGGTCGAAAGTTGCTGCAGTTGAGAGATATTAACCCTTTTTTTTTCGCTAACGCTCCATATGGCGATCGCGGCGGCACGATGCCATGGAGTATTAAGGGTCCCTCAGTCGGAAGAAGCCGATTCAATATCACACAGCAGCTGCTATCCAGTGTATCACTCCGTCTCGTACTGTCGCATATTGGGTAGGTCACCATGGATGGCCTCGGTCGTCTTGTGTCGTATCGGTGTATTGAATAACTCCCCCCATGGCCCCATGGGCGCCATGAGAGATGGCTGCAGGAAATTTCTTGTTGATACGTTCGTCCTACCATGTTTGGGTGTCTGAACCCAACGCCCCGCTATACTACTACCACAGCCAGTGCTATCCCGCAGCAGCCACAGCGTGTCCGTTCGTCATAGCAGGCATGAGCTTCGTCCTTCTCTGTTTCAGACGATCCTTCCTCGTACCTGTGGAAGACTTCACTTCCGCTCTGAAACTGAGCGTACTCGCCACGTTCTCCAACCCCTCAAGGTGAAGCGGCCGGACGACCTTCATGGCTCCCGTGCCGACACTCATGCTCTGGCCCATAATAATGCACTCCGACACACCTTCGATGTCGTCCTTCTTCATCTTGGCTGCGGCCTCAAACAGGTGGTCTGGAGTCTTCTCGAAGGACGCCAGCTGTAGCACGCTGTCTCGCATCTTAGCGAGACCGAATCGAGTGATCCCAAGGACTTCTCCTTTATAGGTCATCACATCGGCAAGAAGCTGCATATGACGAGGGTCGATGTCCATGGATCCCATGACAGCATCAATCTCGTCAATAATCGTCTTTCGAGCAGCCTCAATGCCAAGCACATCTCGACATTCCATAACGTTATTGGACTTCGTCCGGTAGCCGTCGACGCCGTCGGTCGTCATGCACTGTTTCAGACCATAACCTTCCACGAATACAGATATTGGCTCCTTGCCATTGCGATCCTTTTTGTCGTCCTTTTTGATAATGGCACGATGCGCGTCGGGATAACCCTTGACCACGACCTCAGGTAGTTTCCGTTTCAGGGTGTGCACTTGCATGAACATGAGCTCGGAGCCGTCCGACTCGGTGATACGACCCTTGGAAGCGGAGGTTTGACGTCGAGATCGCTCCTTCTCCGGAAGGCTGATGTTGACGCGGATATGGTTATAACCAGAGTTCCTCGCGGACACGCCCAGTGTCTTGAAGCCCTTGGTTCGCTCAATTGCATCCAGAAGATGTTCCATACCGATACGAAGCCCCAAATTGCCAATCTGCTGCCAGTTGACACGCATGTTGATATAACACCCGTTTGCATGCCAGACATCTTCCACGTAATCCACTATATCTCCCAAGTACGTCTTCTCCATCAGTGCCTTGGCGAAACGTGCGGCCATATCTTCATAAGGAGAGTCCAGGTGGCAAGTAATAACGGGCGTACTGATGACTTTGCTTGCATTGATGATTTCCTTGATACGAGGAACACCCTGTGTGATGGACATACCGGCGACACCAGCAAAATGGAAAGTCTTCAACGTCATTTGCGTGCCAGGCTCACCGATAGACTGCGCGCCGACAGCACCCACCGCGTGTCCAGCTTCCACCTTCGATTTCTCGAACTTGAGCATGCACAAATGCAAGAATGTTTGAAGTGCTGACTGAGTGATCCTAAAGACAGCGTCACTGTTTGCCAGCTTTTCATGAGATCTGGTCATCTTTTTGGTCTTTGTAAAGACATAGTTTGTGACGTCGTCAAGAAATTGTCTTGAATACTCGAGCTGGTCGGTACTCTTGGCACGCTCGTCTGCATACTCCAGAGCTTGTCCATCGTCGGTGTATCGTCCCAGCTTGGCACGCTCCTTATTGAGTACTGTATGGGTATACGTCTCGATCTCATCCTTTGTCAAGCAGGCTTCGCTGTTGTCCCACGTGCTTTCGACGGAGTGAGACCAAGTCCTGTCCATGTTGATCGGCTTGGCGTTGCCTTCCATGTCCACGGGATCAAGACCATCGTCTCCGAATTTCATCTGCACGATACCGCCCGAGGAATTCCGCACCGTCAGGTCGTACTGGGCGCTCAGGTCCTCCAAACTCTTCATAAGCCTTCGAGACATGTAACCTGTCTCAGCAGTCTTGACGGCTGTATCGACCAGACCTTCACGTCCAGACATGGCGTGGAAGATGAATTCTGTAGGCGTGAGGCCGCTGAAGAAACTGTCGAAAACGAAGCCCTTCGCGAGAGGATCTGGGCTGGCTTTCAAGAAGTGCGGCAAAGTCCGATCCTGGAAGCCTTCGAGGACACGCTTACCGCCAATGATTTGCTGCCCGACGACAGCAACCATTTGCGACACGTTGATGTTGGAACCCTTGGAACCGCACTTGGCCATGGTCATAGGTGCATTGTACTTACTCAGTTCGGCAAAACAAGCGTCGCCACATTCTTGTCGGACTTTACTCAAGATACCAGAAAGCATGATCTCCATAGTCTGTTCCTCGTCACAACCAGCGCTACGCTCGAGCTTTCCTGTCTTGAACTTGTGGATGATCTCATCACACTTCCTGTAGGCCGTCTCGACCAGGTTCAGTTTTCTCTTCGTCAACTTTTCACTGGGGTAGACATCGCTGATGCCGATGGAGAACCCCTGCTCGCCGAGCCAGCGAGCTGATAGCTTTGCGAGGCGTGTCATGGCAGCGGCTGCATAATCGGCGCCAAAGTCTCGCATGATGACATAGAACAGACTGTCTTTCTTGCCATCACCAATGGTGGCCTTGTCGAAGCCACCACACATTACCTCACTATTGCGAATCACGAGATACGAGTCGGTGTCCACCATATCGGGGATATCGTTTGGACGAGTAGGAGGCGCGTACTGTTTCAGTCGTGCCTCGAGATTGACGTTGACTGGGTAGTCTGGGTGTGGTTTGATGAGCAGATTCCAGATCTGCTTGCCTGTCCATAGTGCCTGCGGCTTCCAAATAGCAGGAGGCGGTATTACGATAGGATACTCCTTACCAGTGTACGGGTCTTTCGCCTGCATGGCGTTGTACATAAACCCAACCACATGTGTGAAATGTCTGCGGCTGAAGAAACGATCCTTTTGACTGATAAGATATGCACCAGTAATGAAATCCTGGATAGCAGCAATGATTGGCGATCCATTCTTGGGCGTGGAGAGGTTGTTCTTGACGCCCATGAGCTCAGTTGCTTCTGTGCGCGCTTCCTCAGTCTGTGGAACGTGGAGGTTCATCTCATCGCCGTCGAAATCGGCATTGTACGGATTGCACACACATTCGTTCAGGCGAAAGGTCCTCCAAGGTCGAATCTTTGCTCTGTGAGACAGGATCGACAGCTTGTGTAGAGAGGGTTGTCGGTTGAACAACACAATGTCACCGTCTTCCAGATGTCGCTCGACAATATCGCCAATTTCTAGTTGATCTGCTACCTTCTTCAGGTCTCCCTTCTGGCCAACTACCTTGAGAACGAGACGCCGCTTATCGCGACCTTTGATCACAAAGTTGGCACCGGGATGCACCTTGTCACCTCGTTTGACGCAAGCCTTGAGCTTCTCATAATTGTGCTTGGTCACGCGTTCCGGATAAGTCATGATCACCGCCACGCGAGACGGCACAGCGACTTCGTCTATTGCAAGATTGGGATCGGGAGAGATGACTGTACGCCCGGAGAAGTCGACACGCTTGCCAGAGAGATTTCCTCGGAAGCGTCCTTGCTTACCCTTCAGTCTCTGGCAGAAGCCTCGCATGGCTTTGCCATATGCGCTGTCTCTGCCAAGCCCTGGCAGATTGCCATCGATATACATGGCGATTTGCACTTGTAGAAACTCCCACATGTCCATAACCTTATACAGAGGTTGACCAGCCTTGATGGTGGCAGCAATCAGCGTGCTGACTTGGATGATGTCTCCCAGCTTATTTGTAATGTCGTCCTCGGTGCTCGCAGTCTCCTGGGCCACAGACGGCCGAATAGCAACCGGTGGTGCAGGAATGTGAGTCCAGATCATATACTCGGGTCTTCCGCCACTGTGAGGATCCATTCCTAGCAATTCCACGTCGGTGTTGGGAACCTTCTTCAGGATGTTCAGCACACGGAGAGGAGTCAAGTCGTCAGCAACACGCTTCATGTGTCGCTCGATTTCCTTGTCGACTTTAATAGCCTCTTCGAATGTCTTCTCGAAAGCCTGCATCTCCGGTGGCTTGACCTTACTTTTGGCGTTGGAATTGGTGTAGATGGCATATTTGTTGTGGAACATCTTGATAGGATGTCCTGCCACTTTCCTCACGGGACCGTTGTATGCCCCACAATGCGGACACACCTTGACCTTTCTGCATTCGGCTGAAATCTTCTTCGTGATCACATCCTTGCGCAGGCCATCTAGGCCAGGCCGCCGCAGTGCCTTTAGGTAGTTTCGCTTCTCTTGCTCTGGCAATAGTACCCTACTACAATCCTTGCACACGCAGTTCATGGCCTCAATGATCCTCTTCAGATAGCCATAGTGAAAGCACGGCAAAGCCAGCTTCACGTGCCCAAAGTGGCCGTTGCATTCTTTCAATCCTTGACCACAGGTGCCACACTGTCCATTTTTTGCTGAAGTGCCCAAGCGCCCGTCCAGAGGCCCATGTTTCGTAATAGTCCGTGGACCGCCCTGCGTCAGAGCGAGATCGTAGAGATTCCGGTCGGCGACATTGACGACGGACTGCGCAATCACATCTGACGGACTGAGCAGACCGAATTGCAGCGACTTGATGCGCTTGGGGACGTTGTCGACAACCTGCTCCTTGGTGGCGAAGTCCTCGAGCTCCATGGTGGATGCGAGGTCGTTTGGTAGGTGTTATCGATTTTCGGTCATGTTGTTGTTGTATGTGTCGGCGGTATGAAGGCGCATGTACCTTCCACGTTGTGGTTACTGGTTCAAAAATCAGATGTGAGCCATATCCCAATCGGGAGCTTCACGAAAGCCCACAGTGGCCAAGTGTCACGAATGTTTCGCTTACGTTTTGCTCTGTAGCAGATAGCGACAGACAAAGAGCGACAAGGCGTATGCAGTGACAAGGCGGTCACAGTAACAAAGTGTATATATTGACAAGGCGTATACAGTGACAAGGCGTATACAGTGACAATAGGTGCGCTTAAGTAACAATGCGCTTATAGTGACGAGGCGCGTAAAGTGACAATGCGCTTAAAATGACAACGCGCTTACAGTGACAACGCGCTTAAAATGACAATGCAGCGACAGTGTGCAGTTATTGTTGAGCAATAAAGCGATATACGATATAAGTATACAGCGAGATGCGATATATGTATAGTACCTAGACAGCGATATACGATACCTATACAACGAAATGCGATATATATACCTACCTTACCTACAGCAATATACGATACAATATACGATCTACGATATACAATATATTTATATACTAGCGACGGACGCCTAGAGCGATATATACATATAGCGAGACATATGTACAGATAACTATATATACATCCCTTATGTATACACCTACGTACAGCGATCTATATACAAACGCCTACCTCCTACATATATATAGCGACATCCATATCCTTCGGGCCTTCCGTCGAGCAGCCGATGTTCCGAAGCATGACCCCGCCTCGCCCGCCTGACACTAGGTACCTTAGGTAATACCTCCCACGTGGACGCGCCTCCAAGACGCGAGACGTGACTTTCCGAGCTAGCTACAAACGTCTTATCAGTGCTGACATGAGCTCGATAACGACGAGGAGTTACACGACCGTGAGTGTGACGACCGTTCCATCAGCTGACTTGCACCTCCATCGCTGAGGATGTACTGAACACCGGCCAGACCACCTACATGTACTACCTGTAGGTATACATGTCGGTAGTAGAGGGCATCGGAGCTTCAGCTTCAGCTTCAATAGCAGTAGCAGTAGCAGCAGCAGCAGCAGCAGCAGGTCAGCAGCTTCAAGCAAGCCCTCTCGACGCGCGAGTGAGAGAAGGCTAGTACCTGGTAGGCTGCGCTGTAGCTGTGCAGTGACAAGCCAGTTGCCAGCACTCGTGACCACCGAAGCCGCAGAGGGAGGGGCAGCTCACTGCCCTGCTTATCGACTCACCTCATCACTGGCCTGTCTACCTACTGACTGTCTCTCTCCTACCTACCTCTTACTAGTCACCACCATCACCGCATCACCACCACATCACCACCGCTACTTCTGCCCCCTCCACCACCGCTGCCTTGTCCGCTCGGGCAAGACCACCCTCGGCCACCCACAGTCAACATGCCGCCGCCCTATGTGACCAGCATCTCGCTCACCTCCAACACCACCGACGACCACCGCACCCTCGAGCTCATTCCAGGCAAGACATACATCATTGGTCGTGCCTCCAAGAACAAGCACGACATGCGAGCTGGCCCCGACAATGCCCTTTTCGACTGTGCCGTCGTCTCCCGCGAGCACGCCGAACTACGCTCAAGTCCGTGGCAGCCTCCCGGGCGCCAGGTCACTTTGACCGACAAGAGGAGCCTGCACGGCACAACAGTGAATGGAAGTCGCCTGATACCTAACTCACCTTTCGCCCTGAAGACGGGTGACGTGATCAAGTTTGGCGAGAAAGTTGCACGAGGTGACGGTACGCAGCACACAACACGGCCGTCAGCTATTCATTCTATATCTCACTGCAACTGACACTTCTTCGCCCCCCTCCTCTAGAAGCACACGACGGCATCTCCGTCACGTTTCACCACACTCAGCTTGACCACCCGCACGACAGTAGCTACCGGCAACCCGAATCACCTTCCGACATCCGCGGCTTCCACGTTCCCGACGACTCCGAGCAATCTGACTTTGAAAGCGAAGACGATCTTTACGTCACTGACACGCAACAGCACTCATCGGCCTTGACGACACCTGAGCACAGCAAGATGGGGGCCCAGAAGCAGTCCACCGATCTTGAGGATAGCACAGAATGGCACAAAAGGATCGCCAGTCGGCTTGATGATGGGGCTGAAATGAACTTAAGCGCATCAACCCAAGCACCTCAGGGCACTGTTCCAGAATCACTCACCGCCGAGTCGCTTCTCATTCCTGAATCCTTCGAATCGGACTTTGATATTGATGAGGACAACGATAGCGATGTCGAGCACAGCAATGGTGTGATCTTGGACGAGCCAGATGTCGCGTCTGAAGATGACGAGTTGGATGCCGAGATGGAGGACGAAGAAGAAGCGGACTTCGATGAGGGAGAGAAGGAGTTGGACAAAGCCTCACTCGTGGCACTCAATGACGGAGATGAGTATGCCAGCCACGATCAAGAAGAGGATGATGACGACGATGACGATGATGATAATGATGATGGAAACTCACTTGATAAAAGCGCGCAGAAGCCTTTGTGGGGTGACCAATTCTACAGAAATGCAGACGCCGCGTGGGACTCTCGTTACGATCCAGTACGCAGCTCGCAGCCTCCTCACGACGCCGCAACAAAGAGCTCGTCTGCTGCGCCAGCAGCCCCAAAATCTTCCTACACGTATCCCTCCCCATACTCCTACGGACCATCAAGCTCAAATCTGGCCACTGACTTGTCCGGTAGTAGTCGCTGGGACATTCAGCCGATGTGTGCATCTACACAACCTGCCATTGACCTGGACAGCATCTATCAGCAAGCTGGGCTGGACAAGCCGTGGCGGTATCAGACCTGGCGACCAGAGCCATTTACACAAGACAGCCCCGTAGAAGAGACATTTGCAGAAGGCAGTCCCGTAGAATTCCCGAGCCTTCCGTCGACTACGCAGACCTTTGTCGAGTCCGGAAGCACCACTACTGTACCTCCTCGTGTGCCCGATTCGAGCAGCAAGGGCAAGCTGTCCATTCCGAACCTACTGCAGCCTTGGGCTCCCTTCCAAGACCAGCGGTATGAGGGCAGTTTGCTGGCACAGAATACGGCCGAAGTCCTGACGCAGACCAGCTTGGCATCCGCCGAGCCAGCGTGCGCCCAGTCGTCGACCAGCACTATCAAGCGGAAGGCATCTGAAATCGATGAATTCCAGGCTACTGAACCAGCTGCCAAGAAGATCGCAACTGTGGATGCAGCGACGGGCACTCAACGCGCGGTTGGAATTCCCAGGCACAGTGTTGCTCGCCGCGTCGCTGGTGTGGCTGTCAAGTACACTGCAAGTGCTGCTGTCGGTGCTACTGTCGGTGTAGCTGCAACTGTTGCCTTTCTTACTAGCTCGTATGCCGAGCAGCTCATCCAGTACTTGAGCTGAAGATGAGCGTGACTTTGGTAATATCAGGTGTGTGCACTTGATCTTCGTTCAACTAATCACTTCCGAGCAGGCGTCGGGTATGCGGATGTCGAATCCAGAAAGTGAAGCGCTAGGACAGGCCGGAAGACCAAGCAGGACGGCATTATGAGCGAGCACTCCAGGGGTCGGGTCAATGCGTCGATGCGCATAGCTCATCACGAAGATGGCGTGGGAACGACAGGCGTTACAGTGCGGGGGGTGGTCGTTTACTAGTGGTTATTGCGGTATGATTGGGTCTCATGGCATTTGTTTGCTAGATGGTGATGGCACCGGGATGGTGCTCCATACAGTCCACGATACACTGAATACCCCGGACGATTGTCCAAATGCACACGTGCCGTTGAGTATGTGTTTGTTGATGTTGGTTGATGCTGCCTATTTGCATAGAAGCACCATTGCTTGCACTTTGGAGGTAGGTCTAGGTACCATTCATGCGTAAGCGCTCAAATGATATTTGATTTTTTTTTTCCTACTTTGAGAAACCTCGGGTGACCTAGTGACAGATACATAGATACCTAGGGAGTACATGGTATCGGGCGTCTCGCAATCAACCCGATACAATGTACCTTGGTATAATTTGTAAGTACCTGGTAGGCACAAATCGGCGGTTAAACAATTCCCTCGCAGTGGCCCGGTTTGGGGCACTCACTCTCTCACTTTATCTCGATTGTTTTTTTTTCCCGACTTTTTCTAGAAATGTCTTATTATCAAACAAGATATCACAGACATATCTGATACATGATCTGATACATCTGATACATATACGATACATACGATGTAGCCTATGATAGACAATACGATGGATACGATGAGATGGGGTTCAAATAGACAAGATAGAAAATAAAACAGAGTGTACGTCAGGTAGGTAGGTACATGTACCCCGACTACTTGTATATGTATGAGGTACTTGTACAATGTAGGAGGTACTAAAGGTAATTTAGGTAATGTATATCCGCGCGTATATGTGTGTGTGATGGATGTCGCCAATCTATACCTACCGGTACCTTATGTACCTAGTAAGTGTTCGCAGCAGGCGCTTACTGCCGAGGGCGGCTGCATTTAGGTACCCTTGGGGTAAGGTATGTGTACATGTATATACCTAAGGTAGGTATACATGTGTAGGTATCTGGGTATTTAGGTACAGGTACGGGTATCTAGATACAGGTGGCTAGGTAGGTTGACAGGGAGAGAGAGAGAGAGAGAGAGAGAGAGAGAGAGAGAGAGAGAGAGAGAGAGAGAGAGAGAGA